TCCAGCCAATGGCCATGGTTGTCGTTCCTTAAGCGAACCCACCTGTCGAAAACTGTTACATTGTGTCTCAATGGTATGCCCGACGGCGTTGAACTACTGCACAGTTGACTCACTTTCAGACTCGTTATTGGGTGGTAAAAAAGGCGTTCAGAGAGTTGGATCCGAGCGGAAAAGTTAATCATCCGCTAACTCCCATAGAATCGGGAAATTGCTCATCTCCTGAATGCTCCACTGCCACTCGGCTCCACTGTTCTGATTAAAAAATGACCATAAAATTCGAGACACAGGGAAAAAAAAGGGGGGTCTATGCGCGATCCTCGTCCGGTTGAGACTTTCAGCCTCACTCGGATTGGAACATGGCCATTGCTAGCTATTCTAATAATATGATTGTTGCTCAGCATGAGTCTCGTGGAACTTTTTGTTTGAAAAGTCCGTGAGACGCTTTTCTTCATCCCCGGCCATGCTGGCTGAATAAGTCTGGTATACACACCATGGCGCGAGTTTTATTTCATAGAGAGAACCGCATAGTCCCTTTGGGGATTATGATCTTTGTCCTGTTCCTGTTCTTCTATCATCTGGACTTGGAACATAACGACCCAGCGATTATTAGCGGTCTTCCTGATCTCCCACAGGATCTGTCTTCCCGGCAATCGCCGCTCAGAGAGGAGTCAAAGCAACAGCCACTGCCCTCTGCCCAGCCTTCTCCCTCCGCTGTCCCTGTTGCCCCTCTTATTCCTTCGTCCGACGAGCAGGAACCGAGCACCCGTCACCAGGAGAAGCCGAAACCCAAGCAACAGCCAAAGCAACAACCAAAACAATATGGCCAGTTGAGCCCAGATGATGTCGTGCTCCTCTTCAAAACCGGGGCCTCCGTGCTATGGAGACGGCTCCCGATCCATCTGTCCACCAGCTTCGAGCCCAGCCGTATCCCTGCGGACAACGTCATCATCTACTCCGACTACCCCGAGACCATCGGCTCATGGCAAGTCATCGACGTCCTGGAAAACTCAACCGCGACGGTACTGCAAACGGACAACTACGAACCATACCGTCAGCAGCCCGACTATGAAGCGCGACAGGTCTACGCAGAAATGGCGAACGTAGAGGGCGACGGGAATGGCCCCGCGGGTGGCTGGAAACTCGACAAATACAAGTTCCTCCCCCTCATCCAACACGCGGGCCGCGCAAAGCCGGACGCGAAGTGGTACATCTACATCGAAGACGATGGATACATTTTCCTGCCCAACTTGCTTCTCCACCTGGAGAAGTTCTCGTGGCAGGAGCCGTGGTACTTCGGCGGTCTTGCCTGGAAACATGGTGATTATTTCGCCCACGGCGGTGCGGGTTTCGTGCTCTCACGGGGTGCGTGGGAGCAGAGCTTCGGCCTGGAAGAGGACATGGTCGCAAAGTACGCCGATTTTACAGAGGCCCACGGCTGCGGTGACCACGTTCTTGGCCATGTCATGCAGGATTATGGCATTAATTTCGGCCAGATCCATGGCAAGTCGGAGTATTCCTGGGGTTTCAACCCAGAGCCGCACTGGGGCGGTTGGTTCCGGCGCGCGAGCTGGTGCTATCCTCTCTACAGCTGGCATCATACGCACAGTAAGGATGTAGCACGGCTCTACAATTTCGAGCAGAGCTGGGATTTCGAAAAGAAGGGCCAAATAAGGTTCCGCGACTTCTTCAAGGCCATGGTCGAGCCGTACATGCGTCGTCGGGTAGAATGGTGGGACAACCAGTCCTCCCGCTATGAGCTTCGATCGGACAATGTCGCCGACGCGCAGCCTCCGGAGGGAGTGTCGAAGCAAATCTGGCACGGTGCCTGGAAGTCGGTGGATGCCTGTGAGGCTGCCTGCGTGGCTTGGGAGGGATGTGTCCAGTGGACCTTCTACGAGGACCAGTGTCGCATGGATGAAAATTTCATGCTTGGCATGGGGATCCCTGTCGGAGATCTTCGTCGCCAGACGTCTCTGCCTAGAACTAGTGGATGGTTGCCTCAGCGTGCAGACAAATGGGTCTGCGATGCCTAGGTGTATTGTGTATTTGATCCCTAGTGCTTCGTATATAGTAATGGAAGATATTTTTGGTTCGAAACAGTCTGTCTTAGACAGCACGTCCGATATCGGTGACTCTTAATATTCGATATTATTTTTCATCTCGAAGGAGCTGCTTTGACAGGATTAGTGGGGTATTGCCGAGATGAAGATATCACTCGATGACCGATTGACCCCACCCTCAGATGACCTTGTTGGGATTCCTTCTCCGAGCTTTCATTTGTTTTATTTATCGTTCTTCACGTATTTCTATGTAGTGCTGAGAACGTTGGCTCTTGTTGTTGGTCAGAAAGTGTGGTGGTTGAGTATCGCTGATCAGCTGAAGTAGGGTTGGAACCACCATGTGTCCATAAATATATACGTTCCTATACGTACCTGTTTTGCTACAACATCGTAGATTTCATATTTTGAACACCAACGCTTTGGGGAGGGTACTCACAGCCTGCCCAGTAAGCCATCATATAGCATTCTGAGCTTTATTTAACAGTCCTTTATTCGGTGTCGATAGTTCGACGACTGTTTAGAACAATACCGGCACCCGAGAACAGGGACTTTCCTGGCTGTGCCCCAAATCGCAACGCAACTGGAGCACCAGAAATTATTACTACTGGAGTGATTGGCTAGAATGACATCCTCGCTTAAATATCGACAGACGTTGGCGCTTCGTCTGAGCCTATCGGGGCATCGCGCTCCTTTGCTCGGTACATACATTGTCACCAACCAGAATAGTTAAACTTCAGCCAACCTTACATGTAGCTGCGATTGCCCACGGTTAGAATATTATTAGCTGATTGGAGCTTGATGTTGACTGAGTGTGATTGAATAGTACTTGCATGAACTACCCCGTTCCGATTCGAAACCCTCAAGACTCTAGCTGTGATGTAACTACTATCACCATAATACTTCCGTCAAGAAAGAATGAACTGCATACTCAGAATAATAAGGCTTAAGAGCCTGTATCAGATAATTGGTCCAATCATTTTGCCACTCCCAAGCATAGAGGGCTTTCGAAAATTCTCAGTATTCCGGATACCAGCCGCTATACTCCCAGTCTACAATCCCGCTGAAATCTCCTTGGTCGACTATTATATTCTGAGGACGCAAGTCTCCGTGGGTAAATACGATTTGATATTTTTTCTGCGAAAGCATACCAACGAGGAAACTCTTGATATAGCGTTTTGGTGCTTTTAACTGATATGCGTCGATAATTGCGTTATTAAAGGATTCCTCAGAATAGAACGGACCTGATATATATTAGTACCCCGATTAAAGGTCTTACATTAGATACCACGAACCTTTATTAGAATAGGTCTCTAGGATTGGATCAGTAACAGGACCAAGCTCAGCTGAGCCGATATAATTTTCATGGCGGACTTGACGTAGTTAGTAGAAATACTCTTTCAATTGACTGGTAATATGACCTTTTGCTATATCGTCGTAAGTCTCCCACACCTTATCTAGAGTCTGGCCTTCGACATGGCTCATAAATATATAAATATCGAATAAATTGCCGTAGTCTTGTATATCTCGATTTATTGGGCTATAGGAATAGTAGGTAAAGACTTTTGGTACTGGGATATCTGTGTTTTGCTCGACAAACATCAAGTTTTGGCTTCGCTGAGTGTAACATGAGATCCAAATTCACGGCGATATTAGGAGATATCTTCGCTATTTTAACGCCACCCCAGTTAAAGATGGTATTACTGGATGTGACCTTTCATTGACGTCGTGGGATAAGGTACTTTAAAGCCTGGAGCTGAGCAAAGAATATTTACTTGTGGCTTAGTGGTCTGGGTCTCTTCTGTGTCACCCATATCTAGAAAAGCGCAGACTGAAGACAAGCGGCAGTGTGGAGAGGCTAGACAACAGGAAATACGTGTGAGATATAAAGGGAAGCTGGAGAGAAGGAAGAGAAGCGCGAAAATGGTGGAATAGCGAGGCGGGGTATTGCTTGTTAACACTGACTTCAGCGATGTTGCGCTTTATATACACGGTAGTGCATAACCTGTCGGAACGCGACATGACATGAAGCAGCTAAACTAACCAGCTGGATGGCATGACAGAAGCTAAGGAAACAAAAACAGGGTCAAAAAAAGAAGGGAAACCAGCGCAATGTCTCCGATGGGAAAAATGGAGCAAAAAAAGAGACAAACAAAAAGATTAATTCGACCGAGACGGGACTCGAACCCGCAAACCTTTGGTACCGGAAACCAACGCGCTACCATTGCGCCACCCGGCCGATTGATGAAAAGATATATCACCATAGCAATCTACAACTGACAGTTATCTCAATGCGTGTAGATACAGGCGGCAATCTCACCCGCTTAGGCCACCGTCTCATCGTTAGACTAATTGTCAGGATCCCCGTTAATTGTGCCCAGCCCCCTGGATATTGCTACCTGAGCCATGGCCCCGTTGTTGCCTATATCGACCTGTACTATGCGCACCAGTGGATTCCTTCGCTCTCCCGCTTGGCGGCCGGTTGGGATCTAGATTCTTGCCTTTTTGCCTGTGTTTATCCGTAATTAGGCGACACGGCAATCTCGGGATCAACGTTGCCTAGCTGATCGGCGGTGGCAGAGAGACATCTCTACGGTACTCTTCTTCTTGAACACGGGCTTAAGTAGCAATCCATGTTGGAACTCTATAATACCTCCTATGTACACCATAACGCCAGCCCACATGTCCATGATTAAAACCCATATCAATATCTCCAAGTACCCATGTCTAGCCAGTCGTATACTGGTATGCTTATATATGTACCTCTAGGGGTCGATAGAATCAAGTGCGAAGAAACAAACTTTGTACAAGTGGCAATCGTGCACATCGCTTACATATACCAATTATTGTAGTTCATTTCCGAGGTACGTGTGCTTCACAACAAAGAGCACACGCTGTGTGTGAGGGGAATTAGAATGACTTCCAATGCCACGTATTAGGGCCCTAATGCTCGTACCCGGCTCCCCGTTGCCATGGACTAGCATTGTTGGCTGTCCTGTACGCGTGTGGAGATGGTGTACGAATGGGCGAAACATTGTATCCCCGATTGACCGGCGAGACACCTGGCTGGCTGTATTCGGATGGGCTAAGGGTATGATCGCCAGACTCGTAGGGCGATACGCTCCGGGTGTCACTGGATGGGAAGAGAGGAACGGACGGGTCAAGTGGAGAAGATGGCGAATGGGTTGCGCCGGTCATATGGTTTGGGGATGTCCGGTCTGAGGGCTGGAGGCCATCGGCGTGGTTTGGAGGGACTTCGTTGTGAGAAAAGGGGTTCTGCTTCAGGTTTTGGTCGGGGGAGCCTCGCGCTGCGGCACCTAAAGCGTCTAATTCTGTCATGTGTGTGCGGGACATGATGGAGGAACCGTCGTCTTTCATCACCTGGTACTTGTTGTCGGGGTTTTTGGACACGAGGGCTATGATCGAAGCGATCAAGAGGACGATGATGAGGATAAGGGTAAGGATGGCATTGTAGACGAATAGGATAACTCCCAGGATACTCGTTGCCATATCGCGCTCGCGGAAGTTGAAGATCAGAAGTAGGAGGGTGTTGAGGAAGTTGATGGATGTGACGCTGATATTCATGATATTGGTCTTTTTGTCCATCCATGGCCGAATAACGCAGACTGCGACTAGCATGAGGACTTCAATAACAAACAGCGCTGCGATCTGAACGGATGACGAAGGCTGGCATAACGCAACGAAGACGCCCTTGACGAAGATGTACACTACCATGAGGGTGATGAAATAGTATGCCGGGGAGCGGTGGTGTGCGTATAGGAAGCCCCATTTATTCAGGAACATAGTGTCGTTCTGTAGCATAAAGGCTGGGCTCTTGTATATCTCAACCGAGCGTCTTGCCTTGCGTATTATGCGTACAGCTGCCATGACTAGTATAGCAGTCGTCGACAGAAGCATGACAACGGCGAGGATTACCTCGGCGGGGGAATCATGACTGGCAAACTCCCAGAGACAGAGAATGCACACAGCAGGATAACACATGAGGATCAGACGGAGCAGAACGCCCTTCATTGTGACTGTCCATGTGTTGCTGTCCATCTTTGCACTGTCCGTTTTCCCGGATTTTGCAAGAAGACCAGAGACAAGCCGGACCAATCCTACGATCAGCATTGTGAATCCAATAAAGACCATGATGAAGATAAACCCCGTCATGAAAATATCAGTCCGCTCAATGCTGGCCTTGAAGCCAACACGCACGATGCCGTAGATAGTCTTAGATCCCTCGGGCGCTGCGCCTTCCCCCGACTCTCTCTTCATCAGTGCTCCTGCGCCGAAATCCAACGATCGCTTCCGCCTGAGTACATTGACCGACGTATTTTCAAGGTCAGACAGCAAGGTCGACGAAGAACCACCTGTGGCCCGGAGATACCAGTTGGCAATCTTCTGAATGAACCCTAGATGCATAATGCCCATGCTCCACTGGAAATTCTGCGTCCAGGACTCCACGATCGGGGGCATGTGGACACTGGTCATGCCGAGGATGGCTTGAGACTGCGCGAAGCCAAACAGTGTAAGGGATTTAGCTGCAACATGCAATGCGGCCTGTGAATATCCTAGCATCGATGCAATCCCAGACGACACCAGACCCAGACCGATGACCAATGCTATGACCCACCCCACTGCTTGTTGGTGAACAGATTTACTATTTGAGAGGCTGGCTTCCATGCAGGCAATCGGGGCCCCCGTATCTGTGGAATTAATATAGACGCGAACAGATGCATCGAGATCAGGCACGGTATATGCAACGTCTAGCGGGATCCATTTGTCAGTCTGCGTTGCACCAGTGACGCGGGCGGGTGCATCTTACTCGGAACATCGTTGATGACGGACTGTGGCAGAGTCGTCTGAATCGCCGGAATCTCTAGCTTGCCAATGTTCATGGGACACAGGCGCTGTTCCTTCATTTTGCACGGGTCCAGTGTCTTCGTGATGACCTCTTTGCCGTAGGCCGTCAACGAAAGGTCTGCCACCACATTTCCGGAGATAGCTACCGTGCCGTTGAAGCCCACAGACAGGAGACGGGTGTCAGGCGTGAAGGTTACATTGAAAAATGTAGCTGTGAAGTTCTTGTTGTCGGTACATAGGTCAAGAGAGTTGGATTTGATTACTCGCGAGGCAGAAACGGGCGCGGAGCAAAGAAAGGTGACTATCGATAGTATTGATATTAGGAGCATTGCTGCTTCGAACTACAAAAAAAAAAAAAAGGATAAGAAAGAACTCGGAAGAAAGCAAAGCACGGAGGGGAATATTTTCCTGGGGAAGAACCGGTCATTTGTGTCGACTGCACGAGCGATGAGATCTTTCGGATGTCAGTTTCGTGGAGTACGCCTGGACCCTGGGGCGAGTTACCTCAGCTCACATTAAAGAGATTTAGGTTGACGTATGCTAGGGCTCAAGGTGGGACTACGATCGTCCACCAGCCATTCCGATGAACAGGTTCTCTCCGCCAGGATTTGCGGTCTCCTGAGAGCCAGCGTCTTACTCTTACTTTATTTGGCTATGGCTATACGATCGTACACAGTGTCTCTGTCGTGCCCTGTATGATGATACGATATTACCCTTAACTGGTGCATCTATGGTGACTGCAACCAGAGTGGGCATCGGCCTGATACTGGAGCAAGTTCTGTTTCTGTTTTGATATCCAACCATTTGTGGTAATGGCAGACCCCATTTGTAACATGAAACGAGTGGGACACGGCGAAAAGCTTTGACTTTAGATGATTACAATTAACATCAGATTTAAAATCAGTCAACAAAATTATTTAAGGGAGACCGGCCAAGTGAAACGGGGGCAGTGTATCGCATGGTTAACCATTGGGATACGGTTATGATTGGTGTCTTGACGGGGCTGTGTCCAGCAGGATCTCTGGGTGAAATTGCTAAAAAAAAGAAAGAACAGGGCACAAAAGAGGGGGCCCAGAAGCTAGAAGAACTAAGCTCTAGGGTTCAGCGGCGATCTAAACTGTGTCCAGTATGTGTGGGGACTATCAGTGGGACTGTGCCGCGTAAAGACGGAACAAAAGCAGGGGGAAATCAATCACAATAGCAGTGTCGAAGAGGCTAAACGAGTACGGTAGACCTTCCTTAGTCAGGTACTGCATCTTGGCACTCCGGCCGACTCTAGAGAGCCTTGACCAGCCCCTTCTGTCCCATATTTTCTCAGGGGATCTTACACTAAGGAGATTCTCAACGAGCTTGTTGAAACGACGTCATATATTATGATCCACACCCCACGCCCGACTCCTGTAAGACAGTAAAGGATTTCAGTGTATGTGGTCGATTCTACCCTTTTCCGTCTTGCGTGCTCCTGTATTGACTCCGCACGGGCTGGTGGGAAGATGGATCGCAGTCTCGGACCGTATCGCTTCGGCTACCCCGACGATGGCCTTGCCAAGTACACATTAGGTGATGCATTGGAGCAGTATCTCTCGTGCGATGAGTATTTCTGGTGGCAGAATTTGCGCGTCGGAAAGAAGGTTTTCAAATTCCAAGCCTTTCTGCATACCCGCGAGGAAGAACAGATGAAGATCTGGAAATCCTTTCGGCAAATGAGAACAGTAAACAGTACGTTAGATTCTTCGCTCCCATCTTCCCTTCGTTGTCTCTTCTATTTATAGCTATTTGAATACCTGCGATCGTCAACGCGTACTAAAGAATCGCAGGACCAATGGAAGATGCCATTGACATTCAAAGGCCACGCCTGGGGCAGTTTCTGTTGACTTGGATGAAAGAGTCAGAACTTCGCCAGGCGAAGAATATCCTAGAGGATCAATGCGATGGAAGATATGGAAATGCGATCAGAGCTATAGAAACCGAGCTCGTCAACAAGAAGGGGGAAGATGATGTTAAACATGGTTCCTCATGGTTAGTAAAATCACTTCTACTTCTGATTACCCTTTCGCTTCTTTCTTCCTCCTTTCAACTAACGGCGTATGAACCAAGTTTCCCAACGGGCTGTTTCTGCTGTGCGGATTGTTGTTAATTTATTCCTAATGGTGGATGTCTATGACGACCGATCTTCATACTACCCTCGATACCCTTATTTTGCGGTGGCGATATTTAGTTGCCAAGACGTTTGTTGTTCAAAGGATGCTTAAATCAATTGGTCCGTTATGTTCCAGAAGATCCACGCTGTGGATCTGCCACGTTGCCTTACAGACTGCGTTGGACAGAGCAGTAGGTTTGAAGTAGAACGTAGCCTGTCTCTATGAGTAAGGGTCCACCTTGTAGTGATTCAAAGTTCCACGATGTAACACCCCGGGCTAAAAGTCATCTCCGGCTCTTCTTCCTGCTCCCCTTCCGGTAATTAGTAGGTCCGAATGGGTAGGAACGATAACGGACAAGCCATGTTTGAGATATATTCTTTGCTGGTGTATTCCCTGCCCCTTATAATTTAGTTACATCCGCCCACGAGATATCTACACGGCTGATGATAATTTGTGATACCTAAAACCCGCCATTGCAGCTTTGATTTCCCTGGACGGAGAATGAAGTGTGACGATATACGCAGGACAGCATTTGTCTACTAATTTCAGATAGGGCTGTGGGCGATGCACGTGGCTCGGAAAGGTAAAGCGGGGGTTTTATTTTTAGCCTCGACGTCTGGTTCCGAAAGATGATGACACTCTGGAAAGTCGTCTCCAGTATTTTGTGATAAATAGCGTATATGAGAAAGAAGCAAACAAGTGAAATGGGCTCAGTGTCCGAATTGACAAGGAGACCTCGGCGTAGCGCGCCGAAAGTCAAGACTGGCTGTCTTACGTGCAAGTAAGGAACGGCCGATACATTCCCCACTGTGTGAGATCTAGAGATGCCTAACTTGACTCATGGATTGTGAAGGATTCGCCGGGTAAAATGTGACGAGCAAAAGCCCAATTGCCTCCGATGCACTAGCACTGGCCGCCACTGCGACGGATATCCGTACGACAACTCAGCACTGGTGCAGAAGCGGGCTGGGAGGCCAGCATCAATTAACTCATATTGCATTCCATTCAAAGTTCCTGGTAGCCAGGCCGATAGGCAGCTGCTACACTATTACTGTTGTCAGGCTGCCGAGAGCTTATCAAGTTATACCGATCCGACCCTGTGGACCACTTTAATCCTGCAAAGAAGCCACCATGAGCCCGTCATTCGTAATGCATTGGTGACCTTCAGTTCTCTTTACCAAGATTACCTATCTGGGGAATTATCTTGCTACAACAATGATAAACCTCCACCTCTGAGGACTTTGCAGCGCATCACCAAGTGCCATCGACAGTTGACGACCTATCTTGCCTCTCCTAGTGCTTTGCCAGAAGTCGCGCTTACCTGTAGTGTTTTGTTTTATTCCTTTGAGGCTCTCATTGGAAATACCCAACAAGCAATCAAGCACCTCGACCTTAGCCTGACGCTCTTGCAGCGATGTCAAAAGGACTCTTCATCGTTGTCCAAACCCGATGATATCATTCCCCATCTGGCAGCTTTGCTCTCATGCCTGGATGTTCAAGCCAGTGTCTACGATCAACAACGGGGGCTTCCTAGACTCGTCTTGACATCCCCGAGCGAAACATGCGGCACGCAGGACGTTGTTCCCGAGACTTTTATCGATATTGCTGAGGGCGAGGCTGTGCTTCTAAAGCTTCAAAATTGGATAGCCAGACACCTCGCAATTAATGCCGAAGTCAAGCATAAACCGTTAGCGGAAATACCTCCACAGGTACTGCACGAGAGAGGGGTTCTAGAAAGACAGCTTCAACGGTACCTGACTGCGGCAGATAAGCTACACAAGGACGGTGAAGAAAAAGTTGGTAAGCGTATATTGCTGCTGCGTGTCCAAGCACGAATGTACTACGCAGTAATCCTCCAACGTTTCCCTTGGCCGTGTTCTGGGCAGTTGCCCAGCATCATCCATCCTGTATCGCCTCTAAAAACCTCTCGGTACCAAAAAACCCCCGACGACTGGATTGATACTGCCCTCTCAGAGATGTCGATTCTTCTTGATGCGTCGCCACAATATACTGCTTGCAGAAATCGGCCCTTTACATTATCAACGCAGCTTGTTGGGGGTCTACTACACGCCTGTCTCAGGACGACTCGTCAGGACACATTGAAGACTGCGCTGTTCCTCCTGCAACACCCTAATCTACCAAGCCGAGACGGGCTGTGGGATGCTAAAGCGACTGAATCTGCCGTTCGCCGTCTATTGGCGAAGTCCAGCGCAGAGCATGATGTTACCGAGAGACTTTGTCCGTTTCAGTCTTAGATTAATCGTCAGACGAGTTAGCTATATTATATGGATATATTGTAACTCACTCATAGGTGGATATATGAGGTAAATGAAATAATCTAGACTGTCGCTTATAACTTCAGAAATGAACCAAGTTGTGTTTCCAATACACGTGCAAAGCAGTGGCCGGACCTATGAAGTGGCCTCAAGCCGTATTAGAAGTTCATATATACATTGAGACTAAAGGAAAATGAGTGCAACTATCTTGACATTTTCCGTATACCGTTTCCAGGGTATATAATAGCTCCCGCAGGTGCAGACCTACTCCCCAACCTCCACAGAGAGACAAATCCCCGGTGCGTTGCAATTATCGTATAGACCCAGATCATTCTCCACACGCAGACAAACCTCTTTCCACTCGACGATAACTCTGACCTGGTCCCTGGATAATTTGCGACCGGTCGTCTCTCCGTCGTCGGCAGCACGCCAGCCCAGCTTCCGGTCCACAATGACAGCCTCAGAGGTTCCCGTGAGTCTACCCCAGAGCGACTTCTTCTGTTTAGGCTTGGTGTCTTCTTTCGACTTTAGCGATTGAGTCTCTTTAGCAGACGTGGGAATCTCTTCCTGCCCCTCAACATGATGACCCCCCGCCGCAAGCCTAGCTCGAAGCGAGGACTCCAATTCCCGCAACACAGCCGGCTGCCTCCAGAACTCCATCGTATGTGCCTCGCCCTCCAGCTGAACAAGCTTGACCACCGTGGAGGTAGGAAATCCGACCGGCTCTGGCGCTTTAGGCATGGAGTAGCTAGTCTTTTCTCTGGGTTGTAGAGACGTGATATTGGAGGGAATGAAAATGAACGTGGTTTTGTACAGCCCTGACGACGCTTGCTCAGCAAGAAGTGGATCGACATACTGCTCGAGGAGAGAATGAACGCGCTGGACTCGACTCGCATCCAGATGGCGATGGAGTGGTGCTGCCATGTCAGGTCTCATGCTGTAGGGCGGTCCCTGTGCGGTGGATGCTCGGATGCTTTCTTCGTATGAGGGGATGTCATCCTCGCCATCTCGGTATTGTGATTTGGACATTTTGACTGTGAGATGTCAACAGTCTGTTTCCCGATTTTCCTATTTCGTTTTTGAGCAAGAGTTTGATCAAGAGATTTATGACACGCATGCAAGACGTAAGGCTGGCAATTTATCCATTGTCATCCTCACCACGTGATAGGTATTGTGTCACGAGGATCTGAGTGCCCTTAAGGAGTCTCCCGACTTCCAGCAATGATCCCTTGAGTGAGTCGCGGCAGATGCAACCATATCTGGTTTGTGGATAATACGGGCTTAGCGGCTTTTAACCGCGTCGGGCGCAGAGCACAGCCATGATTTTCTGTAATACTATTCGCAGTTAGTTTTGGGGGAGAGTTTTGTGTCGGGTATAGCTAGACTCGACTAACCAGTAGAGCAACCAGTGGGGGTGTGTCAAGATTCATGTACTATGCTCCTTGAGGTGTGCTATAACTATCAGAACATTCGGAAGAGCATAGAGATCGACAGCGTCCCGATATACCGAGTTTCTTCCATGTGCTGCGCAGTACGGACGGGGCCAATCAATGGAATGTTCGACTGGTATGACGACGGGATTCCACGAATCAGGGAATGCGCTCTTAGCGCTAGTGAGTAAGTGGGGCGAGCAGGCAGGTTCCATTTTACGCCGTTTCCAGTATGTCGATGAACAGCCGCTGCGAGCTATGTCGGGCAATCGGGCAGAATCCTCCGACCCAACAACGCAACTGTTTCGGTCATTGGCCGTTGGGTAAGAGTATCTCGATCGGAGTCTGTCAGACCGGCCCGATATTGTTTGTCACGCGGGAGCTTTCGTAAAGTCCAAAAGCTCACAGGACATAAAGGCAGGTTGAGCCTCTGCGGTTCAAACATGTAGTAAACGCGCTCTTATATACATCCTCAAAGCGCTTTACGTACCACCCCATCAGATATAGGATCAAATCCCAGACAGAACAGGATGTCTCGGCCAATTCTGATCATTGGTGGCGGCCTAGGAGGTCTCTGTTTAGCACAAGCCCTCAAAAAACATAACATCCCGTTCAAGCTCTTCGAAAAAGACGCAGAGATCGACTATCGCCCGCAAGGGTACCGACTGCGCATCAGCGAGGATGGGATCTATGCCCTTCAATACGCCTTGACACCAGAAATATACAGGCTTTTTGAACAGACATGTGCTGCGGGTCTCGCATTTGGGGTCCAGGTCAAACCGGACGGGTCGCCCGTGGATGCCGCACGCCGTATAGGGCCACCTCCCATCAAAGGTCCCAAACCGTATACAGTTGACCGGACTACATTCCGAAAAGTACTTCTTACGGGGCTGAAAGACGACGTGTTCTTTGGGAAGGCGCTCGATCACTACACGCTGCACGATGACAAGGTTTGTGCGCATTTTGCGGATGGGAGTGTCAAGGATGGTGCTATTCTGGTCGGTGCAGATGGTGTGCGATCTCGTGTTCGCAAGCAGCTTATCCCGGGGGCCAAGGTCATCGATACAGGCATGCGTGCCTTGTATGGAAAGACACCCATAACGCCAGAGTTTCTGGAGCGGTTTCCAGAGCAATATCAACGAGGAATGAATATAGCTATTGATGACTCTGTTCCAGAGGGACATGTGTATCTGCTTTTTGAATCCACGTGGTTCCCGAACGCGGATATTATCTCTGAGCCTGAGCTTCCAAACCCGTATGTTTACTGGGTTCTTGGGGCGCATTCTTCAAGGTTAAACATCCCGGATGAGAAACTGGTATCTCTTAGCAATGACGAAGCAGCGGATCTGGCGATCCGTATAACGGAAAGCTGGAGCCCTGGGCTGCGGGCCGTTTTTGAGATGCAGGGTAGGGGACAAGCATCGACGTTAAGACTCTCATCCGCCCCGTTAGATCTCCCCGTCTGGGAGGTTTCACCGCGAGTGACGCTGCTTGGTGATGCGATTCACGTAATGCCGCCGACAGGAGCTTTGGGCCTTGTCACAGCCCTCAGGGATTCGGCGGATCTGGCTAGGAAAATTGTTGATGCTGGTGGCATCGAGAACATTGACGGGAGTGTGATTGGTAGTTATGAAAGTGACATGAGAGAGTTTGCGAAGATGGCTCTTGGGAGGAGTTGGCATGGCGGTCTGAAGACCTTTGGACTGAAGCCGGTTGAGGAGTGTGAAATGGTTGATATGTAACTGTTGTTGGTTTTCCTTTCATTCCCCGTGTTCCTTGGGCTGGCTCTTGTCTGTTTAACTCGCTTGATCAATGATGATGCCACCTGGAGTATATCAGAGCGATCAACTAGCTCTGATCACTAGCCTACTTTGATCGTAAATGTATTACCTGCTTGTTCTACAGAAACCTCTCAGCAAAAATACGACGAAACTTATATTAAGCTATCGGCGTCTAGCTTGTGTCGCCAATTTTCCGAATCCTATATCTAGTAACTTGAGACCCATCACTAAGCTCCACAGAAACAGGATGCAATGTATACCTGAAGACCCAAGGGAATAGAATAAACCGTAGAAGATAATATATAATACCCAGCGACAAGATAGCCAGGGCGACCACGGGGCTTAGCCAGTATGGAAGATTAGTGTTTCCCTTTCCATTCGGCGGTGGGATGAAAGGCATGATGAGCAGGAACTTCGCACAGTTAGACAAGAGACTTGGAAAATAGGAGATCCCGGGATATGATGGAGGACTCACTATGCTACCAGCAAGATAGAATGCAATCACCGCCCACGGCGCAGAAAATGATGAGGCCCAGCTCTCGTCCTTGGTCAGTCGGAGTTTGACTAGCCCCACCGTGATGGTTGCCAAGAGGAAGGTCGTTGGATATGAACTCAAGCTGACAATGAAATTGAAGGCATCGCCTGCCGGTGGCGCACAGATGAATAGTATTGTGACCCCTAGATGGACGGCCAACGCAACAATAGGCGTCCGGAAAGGGCGGTTCTGCATCATGATATTAGGGAAGGGTGTTATTCCATCTTTGGCAAGCTCTTGTAGGACGCGAGCTGTACATAGAAAATGTTAGCTCCTAGATTCCTGGCTATCGAACACAGGCAGAGACTTACGGACTGTATATGCGATCCCGAGCAGATGGCCCACAGCCGAAATGGCAACAAGGGCAGGAAGAGCCTTGGTTGCAGCCGAGTCTCCGAATACATTCCTAAATAGCGATGCCGCTATTGTGATATTAGAGTTGGTAAACTCCTCTGTTGGCACCGCGGCGAACTGCTCTCGTGAAATGTGTCAGTGGAACTCCTCCGTAGATGGTATATGAAAGTGACACGTACGTAGGCCACGTTTGCCAGAAGGTAAAGAACGGTAATTATCCCCATTGCCGATGGAAGGGCTATGCGAAGAGTCTTCTGTGGATTCTTCACCTCCGATAAGACCTAAGAAAGCAACATGTCCCAATGAGTGAACCGAAGGATTCTCAACCGGGGATAGATCGTACCGCATTGACATTATCATAACCTTGGAATGAAAAGATTGCATCCAGAAGTGCAGTACCGATATTGTAACCATTGTTCGACGTGCCTTTGAATGAGGTGTGGATATCGAAATTATGAGGATCGGGCACCCTGCGGTGACCTGCAAGAGCAGCAAAGCCAGTGCACACGATAAAAAGTAAGGTGAACAGCTTGACCGCGCTGAGGAGATCTTGCAATCCTCTTCCAACTCTTGGAGCGATCGTATGAAGACCCACTGCAAAGGCAGCAGCAGCAATAGCTACACCACGAAGTTTCCACGTCGTTGATTCAACACCTCCAGCAAGAAGAAGGTAGGAGGAGGACGTAATAGCGTTACTGGCGGAGACCTCTGGCCAGTACTCAGATAAGCAAATAGACAATTGAATGGCTTGGAACGCGTTACTCACGAAGGAAAACACAATAAAAGAGATATACGCATGTTTGCAGAAGCCTGGGGGAAAATGATCGTTCTAGGTAGACCTTGATACCCCCAGACCGGGGCATGCCGCTTCCAAACTCCAGCATTACCATCGCACCACACGTAGAGATCATGCCCGCAATAACCCAGAGCATTAACGCCATGCCGACACTTCCACTAAGCTTATAAATTGTAGCTGGAGTTGAAAATATCCTTGTCAAGATTAGCGGCGGCGAGTTCTAGAGTCACCGAAGATCCCACATACCCAGCACCAACGATCTTATTAACGACTAGGGAGATTGCTCCGAATGTACCAATCTTTCTTTCCTGAAGAACATGCGACTCAACAACGTGCAAGGAGTCTTGCGCTTTGAGATTGTCATTATCGGAGTCTTCGTTTCGTGAACGCACTATGAGCAAGGAGCTGAGCAGGTATTCCTTTCTCTTAGATCGGTTTCTTCCTACCCCAAGTTATTGTGTCATCGTGTTGTCCCATCTTGTCACTATCGATGTGCGAAATACTCTTCGGGTACCGTCTCATCTGTTCGAGTTGATCTGTTGCGCATTTATATGCTTTAGCTTTCCCCACAATGAGAGAAAATGCCATGCAATTGCGTGACAGCAAAGTTATTATGGTTGAATCGCATCAAGCCTGAAAAGCTTAGATGATCCCACATGATCTCAGGTAACAGCGTGTGATAGGTAGTCGGTGGTTGGCCGAGAGGTTGCTAATGCATGGCTTCAGATATGCTCGCGATGGTGTCATCGCACCGGCGCGGCCACCACCACCGATTATTAGCCCCAATTGAATCTCCCCTGTCAATTAATAAAGATAGTCAAATTAATTACCGGCCTATTCTCATAGCTTAAGAGAGATTTCTATTGAAGTTCTACAGTTAAATTTATGAGGACACTAGGCATTTCGCCTTGACACTAGACAATCACGACGATCTTAACCCGGTGTTTACCATCATAAATTTCCCATCCCACAGGTTCAACGACAGGTTATGGCAATTATCTCCTGGAAGCCCTTGCAGCTATCTAATCAACTATTGATATTAGATCATCTTGATGATGTTGCCTTCGCAACGTGAAACGGGGGTATCTCCACTACAATCCTATCAGATGGTAAATCAACTCCGGCTCGCCTGATCCTGCAGAAAGGCTTTGGAGGGTTGAGTGATAACAATATGAGAATTGCGCCCGAGTTAAGAACAACGACAGCGAAGCTTATAGGTCTCCGGAGACATTTGTTCGTTATGAGACTCTCCAGTCGTTCGTTCTAGCCACCCACCCCTCGCTACTCTTCTAAAACACCGGACTTATATTCAGGCCTATAGAGTCAACCCAAGATTAAAGATCTCAGATGTCAGTAACTATAAATCCCAGGTATCGGGCTTGCAAGAATCTCAGTTCTATCCTGGTTGGGAAGTTAAGAACGTACTTGGCAAACTGCAGAGGCAAATCTACATGACGTCCATAATGAAGAGCTTTCACACTACTGTCGGTAACCAAGCATGTACATGACGCTGGAACCAGCAAATATGCAATAGGCGGAGTACCTGGATAGCATATGACGGATATGTTCTTTCCTGTCTACTGTTTTCAGTGCGTAGAACCTGCCAAGTTTCAATGCTTCAGTGATCATGGCAGCCAACCGAAGAACGGCAAACACGAACTACAATTATGCTTCTTTTCTTGAATCATGGTCTACTGTCTAACATTTTGTTTGCAAAAGGGCTGCTGTATGTATCACGGAGGGCCGTTTCTAAATCTGCTGGTACATAATGTGCATCAGTGGCCCGGTCCTAAAGTTTTATTTATGGGCACATGGCCTTAGTACTAGTAGAAAGTTGATACAGGGCACCTAGCAAGACTGCAACTTCTTTCCTCCCACTTGTTTGATTCGTAAACTTGAGAAATGAACTCAGGCCAATGCAGGAGCTCGAACTGTAACTATTCGCCCCAAAGACTTGGCCTTCGAGAATGCTTGGCATTATGGGGAATGGCTGGCTCCCTGGCCTTCCATATTATCAATCATGGAATGGGAAATGCTTATTCCTCCAGCCGATCTGATCAAACTTGGGTCACTGGAGATTGCACCTAGCTCCCCGGTTTGAGTAAGCAAAGACGATTGGTTAGTTAGATATAGTTAACTATACAGAACGATGAGCGTTTACCACTCTAGACAAGGACATAAGAGGGAGGATCTCTGGTGATGCGGAAAGGAAAGTTTTATTGTCTTTTTCTTTTTGTTCTTTTTTTCTAACCAATGTGATATCAGGATAGTCTCTGGAAGAGTTTGAAAGCACAATGGTTGACCGTGTAATCTCCCAAGTGCCTATTATATCATTTTTTTATTAACTTTGGTTGTTCGATTCTTCTGCGAGATCGCAACTCCCAGACAAAGAGCGGCAAGCCAAGAGCCTTTGAAATACACTTCTTAACAAACGTCGACTTCATTCTGACCCTTTAATGGGCTGTTTCAGCTTGAATGCATACACCGTTGTTTTATTTTCTATTCCAGGTAATGGAGAAAGTCTAGCACTTGGTTCAGACCAAGGAGCACTCCTTGGAGTCCTAGTGAACCTTGAACAAGTTGTTAGTCGCCCAAGAGTTGGCTTCATGAGTAGTGAATTTGACTGCATCAATGTCTGTCTTTACGACGCTCGCTTTGGGAGGCATATTCCACCACATCAAAAGAGCTTTCGCTGGTATAGAGTAAATAGTTTGCGAGAGCATTGGACAGGCCCTGCAAAGGTCAACCGGGCACCAATATTTGTATGCGCAGATATTCACTGGTTTACTTTACATGGCGGCCCCCTTGTGTCTTTTAGAAGTTTGACAACGGGTTATTGGTGTGCAGTCCAATGCTACAAAGGAAGGATATGACATGGAAGAGAGCTTCATTGCGCAAAATATGATGAAGATATAATTCGAACTCGAGTAAGCCAATGTGACCATAGCTGTTCAGCCGGGGATGACACATCGGAAGAAGTCTCTAGAGACACAACTCTAGAGCCATTGATCACACATGAGAACCCAGGTTCAACGACGTATATACTTCCTCACATAAACTAATGACCACACTTTGAAGTATTGGCAAGTCTATATTTCTATGGCCCAGGACTTACATGAATGATTAGCGAGATACAATAAAAGATATATTGAGAGTATGTACTTCTAGCGAACTTCGACTGTATAAATCAGAAACAGCGTTGATTCCCAGGACTAGGGCTCAAAAAGGCCCTCTCTACCCTGAGGTCTTCTAATGCAAAATACTGAGAACCGCCGAACTTGCGTTGGTATTGGTATATGTGTACTACGAGAACTAAGTAAGTGAACAAAAGCATTGCTTTCTCCAAAATGCCCAGCCCCAAGGCGATTTAATTGGCCCACTGCACACCGTTCTTATTTGTTCATCGGGCGCTGTTCTGAGCTGGGAACCAAAGATGGCTGCGAAGCTTCATGAAGATAACCGGAAACAATCTTGGGTTTCCGGTCTTCTGAAGGTCCCTCTTCCGCGGCGTATCGTTACAACGCGCAAGTTCGTCGCTCAGAGTCTCAATGCTGTTTTCCAAAGCGCAGCATACTGTACGCCTATTTTCTACATTGCCGCCTATTCCAAAACCCTTGGGTACAGTGACTCGGAGGGCTCTAATTTCACTGCATTGAGTAATGCCTGCAATGCTATCGGGAAAAGTCGGGGTTGGCTTCGTGGCAGACAAAATAGGACGACTTGACTCATTCTTTCTCACGACGCTTCTAAGCTCCGTGCCCACCGCAGGCTTATGGGTTCCCAGTACTGTTTTCGGTACCACGAACGAATCATCCGGAAAAGGTCTGTTCCTTGGATTCACCATCCTGTATGGCCTCTTTGCAAGCGCATATATTGGCTTGTTCTCACCCGCCCTGGTTGAGTTCTTCGGAATGGAAAATATGCCGCGCATAACGGGGATCATGTACTTCCTGCAGGGGGCGGCGGGATTTGTTGGAACGCCAGTCGCCGGTGTCCTAGTTGGATCTCTAGGAGGAAATCTGGCACCCGAGAACTATGTATACATGGCCGTCTTTGTGGGGGGGCCTTGATGGTTGCATCCACGGTGACCGTCTTCTGGGCTCGCATGGAAGTCATGGCAGAACGCACTCAGGGAGAGACATGATGGCTGCGGAGATTGTAATTACTATCAAAACAAGCTAAGATTAAGTGTCAAAAGGAGAAAAGATCGTGTCTTGGCATTTTGGAGCACTGATTCAATCATGGTGCCGGTACGGTCCACATGCTTTTATACATCGACCTTTGACGCTTCTTGGTCCCAGAGACTTAATCTAAATTTATTGTGAGCTTGCTGTTGAACCTCCCCCCGCGAAAGACCATGTCAACTATCCCTACTAGGAATATCCTCGACGCGGTCGGAAAAACACCATGCATCGAGCTGCGCCATGTAGTTCCAGATGGCTGCGCGCGTGTTTTGGTCAAGCTGGAGGGCTTGAATCCCACGGGCTCCTATAAAGACCGCATGGCCCGATCAGTGATTGAAGAAGCTGAACGACGAGGTGATCTGAGACCCGGCATGACAGTTGTTGAAGCCACCGGTGGCAGTACGGGCTCCTCACTTGCTTTTGTTTGTGCAATCAAGGGTTACAGTTTCCTTGTTGTATCGTCAGACGCGTTCGCGGAGGAAAAGTTGAAGACAATGTCCGCGTTTGGAGCGACGGTGGATATCGTCCATAGTCCAAGCGGGAAGATTACGCCTGAATTGATTCCGTCTATGCGCGACCGGGCGAAGGAGCTCTCTCAAGGGGGTGATTACTATTATGCAGACCAGTTTAACAACCCAGATGTCCTTGTCGGCTACGAAGGGCTAGGTCGTGAACTTCTGGAGCAGATTCCGGAGGGCATCGATGCGTTCTGTGGTGCAGTGGGTGGTGCAGGAATGGTTATGGGAGTGGCCCAAGTCTTGAAAGCAAATCAGCCACACTGCTGGGTGACTGTCCTGGAACCTGCCTCAGCGCCTGCTATCACTAAAGGTCATGGCGGCCTACACTCAGTGGAAGGTATTGGAATTGGATTTCCTCCACCACTCTTGAACAAACAGCTATACGACAGTGCCCTTGCAGTGGAAGAATCTGAGAGTCGTGCCATGTCACGGCGCCTGGCAAAGGAGGAGGGCATTTTGGCCGGTACCTCTACAGGCCTCAATGTAGTAGCTGCGATTGAGCTGACAAAACAACTAGGGCCTGGAAAGGTCGTGGTCACCGTTGCTTGCGACACGGGCCTGAAATATGTGCGAGGCAATCTCTTCACAGAAGAATAGAATGCCTATGCTTTTTTTCTTTAGATCCAGATGGATAGACGGGTGTTTTGCTGCAGTGAAATGTTAGTTCAAGTTTACATTTGGAGCCTTCGGTTCGGTAGATGATTCGAACTGATAGCCGAGTTCATTCCTCTTCTCTACATAGAATACCCCAAACCGCCAAGACATAGTTCACTTCCTAAGTGTGGGTCTGTAATGGAAAAGTATTGGAAGTGAAAGTCAATGTCCTACTAGCTGCGGAGTAGTAAAATGCTTATAATAGTAGCCCACCGTAACTGGGTGACTTGAATATTAGTGCTAGCTACTCGTACATGCTGTGCAATAGCTGACGGTGAAAATGATTGGTTCGGAACTCACCAAACAGGGTTTGTGTTTCAATCGTCTTGGAGTACATCTTCACACCAGAGTTTCCTTCTCGGCCGACAGCACTTGCCATGGGGTACTTCCTACATTTAACCTGAACTTGATGAAGTCAGGGCATCTTAGAGACATTCGATGACAGCCTTCCAAAGTATGTTATTTGGACAGTGGCCTACAAATCACAAACTCAACACCAGAAGAAGGGCAATATTTTGTTCAATGCGTCGCAAGATACAATGATATTTATATACGTTTCTATACATGTTGACCCTGAAAGAATCACATAGAGTGTATCACTCCTCCAGCTTTTGTCATCAGGGAACAACATCCAAAGATGCCATTGACGTAAGAATTAATATTATTGATCAGGCACCTTAAGCCCCCCCCAAGGGCTATACATTTTGGGTTGTAACGTTAAACAACAGTTTAGGGTCGATCTAGTCGTCTAAAGCCGCCCTCACTGACGAAGGCCGTCATGAAAACAGTAATGTTACCTTGGCTTACTGTGGGGTTTCCTGCCAGGGTGAACAGAACTCTCCATGTTGAAGATTATAAATCAGAACAACATGCCCGGTGGCAACGACAAAGCTCTGAGTTACCCTGGTACCATATGAAAAGACTGCGAATAGGGTTGTATGCTGGATATGCTAATTCTCCTTCTTTGAGTCCTTCATATAGTGTTATTATTAAAGGTGATATCTGCCTGCTTGCTCGCGTGAGCGAAGCAATGATGTGTCTAGGCTCTTAACCAGCCCTTATCGTATGATATGCATGCACCGTGCAAGCCCCACAAAAACAGTATTGCCCCCTTCAGCATCTGATACAATCCTACCAACGCCTGTCTTGATGAGAGAGTGACCTCCGTATCTAGTTGGATGCCAAAAGTAGCAACGGTTTCTTGAATAGCCAATAAGATATTCAATAGCATGGAAGACTGTTCGAGGCAGCCTCGGAATGGGAAGATATCATCAACCGTGGGTCGGCCCGGTATTGAGGACTCAGGAATGGTCCTGCTTGCCCCGAGTGGATCCACCGATGACGCCAATCTGCATTCACGACAAGGCAGAGCCTGATATGAGACAATAAATGGCGAATACACGCCAAGGAAGCCAGAGAACGTTATATAATGGCATAGAAAGCTTCCGGGTTGTGTGTGCTGCTGCTGCTCCTTCTCTGTCAAGGAGGAATCCTCACTCCTTTTGCTTAGCACGTGTGTGAAACCCCGTGCTAGAATGAGCCCTAAATATCAAACAAGTCGAAATGTGCCCCTCAAAGAGCGGCTATCTCAGGTCACTTGGGGCTGGTACTCGATGTCCATGGCTACGGGTGGTATTGCAGTTCTGCTCTATAACACACCCCACCAATTCACCGGTCTCGAAACGATCGGAAAGATTGTATACGTCTTCAATTTGGTTCTTTTCCTCTCAATCTCTCTTTGCCTAAGCTTCCGTTTCCTCATTAAATCATCGGCCCTGAAGGGATCCTTCCAGCAGCCCAACGAGACCCACTTTGTAGGGACATGCCTTCTAGCTTTTGCAACAATCATCATCGGAGCTGAGAGCTACGGGACAAGTGCTTGCGGACCATGGCTCCAGGTCGCCCTACGCATCGTCTTTTGGATATATGTCGCCATCTCCATCATTGAGGCTATCTTCCACAATTGGTATCTGTATCACCACCGTATGGCTAGCCAACAACCATTTGCACTGGTGAGACTACTACCTTTGTTTCCAGCCATGCTTTCCGGGACGATTGCATCGGTTCTCGCATCAAAGCAGCCACAAGAGCACGCCTTGCCAATCATCATTGGCGGAACAACATTACAAGGGTTCGGGTTCCTAATGTCCCTGTTCATCTACGGAGAATACTTCTACCGCTTGAACAAAAGCGGTCTTCCAAAACCTGCTGAGCGACCGGAGATGTTCATCGCTGTGGGCCCATGGAGCTTCACAGCTCTTGCTCTGATCGGCATGGCAAATGCGGCTGTGGAAAAGTTTCCGTCTCGATATATACTATCATATGCCGATTCATCTTCTAGTGAAACTATCACTGTGACCACTGGCGATATTGCCCTGGTTATTGCCGCCCTGGCGGGAGTATTCCTGTGGGCGATCGCGTTCTTCTGCCTTTGCATTGCAATAACGAGCGTGCTGGCTCTCTGTAAGCTTTTTGGGGGTGCTGGTGCACCTGGCATGTCACTTCCGTATTGGAGTATGGTGTTCCCCAATACAGGGTTCGTGATTGCGACGATAAGGATTGGACAAGTGTTGCAGTCTGAAGCGGTGCTGTGGGTTACTTCCGCTATGACGATCTTGCAGGTGGCAATATGGCTGATTGCAAGCGTGGCAACTATATGGGCTCTGTGGACACGGCGGATGTTGTGGCCTGAAGATGCACAGCGAGAAGGAGGGGAAAAGGAGTGTTAGTGGTCAAGTTCTCGGTTCCAATGGCGATACTGGTGCCAGATTCTGCCAATATTTTCCCAAGATGAAGTAGTATTGTCCTTTCCCGAGAATTCCAGGCGCTAACCAACATTACCGGCATTAAGGATTTCATCGAACATCTGCTCTATCATTGTATAGATGGCTAGCTAGGAGATCTATCGGAGTTATGGATACTCCTAATAGCTGAGAGAAGTAGCGTAATATTCAGCTACTATTCCTTCATCTTGAGACCTAATAAAGAGACACCCCCCCGAGCTTGTACTTAACATAATCATCGAGCCGAGTGGATCCGTCCGGCATCACCTCGCCGCCTTCCATTTCCTCTATGTTCCTAAGGAACCTATCGATATATTTACCGGCGTCGCTGAGATGCAGGATGCGTCCGATAGCACGATGAATCCCAAGAAGCTGAGGAGAAGGCAGTTCTACATCCCGGTCAGGTGCAAGAGAAAGTGCAACAGTGACAGGGAGTCTCGCAATGCGACACAGGCGATCTGGGTCCACGTAATTAACTTTGTAGGTTTGAGATTGAGAGCAAACAGGGTCAAATGCAGTCTCGAAACTACCAAATTACGTGTGAAGGTCACGAGTTAGGGTCAGGGCGTTCATCGGTCGGTCAGCACCGACGCCATTTATTAGGTCGATAGCGCTGGGGTTGAACATCTTTAGGATTCTATGAACTGTTTGGTTTGAGTATGCCTGGGTATTGTCCGCTAGTGATGAAACATTAGCTATATCGCGGTTTCCTACCCGTTTCAATTCACCTTCGATACCAGTGAGTGACATCAGAGAATGAGTTATTATGTGCGCTACTTCCAGATACGCGATTGTATCACACTCTGGAAGCAATGATTTCCCATCATCATCTTTCAAATTGCGTCCATCCTTCTCGTATCGACTCTCGGCTTCCTGAGCATCGAACTTCCGAGTAATGACACATCGATGGCGATCCCGGCGAAGGCAATCTCGTCGCAAAGTTGACAATCGTTGTAGGGTACCAATAGCGGTTTCACAGTGAGAAGGAGCGGGTGTAGGTTGAGGTGTTTTAACTGCAGATGCTTTCACTAAGAGAGTAAGTGTCTTGCATTCCTGGCAGTCCACAGACTTACACGGCAAGAAGAAATTGTCTACTAAGAACTTCGCGAATGCACCAAGACTTCCCCTTAACACATCTTTCTCTTTCGCCGACCAATGACAAAATGCAGCAAGATGCGACAAGATGGGGTCAAGATCGGTTCCTCCACTTTCGTCAAGCAGGTCTTGCTGAATAAAAGTGAAAAATAGGCTTAAAAACTCGTCCTTGTCAGAAACTTCATTCCTCATGAGATTGATAAGAGTGACGGGTTTATAGCCGCTGTCATTTGCCTGAGAAGAGTCGAAGTGCACGATGATAATATCAAAAGTCTGGATTGCGAGGTGATTCTCTTTGGACTCAAAGCTGTGAAAAAGGACGAAGACCCGCCATATTGTGGGCAAGCTATTCAGATGTCTGGCTCTTCAAGCAGCAATGTTACTGTCCCGGAGGTTCTACCTACGCCCTAGGCAGCTACTAGTAGTATCTGACAAAGGGCCTATAGGCGCTAGGCCTACTTGGGAAAGTGATTGGCATCGCCATATAACTTGAATCATAGAAGGACATCGTATTGTCTAATGAGTTAGAGTCTAGACTGGCTTTCCAATCCCTCGCTACTACCCTCGCACTACATATGTAAGGCCGTTATCTCGTAGAAAAGACGTGGTGAGGCAGTCAACCCTGATCCCCGAAAGTGATCCGTCTCCAAAATTGGGGAATGCTCAGGCCTCTTCGAAGGATCTGAGATCAAGTCCCATTTCCTTGGATCAGGAGTAGTAGCACAGTGTCTAAGGAAAGGAATTTGCGGGCTGATATTAAGCTATGGGACTCCGATAGCGTGAGGACAAGAGGGACTATACTTTCTTTACTATTTCCGAGCGGTTCAGCTAGCTAACATGATCCTATGAGACAATGAAGGAAGGATGCCTAGTCACTCTTTTAGAAACCTAGCATGTAGGGCTATTCAGCCACCTTGATACAGATCTTCCCAATCTGAGAGCCGGATGCCATATATTCGTAGGCTTCAATGATGGATTCCTCGGTGAACTCGAAGACCTTGTCAACAGGAAGCCTCAATCCCTTACTGGCAACAAAGCGAGTAACCTCTTGGAGCAGTTGAGTTGAGCCAACAACAATGCCACGAATAACAGCACCCTTCGCAAGTGCCAGAGAAGCGACATCGGGCATCTTGGACTGTTCGGCCTGAGAAAGAAATCCGATGACTGAGATATTGCCTCCCATCTTGACAGCATTCAAACTCTCGCCAATTGTACCGGAGCCACCGTTCTCGAAGATGTAATCGACGCCCTCACCGTTAGTGAGGCGGAGAGCTTCCTTGGACCATTCGGGGTGTTTCTTGTAATTGATGGTATAGTCGACGCCATATTTCTCCTTAACAAAAGCCAGCTTCTCATCACTGGAGGAAGTGATGATTGTTGTTGCGCCCGCGGCTTTCGCAAGGATCAAGCCGGTGATCGAGACTCCTCCGGTACCTGTACATGATCAGCAACTGAGCACATAGGACAGAGATTGTATATGCTTTATTCTGTCTTACCTTGGAACAAAACAGTCTGGCCTGGCTTCAATGGGATGTTCGCGTACAGAGCATTCCAAGCGGTCACACCGGTACAAACCAAGGTCGACCACTCACAGAAGCTCAAAGGAGATTCCTTCGGAATTTGCACAGCAGATGTGGCTGGAATGCAGACATATTCGCGGAGAACACCGTCGATAGGAGCACCCTGGCCATATAGCCAGTTCTTCTGCTGCCCAAAGAGGTTGGAGAGGTCAAAGGTGCCAATGACATGATCATCAACAGCAACACTGTTCACACCTTCGCCAACTTTAACAACGACACCAGCAGCATCGGAGCAGGGGACCACATTATCCCTGACGGGGAACGGGTAGAGGGAAGTGGCGACAGCAACATCACGGAAGTTCAAAGCAACCGCATGCACCTTGATCAGAACTTCGTGCTTGGATGGCTCAGGGATAGGCTCTTGGAAGGCCTTGAGATTGCGAACTGATGTCCTTGGACCATTGAGGCGGATAACCTTCTGGGACATTGTGAATAGCGAGGGTTGAAGATTGATGTAGAGAAGCTCTATATGATTATTGAGGGATTCGAAAAGACACTTCCTTGGGATATCCTGACACTATTTATATGTTCCCTGTGGCTAGCAACTGATCTATGAGCTCATATAGGAACGAAAAGTCATGCATGGTAGCTTGCTTTGATAATCGGGTCGATGTCGATTTCTCCAAATGACCCAGGCTTGGTGGTGTGCTGAAGTCACAGATTCCACGTTTCCCACCCACCCTTACTCTTTCTCAGAAGCTTCCTAGTCGAGAGTTTTGGTTACCTTGGAGAATATAGCGACACACATTACTAATAGGTCATTGTGGCGCTGCATCTATGCAAAAAGCGATCGGTAGTGGAGCTCGGCAGGAACTTAGACTATGTGGGGATTTGGAGATGGAGATTTGGGGATTGAGTTTTGGAGACAGTATCAATCGAACCCAGGAGCTCAAGCTCCTCAGTAACCGTCATCATCGTCTAGAAGTGGGTTCTTCGGTCGTCCCTGCATTCTCCAGTGGCGCTATACAGCGTTATGAGTATGAAGTAGATCCCACGTTGTAATGGACCGGCGAATTATTCCCACGGCAACCTTGGTCATTGGGCTAGGATCTATGTCGTTCGATGCAATTCCCGAGTTAGCCAGGACGCTCACTCATATACTGTCGAAGGGCAAATCCAGGACCGCTGCGTGTACCTAGCTAGCGGCACTCAGCCAGTATAGAGGGCTCAAACGATCAGCTGGCCAAACATGCCAAGGCTGCAGTGATATTCTGCCTGAGGCATCCAGCCAACCATGGGAACGCCAATCTTCCTTCTCCGATTCCGTCGCAGGCGAAGGCCAAGTTGCTCAATACATCTATTCAGTTCACCTGAATCATATCAAGGTCTGCTATCGTTCGTGTCGCCAGTATATCATTGCAAACCTACTTGTTCCAGGCGACCGATGGATAATCCTTGACAATGGCGTCAACGACTCCTAGATCCTCGACCAGGGAAAAAGAATATCAATGCGCTTATTGTACTCGGAAATTCCGCAAATTGGAACACTTACAAAGGCACACAAGGAGACGTTAGTATATTCATGCACTTGTCCGGAATTTTTGATACCAACCTTCAACCAAGATACCCATGAAAAGCCCTTTAGCTGTCCATGTGGAGCCTGTTTCTCAAGACAAGATCTCTTGAAACGCCATGAGCGCATTGTGCATGTCACCCGCAGTGATTCTCCTCAGCAGTCAGCTTCCGTATACAATATTAGCGAACAGCCGCAGAGCCCCGGCGTAGCTCAGCAGCGCGTGAGAGATGCAGCACCGTATGCATCGGTCGGTACTCATACAAACAGCCTCCCATTAAGAGACCATGGCGGCCCTTCCCTTGATGGGCCACCAGCCAGGTAAGATAGAGCCCGTTTTTATGCTTGCAGGTGTGTTATGTATGCAGCCAGCCTAACATCGTTGAGGGCTGCGCCTACTCCGCTATCTAGCCGTTTCGAAGCCCTTGCGGAAATGCTCCAAACGAACGGTAACTCATATATATGTTATCAAACTTACTCGAATATCACGCTAATACTTATACCAGATCCCGTACTGGAGGGTATTATTGCTGAACCGAGGTCACAGTTTGCCACTTCGACTGATGTAGACCACCCTGGCGGACCCATCACTCGCAACCTTGCCCAGGGATCCAGTACGCATCAAATTGCACAATTAATTCACGAAGTCCCCACGATATTTCCTGCTCCACAGATAGCCTTAGGTCAGCATGCTCCCACAAACCACGTAAAGCTAGCCAATAATCGGTGTGAAATAGGAGCCCAAATTGTTCCGCACTTTACCCATCCTACCGTTACCGAATACCAGAGGAACTCATTACAGCAGTCAATAAACGGCTTTGGGCTGCCTGGATGGAAGCTTCCATCCAGTGACTCTTTAACCAGATTCTTAGCCGGGTATTTCACGGGGTTCTATTCATATGCACCCTTCACCCATGCACCAACCTTCAGGTTTGATGCATGCTCACCGGAACTTCTTTTAGCTATGCTGGCTATTGGAGCGGCTAATCGCTTTGAATATAATTCTGCAATCAATATGTTCTATGTCTCGAAAGCAATACTACTAGAGCGCCAGCACCAAAGGGAGCGTGGTATGCTTGAACGGCTAATGAACCACAGAGCGAGCAATGATTTCGTAGAACGAGATTATATGGACGAGGTCCGGTGCTTGCTCTGTCTCATGAGTATTGCGACGTGGGATAAGGACTTGAATCTCAGAAACGAATCACTCGTGTTACGTGGGCAGCTCGCTCATGCCTTGAGATTAAGTGGACTTGAAGAGCAAATGGAAGTACGCGATATCCATTGGGAAACCTGGGCTCGCCTAGAATCGGAAAGACGTGCAAAGCTACTTGCATTCTGTTTTCTCAACGTCCAGAGCATCGCATATAACCTTTCGCCAGTCATCTGGAGTCATGAAATCAAGCTGCGCCTGCCTTGCTCCTGTCCTGAATGGACGGCACCTGATTCAGCAACTTGGGCTTTGCTAAGACAAAATACCCCGATTACAAAAAGTCACTTCTACCCAGCTTTAAAGGATCTGCTATCCCCTTCTCCATGTGATATCAATGAGCTCAACCCGACGCCCGTTGCTAACTACACATTGCTGCATGGGCTCATACAAACAATTATGTGGGTCCAGATCTTTCCCAAGGATCTAGGGGCTGACCCAACTTCAGACAGCCGAGTGCTCTTCCGGTGAGTCCGAAAGTCTGAATCCCCCGTTAGGCCGCATGTGGAAAGGTCCCATGGCTGATGTTTCCCAAGTAATGCCTTGCGTAAATGGACAATATACTGGCAACGGACTCCAGAATCTAATCTTGAGCCATTCGACCCCAACGGACCATTGCCCTTCATGTCAAGCGCTTGGCTCAGCTTTGCTTACATTCGGAACTGTTCTCAATTCTCTAACTGTCAGTCTCGTGAGATATTCTCGTGGAATGTTGCTTCTATCGCGCGTGCTCTTCGCGCGTCTCCATCTGCAAACCACGAATGGGATGAACTATTGGCGGCCCATCATGCGACTCATTTCATGGGTATATTGGTCAGGCTTGGTATACAATACATCAAGCACAATCGGGCATCGTTATGGAGCATTGAGGCTGCGTTATGCGGGCTGGAATGTTCCGTTTTCCTTGACAAGTGGCTTCGAGCATTTTATACTTCCACAGATCCTAAGTCATTAACAGGTTTGTCTTCATTTCTCCTGCTTTGCATTTGAATCCTTACTTCTCTTGTCGTTGCATACCCTGTGATCTAGCCGCGGTGATTCTGAGCGCATCAGTTCGCCCTCCTGGAAATGAAGTCAGAAATTGTTAAGGGAAACCTAATTAATCATGGCAGACCACGAACATATGCTCCTTGAATGGGCTCGAGATATCGTCCGCGACGGCTTTATATCCATCAACGGTGTCGACCCTGACATCTCCTCAGGTCGGCCTGAGGACTTAGTCAACTGCACTGTCGAGGTTTGGTGTCACATCATGCAGGGCGATTCTCCCTGGCCATTTATTGGCATGTTAGGCGACGCTGTGGTTCAATATAAAACGATCGCTCGCCAGGGCCTGGATAAAACATGACCAATCGACACCAGCAGGACTTAGGAGAGACTACCAACTTCCCGTTCTTCTTGCCTTTTCGCTCAGGATGATATTGCTGGCTTTCAGACTGTACCAGCCATTATATATAGATAGATGATCAGACCCCTTTTTGCTAGGTTTTCTTTGGCATTATTTCCTATATCCTAGCTATCGTTTTCCAGGGAATAGCCTACAATCTACCTTCGAGATTACACGACTTTTTATCATTGGGCATGTCATGAAGGGATACCACAATGAACAAACACCGCCAATCTAACTCATACCGTAACTCATTGATCATGTCGAAAGATATCCGGACACCCAGTCGGCTGGCCTTCAGACCTCTTCATATGCTTAACGCCCTTTAGATGAACATACTTCTGCGCAACATCGTTCGCCGAATCCCGTGACGAGACATTAAAATAGTTCATTCCGAACCCATTCGTATCGAAGAAGCGCGCCGTCCCCGCCACGACATAGATCGTAAAGAAGTCATCAGCCGGATAAATATTCTTCGTCTCATGCCGGTGTCCCACAAGGATATGACGCACGCCATATCTCCGAATCAGGTCTAGATACTTGCGACGCACGCGCTTTGGAAAAGTCCAGTACGAGTCCGACTCATCCTCCCGATGTTCAAAGGGGAGATGGTGATGGGCGACGACAATCCTTTCGCCTGCGCGCGCGGCGGTTTTGAGCTCGCGCTCGAACCATCTCCATTCGTAGGCCGTGTGGTTTTTGAATTCGGTCTTGTCGGTAATCATGGTGATGGAGTTGAGGAGAATAAACCGATACCCGTTGTGCGCGAAGCTGCTGTGGTCGCTTGTGTTGAAGTCGGTTTTGAACTGTTTTAGCGTGGACACGTTGTGCACGTCGTGGTTTCCTGGGAGTAGGTGCACGGGCACCGTGAAATTCGGGTATGTTTGCTGGAATGCCGTGATCTCATGGGAGTGTCTATGTCTCAGTGAGCGTTCGTCCCTTGGGAGACAAGAGTGGGTCATCTACTGTACTGACCGGCTGTTGGTTAGGTCGCCGACGGCAATGCAGAAGTCGAAGTCCTCCGCGTTGACTTGCTCCGCGGCGAGTTGCATTCGGTGCACGTCATTTTTCCAGCCGTCCTGACCGAAGCCGAGTTGGATATCGCCCAATTGGCAAAACTGGAAGGGAGTGAAGTGATTGGCAGGTACAACTATGCATGTATCAGCCTCTACCCAGACACGGCGCAGAAGACTGAGACACTTACCTGAGGGTGTCGGTTGGAAAACGCCTCCACTCAAGCTACTCATGAATGCGCCCATACTCCCAATGAGGAGGGGTTCACAGAATTGAATTGAGCGTGTCGGTGCAATACGAGATTTTACCCTTAATCCACGTGGTGAGGTGATGTTTTTATCCCGTTTAGCGCAAGAAGCCAATCACGCGTGTCACGTTTCTCTTCTAGCCCTCATCCGACGAAGTTGTGTCAAGAAGTTATTGCACCATCGGACGATATAGGGTAGTGGTATAGCGGACAATGGCTCTGGCCTCAAGATAGATCGACAGTCGAACGAAGATCAATCGATTCAATGATGACGTGAGTGGTTTAATTGACCAACCACGGCTGATGAAGTCTTGGCTCTTGGCCGATCTAAAATAAAGCGAAAGGCTTTTCTGCGAGAGAGGCAGGATACTAAAATCACTCAAATAGCAGGTGTTGGGTCTGTACAGACTGGCTCAGGGAGATCGTGTGTCTCACAATGGCAGTCTGTCAGCTCAATTGTTGTGGTTGCCTTGTTGTCCAGCCCGGGCGAAGCAACGTCACGTGAGTCGTGATGTCTCATAGTAGGCGCTGTTATAGGGTAACATTCCCAAGATCCTGGTCAGAGCACTGGCAATTATATCGGCAAAGGGAACTATATCATGGCAGCTGTATTCTTATATGGCTTGCCGCTTGTCCTGAAGTAATCTTGTACCTCCCCTCCACAACGCCAGCAGATATAAACATGCCAAGACCGCACAAATGTTTGGAGGGGCTCTAGTTCAGAAATATATAACCACCCCACCCGACAGTAGAGCTAGAATACTCCGAACCGTAGTAGTCATAGCGCGCTATCAAGTACCACAGCCGTATTCTGTTGCAAGCACCAAGCCCTCAAAGTTATTCGCCAATGTGGCTGTAGATCCAGTTCAATACTGCCAACTTAATTTCGCTACGTTAGGCTTGGAGTCTGTAAAATGGACACCATGCAACCTGCGAGCTAGCTGAATGAAGGAAGGGGAAATATTAAGGCCTATATCTATGCTCGGCATCGGCCGTGGCCGGTCTTGTGGAGCCAGGGACTGGATATCAATAAAAGTGGAAGACACCTACAATTGCCGAATCAGAAAATGAGCGGCTATTGGGTGAGGATTCGCCATACGGAACTTGACATCTAAGCCTTGGCGGGTTTCAGAAGGCTAGGTCAGTTCTGGAGCGACAGGACCCGAAGATGCTACTTAGCTATTCAGCGAACGATATATGCTAGATGATTGGGTATTAATTGGGTTTCGTTGGAAGCAGCGTGCTAGCCAAGGAAAACCGGCCTTCGTACAACGATGAATATAACCTGACCTGGTAGATAGGGCTGCAGGCCCAAACTGATATGTGGGCCTGAGGAGGAAACAGCATTGCATTTAGGACTACCGCGTTTCAAGTGGAGAAGCAACATGGGGATGAGAAAGATCAATATCTATTAAATGAATTACAGAAACAATCTCACTTGGCCTGACAGCTTAGACCAGATCTGTAGTTTCAGGAGGGGAGCTTGTGCATATGGGAAGACCGATCATATTGTGCAGTCTGGACAGTCATCGACGTCGGTTTTACCCCGACCTGTGCTAGCAGTATTGGAATTTTAAGTAACGAGGAAGCATGTTTAGTGCCATATTGAGATCTGAGACCAAACAGAATCTCATAAATTGTCCGAGTCGATGTTGTGGAAATGGCCAAGGCGAAGCTATGAGCAATTAATTGAGTAAGAGTCCGCAAATTTATGAGCCCGCTAACCTTTTGACCCCACTTCGAGTTAGGCGAAAATATGCTCATTTCAACTCAACGATAATTTGTCGTTTCTGCCAACATATAACGGTCCACATGTCCGTGCTTTCTGTTGGAGCAAGTGGCAAGGAGGCCAATCATACCGACTAGAAAGGAGTATCTGTAATGTTCGGCCATGAAAACCGAAGACCTCACTATCTCTGCCAAGAAAAGTATCGTTTTAGGGAAATTAGCAAAGATCCTGCTCAAACATGCGTAGAGTAGTTATACCAAATGATATGATATATAAGCTCTCGCGCTCAGTCTGCAGAGGTATCTGGGTAGATAGTGGACCTCGAACGAAGAAAAGGGTCTAGACAGGCCGTATCGACAGAATGCTCGGTCATATCTATTCTCTTGCGTCTAGCATTCTGTTGCTAACGCTTGTTTGCCCAGTATATTCAGCAAAAGGGTTTGTTGGATATGGGATATCCATGTACAAACCTCCATGTGCACATGCCTGCCGCTCATCCATCACAAACCCTTTGAACTGCTCGACGAGCTCAGATGATGGTTTGCACATTGCATGGAACGTCGAGAAGTCTCCTGAGCCAGAGTGTTATGCGACGAATGATGCCTTCTTGCAGACCCTGGCATATTGCCTATACTCTCACTGTCAGACGGTACCTAACTCGACACTGCAAAGATATTGGGAGATGAACGTTGCTGGCAGTCAAAAAGACCAGCCACTGCCCAAACAGGCTTATCAACAGGCTCTGCAAAGTATCGGTTTCAGGCCTAATATCACAGCGAATGTATCCACGGTGTTGGAGTCAGCCTCGCTTGTGCCTGAGGGACTGTATGATCTCAATTGGAGCACCCTGGCCGTCTTTGAGAAAGCAGAAGCAACACATGAGAAATACGGGTGAGTTCAGAATCCTCTTAGACAAATATAACCTGCTAAGTGACGATTATGAAACCATGCAGACTGGTCCTTCTCTTGACTGGCGCAATTATACCTATTGGGCTCTCATTTGCACGCTTCATTCCCCTTCCCACCAGATTGAAGACCAGTTTCGAGGCATACGTGATTGCTCCTCCGCTCATCGGCCACCGACACAAAGTCCCCTTATTCAACACGTTCAACATGCCCACGAGAGGACAAGCGCTGTTTATCGCCTATCTAATAATAATCAACGTGGTTCTATGCGCGGTCGGCTTCAACTCAGCCGACCCCAGTGCGTGGTACACCTCCAACCGTCGCGAGATCGTCACATACGTTAGTAACCGCGCTGGCATCCTAAGCTTTGCAAACATCCCACTGCTGGTTCTCTATTCCAGCCGTAACAATATCTTACTCTGGGTAACTAACTGGTCCCATTCCACCTTCGTACTACTCCACCGCTGGGTTGCTATGATTTGCGTTCTCGAAGCATGCCTCCACTCCGCCATATACTTGCAAATATACAGCGCAGAAGGTGAACATTCCACTGAAAGCAAGCTCGCATACTGGTACTGGGGTGTTGTCGCCACGCTGGCGATGGTCGTGATAGTCCCGGCGTCAATGCTACAAGTACGCCAACGATTCTACGAGTTCTTTCTTGCCTGGCACGTGGTATTCTTCCTACTAGCGATGGCCGCGTGCTGCCTACATATTTACTATCGATATGACTTTCAATGGGGATATGAGAACTGGATATACATGGCGTTGGCGATCTGGGGATATGAGCGGGGGATGCGCATTCTGCGGTTTGCGAGACATGGGATCCGCACTGCTCACGTTTCCATCGTGGATGATGACTACATTAAGCTGGAGATTCCAGGAGTTGCGGCCGAGGGTGATGTGTATCTTTACTTCCCAACCTTGACGTGGCGAGTCTGGGAGAATCACCCCTTCTCGGTCATGACAGATGTCTGCTGTGAGAGCGATACGGGACCGTCGACTACAATAATCACGACCGATAAAGGCAGACTTCCTGTTGATTTGACGGAGAAAGTGGGGAATCTGGATAAGATATCTCTTGCTGAAACGTTTAGTACACCGTGTCAACGAAGGCTGGTGTTTTATATTCGAACCCAGTCGGGCATCACCAAGTATCTCCGCGGCCCGAGATCGAAGTTCCCAGTTCTTATCGAGTCTTCGTACCGCCCAGTGGCCCTTTCAAGGTCAAATACCTCGGATATGGCCAATATTATTGCGATCGCGGGTGGTGTTGGCGTAACGGCGTTGGCGCCCATATTAATGCGTCACGAGGGTTGGCATAGGCTGTTCTGGGCAGTGCGTAGTACGCCCTTGGCAGATTCCGTGGCAGCGTCACTTGGTGCAGATCGTTTCGATCGATTGAATCCTATGGTTTTCCAAGATAGTCGTATGGATATCCCTCGCATTCTACGGGAGGAAGTCTCAAGGTGTGCGGGAACGGAGGTCGCCGTGATTGTCAGTGGTCCATTAAGGATGGCGGACGAGGTACGGCTTGTTGTAACAGGGCTGATGAGGGAGAATCCAGCAGTGAAGCTAAAACTAATAGAAGAGTCTTTCAGCTGGTAGTCTGAAGTCTATAGAAAATATCATGTTTGTATGAGTTCCATTTTAGTCTTGGTGGGCGTCTTTGTAGGACTCCGTCAGAGCCACAGTAATTTGTCGCTAGTAGATAACGATGGTGAGAGCTTGTTACAGGTTATAGGACCGCTGTTCCGTTCGAGTGATTCTTCGAGCTCTATTTTATACCACAAAATTGAAGGATTGGTGGAATCGATCAAATACCTGATAGGATTGGGCTTGGATTTGTTCCAGGAGGATTAGAAGCAACAAACCCCTGTAGTAGGCTGCTTCATAACCACCCTTCATATGTTGCAGAGCCGGATACTAATACTTCACAGGATGATGCTGGGGCATATGGTAAAGATGAGACTATGGAGCTTTTCCAGAAGACATAACAAGGGAGAACCCTTGCACGCTTATCCGTTGCTTCGTCGTGCTACCCTGCGAGGGATCAATTGGGAAGTATCGAAAAACGCAGCATGATATGTCCTGCAATGTCGATCGCAAACATTTGGCGCCGTGACTCTGCTACTACCTTGCACGGAAGTCCCGCGTATCGAACCCGATGCGGCCATTTGGGAGGATTTCCAACACGGAACCTATATATCCTTTTGTTAAACGTAGTCTTATATAATTCGTAGTGTAGGGAACTCACCGAGGTCGTATTGTGTCTTATAACCCCATTGCTTTGTGACTGGATCCTGTGCCCTTTCGTCACTGCCGTGCTTGCTACCATTCTTACACCAACATGAAAAATTATTCTCGCCATCTTTAGTACCTCGCGTGTAGTGGCAGCCCCAGCAGCGTGCAGATAAGGGTCCATATGGACTAGTACCATACGTCAATAAGGAAAAATGATTGCCATACCTAAGAAATGTACATACTCATTCCCTGTGAGAGGCCCTCCTTTCGTCTTATCCCAACCAAGGAACCAGTCCAGATTGACGCTCGAGATCTGCTCTATTGGTTTATCTCGGCTCCTCCATAAAGCGCCCTTATTATGGTCCGGATCGTTTTTCGGGTCATTAGTGCAGATAACATCCAGATAAACGTATACACTCCCTGCGTCATCGTAACGAGGCAGATCACGCGCGCTGATCTTACGACATCTCTTTTCCAGTAATGCCTTCCGAGAAAGTGGGGGTTGGGATTTGTCGACGTCGGCTTTATGACCTGGTTTAGGGCTTCCTGGAGGGCTTTCTGGATAGCTTCCTGGCATCTCTTCCTCAGAGGACCCAGCTGCGCCTTGACAAGCAGCAAACCCTGCTAGGAAAAGAGCAATTATAACAAAGGTCTGTCGCATTTATGCTGAGGAGAGCAATGGTTTGCAGTAATGTTCAAGTTGGAAGCAAACGGTAGAAAGCAATGGGAAGACTACTTGGAGAACCCTCTGGCTAGCGTTATAAATAACGGTGCATTGTACCGCTACATATCGCCATGAGCTATTTCGTAAAGGTACTATACTGCATATGAGCTATATCCTCTCCTTTTTCTATTCTATGTTCATCTTTTTAACTTTTGTTGGTCAAGCCGGGCTGGGCACTGGGCAACGACTCGTTACACTGACCAGATAACCCCCACAAAGAGTTCAATTTAGGGGCGAGCTCCAGACATTCGGCTGATATTTCCAACTTATGCTTACCTCGTACGAATGGCCATTCAAGTAGTCATGCTGTTTACCAGAACGAGGTAAGTCCAATTCGATACAAGCTATAAGTCAGCCCCTGTATTTGAAGCAGCGTTGCGATAAGGTGTTAACGACGCCGCTGAGGATGACGATCACGTTCAGAGTAAACCCGGTGTGAGAAATCTGAAAATTTGCCTTTTCAGTATATTAGACTAGCTTTGGTACGGATGGTTGCAATAGCATCAAGTTTCAATTAGTATGGCAATGGCACCTCTATGGAAGCAACATGGCAGTAGATGCCCTTCCTTCGCGATCTCAAAACGTGCAGTCATGTATATCCGTATATCGTCTTTGCCCAATTCACAAGTACCATCGTGAGTATCCAGAACACCATAACAAGAAAGTTCAAAAGGCGATCAGTATAAGTGGACATTCATAGCATATTTCTACTCCATGTCCAACATAGCAGTCACTGATGGTAAGGGGATATTAGTATGCCTCTCTCCAGCCTCATCCACAGCCAGGGTCAGAAAGGCCTGTTTATAGAGAGGGTCAAAATTCGGGTAAGCATAGAGGAAACGCGCAGCATGAGGCACCTCGGACGATCTCGTGATGTGGTGGCTGGAAACCTCAGTTTGACTGTTTAAATCTGGACCCATCGGATGTGATGCGACAGATACAAGACACTTCTGATCGTCTATTCCGCCCCGCAAGGCGGCTGCCTCTTCTAGCTCGATCACTCGTTCCGCGACGATGGCGCACAAGTGACTATTTAGCAGACCTTCCTGGCGAGAGGCGGACCGCAGCACCTCGACGGCCTGCCGGCGGATGGAAGGGTCACGACATAGTGTAGCCACGTCGTATAGGGGACATATGATCCCCATGTCCAGGGAAAAGGAAGGCCTCTTATGACCTTCGTTGAAAGTATCAGACGGCGCCGAAGAGGTCGAGGATATGGGCGTGTCGGCGTCGGTCATGTTGATCACTGCCGCTGCCAACGAGACAATCAGCTGAAACGTGGAGTTGTACCTATCCCATGACTGAAGATCCGTAACTACGCTCTTACCTCCATCTAAAATTACCAGTCGCCAGCACTGATAGATTCGTAGGATCTTCAGCCCGATGGAGTCCTTGTAGGTGAGCAGGGAACCCCGTGATTCCTCGAAACGATGCAGGGCGGTCGACCACTTGCTTATGAGGACTTCGGCTTGCTGCATTAAATTGGTATACTGTTCCAACCCCGTGTCTGCTTTACTGTGCTCTATCACTGAGTACTCCCGATATATTCGGCCCACATGATATTCAAAGCATTCATGGGCATCTGATATGGAAAGAAAGCATTCGGGGACTTCCGCATAACGGCTTCCCACTACCTGTGAATCATCCCTCAGAGCTTTGTCCGTGGCAGTTCGCGTCTACGTCATTAGAATCAGTCATCAGCCGTATACGGAATGGAGATCGACGCACCAAGGTCAGAGCCTGATCTTGGAGGCGGTTGAGGGTCTTCCGCAAGTAGTCCATTTCCAAGCTAGTGACTGTCGATGGCTTTAAGTACGGGTGATGATAAGTTCCTGAATGAGGGTCCTCGTAAACGTCCTTGAGAATTTTGATCCCGTTTCGGACATGGCCGACAGCCGACCCGTAGTGGCCAGACATTATCTATGACGGTTACTCGATCCGTTGGGCTCGTAGCAAGGGAGGTCATTCCTACTTCAATGAAAATAAACAAAATGCACGAGATCAAACAGACGTCCACCGTTAAGCTCCGCGGGGAGCCCGCTGGCTGGTCCGGGCTCCCGCGGGGCAATGGGTTCGAGGATCCCAAGAGCGCCCTGATAGCCGACACATATTGCTGCACGGCGAAGGTGTCAACCCCTCGTTGAGTCAGCCAGTGGCCGTTCTCAAAGTTCTCGTGCAAGGAGCCCAATGCGATCAAGGCATGGTAAACGGCGGTCTCATGCTGACTGACCCGCAACACGAGCCTGGACCAGAATTCGGACCCACAAAGCCCCGCCAACGAAGGCACGGTGCGTTCGTAGAAGAACTGGAACGATCTAGTTTCCCGTGTGTTGCCCGAGTATTGCAGGGTCTGAGGGTGAATGTATGGCAGGCGGAGACAAGTGTTCCGCTGGGGAGGCGGAGGACTTGGCGCCTCATATCCATCGCACTTGCGACCCGTTGATGAGCATTTCAAACAATGGGGCCTGGCTTCGTCACATTTGATGCGTCGCTCTACGTGATCCAATTTAGCATCTACATTGTAGGATTCCACGGTCTAGGGCATCCGGTCTGTCTTACTTCTATTCGAGAGTCAATTGGATTCAAATTAACAGTGATCGCATCCAATCGCAACAAATGACGATGGATGGGAAGTCAACCGAAGATCGAAAACAGTGTGCTTACTTACTTGCACGTCAAGCAGCCTCTTTTGGCCCTAGGCCTGTAGGATCGCTGGGTATCCGGAACAGCCGACAACGGCATTTTGGAGAAGGAGAGCACAGATGCTGACGATCCCTCGGAAGAGTAGCAATAAGGACCCCTTAGCGTTTGCAATTTCATCCAGAGGCCCACCGAGTCCGCTAGACTGAACTATCTGCACATCTTATTGGCCATCACGCCTGGCAAAAATACATTCGGGTAATCACAAGGAGTACAGCGTAGAAGCGACCTTGACTAGAGATCTATGGAGTATGAACCGAATCAGCAATAGTGTGGGTGAAACTTATAGCTGCCTTGAAAGCCAAGTATCAGAAAACAGATGCAGCAAGTGAAAGAGGCGGTGAACAGGGCGGTGCCTATTGACCCGCAATAAACATACACTTACGGAGAAGCTGTTCCAAACCCTAATCATGTGATCTTCTAGCCCTACTGTGAATAGCGTGTACTCGTTTTCCACCTTGAGTCCATGATACCAAACTATGTATGAACAGGTTACAGCATCAAGCTTGACACATCCAAAATTGGAAGGTTCCATACAGGCTGGGCGAAAAAGGTGGGTTGGCAATGTATCGACACTAGTTATGAATGTTGCCGAAAACATAATTGAGACTGGTGGGGGGAGGGAGAAGAGGAGACAAGAGACATGGGTGTTGGCTCGAGCATCAGGACTCAATTTAGGGGCTATAATGATGCACGACCATATGGCCTACTTACTCTTTCCTGGTGGAGCATTATATACCAGCCCAACATCAAACTAGGTCTTAAAAGACTGAATCGCCCATGCCAAGGTCAGTTATATGATAGGACTGCGTAACATGTTTCTTCCTGGGGTTCTACTAGTGGATCATGGAGGGAAGTCTGGGTGCATACTACGCGCTAAAAACAGTGGTACAGAAGGTGCCATTTCGAGCATATGCCAATATTATCGATTCGGGCGTACATTCCCAACAACAAAAACCTCCATACTTTCTGCGTCGTAGTCAGACACCAGTAAGGCAAGCGAAAGACCAGGGTATCGGACTCGTAAGGAGTACTCAGGAGTATGATCATCAATTGAAACTATCTTGTATTGCTCCCGAAATGTGTGAGTGAGCGCTCGTAGTGCAGTTACAACAATCTTGCATCCATCAACTCAGCAATTCTAGATCTCAACATCAACATATACATACATCAAGCCTGATATTTGCAGAGAGATAGTCGGAATTAAGCGAAATATAGAGATGCATCGCCCCCTAGGAATGAGATAAGATGAATAGCCACCCCCACCAGGGCCTGTTGGCATCGTCAACTTGACGGAGATCTAGGCTCATATCACGGTGGAACTTCCCCGTATCTTGGCGGTGGGGCCGCGAGAGCAATTGGAGCATTTAGAATATATGGTGGAGGATTTGCAGGATTTGCAGGCCTAGGAGGATATCTCGGAGGTGAGAATTGTCCTAACCCTACACTTTCAAGTCGGTAAATGTCTTCCGACGAGTATGGCAACGCACTGAATTGATGGCACATGAGATTGCCATCATGGAATCTCATTACTTCATCTATAGTCATGCGGTTACGAGGCAATCCAAATTCTATTATGCAAGACACGTACCTAGATTGAAAAACATCTGGACTCCCATGTCTCCTGACTCTTTTTCGTGCACCCGTTGAGAGGGATACTCATCCTTGCACCAGCAAGCAAGATTCGGCTGGCCTTCTCTAGCCCAGGTTTGGTACACGCAGTCCCAACATCTGCCTTGAGTAAGTCCCTTCCCGCTAGGAATATAGTCAGCATCGAGGGATGTCAGGGAAAGATATATATACTCAGGTTTTGCAATGAACGTCGATTTGCCACCTCCGAAAATAAAGGATTTCCAGCCAATGCATTTATCCAAGGGGATTTTTAACCGTCGTAGTACGGTCCGCCCGTTACTTCCGACATGATTGCACGATGCGAGCAAATGTTGTTTTGGGAGACCCCGGTCAGGGTTAGTTCTTAGGTTATGTTTGTGGTCTTCCACTATCTGGATCTGGGGACACTGCTTGCGCCCTTCAGAAGATAGCTCTTTAGTAGGACTTCCCAGCTTAAGCGGCTTAGATTAGCCAGCGCCTTGACCGGCAGCTAAAGCTGATAGATACAAGGCAACGATAAGTGAGATACAATATATTTTTTTAAATCTTAAACAGAAGCATTCAAGAAGTATAAGGAGAACTTGAAGACCACGTAAACGGATAGTAGTCTTTTAAGCACTCCTACAATGACCTCGTTCTGGCGATTTATATGAATCTGGATAATTCAAGCCTTACTATTCCTGTCATTCTAGTTAGCTCAGCCCACCCCTGAGCTCAATAACATGGAAGTTATAAGGAACCAGTAACAGTTTTGTTTCTTTGTTTCAGCACGGGCGTACCGGGCAACGGTGTGGGGATAATGTTTATAAGGTGTTATCCATCTGTGTAAGGTTGACTGGAATTTTGTCCGAGGCTGGCCAAAGGGTCTAATCCAATTAGCTGGCATAGAGAAAGAAAAGGCTGCGATACCTCTTCCAGTACGGCAACCCGACTACCCTATTGGTGCGTGTTCATGCATATAATCTCCTGGCCGAAGGTATATGTGACTGCACAACCATCCGGCAAAACACAGAACATACAATGAGCGGAAATTTGCCAGGCACAGTTAATCTGCTGAGACCAGTAAGACAAGCAACCGAGACGCCCTAAAGGGATGAAGCGGCTCATCAAGATGAATGAGACACAACTCTTGACTGGCTTGGTTACCACCTGCGGCAGGTTATAGGCGCTCAAGAAGGTTTGATTTGGATTTAGACCCAGTTTACAGAGCACTCCGTATCATTACAGGATATGAGATATCGGATATAAATGTTGAGTGAAAATTATTCTGTGATTGGCTCAAGAAAACACTCGGCGGGATCAGTATCAGTTTATCTCCCCAAACGTATCTCGCAATCAGGGCCAAACTTTATATTTCTCAATAACGGCAAGGCAATGGGGGGAAATGATAAAAATAAATCTTTTCGTAGCTTCCAACGTGAGACCCTTGTTAATACTCCGTTGTCGCGAGGAAGGAGTTCGAAATGGACCCACCAGGCAAGATATGCGGCATTCCTGTGGGGCACCAGTTAGAGACAATCATGTTTACAGAATAGGTGCGTATCTATTGTACAATTTGGACTAAGGTGTCTCCCAAAGAAGGTGTCAAGATGCTCAAAACACCGCTATGGCCTGGTATAGTTACCAGTGCACCTACCTTGTTCAGACGTCCAATTTTAGTTACTACTGAAACGGACTTTTTAGACAACATGCTCCGGACAAAGGTAAAGCCACCGACTGTGCCGAATGCAATTATACCTTAAGTATGGAGTAACTGGCTATGAAATAGAAACTTATGGTTCGCGGGGGGTGCCCCTCACGTGGACGTCCTTACCCTTGATGAGCATTCTTATCAGCAGCAAACAATGAAAGAACTTCTGAAACTTCAGAGAACAGAGTTCTCGATAGTTTGCCGCGTTGTAAAATTAGCACCCGAGGGGTCAAGCGTGCATGCTTCCTTTAATTGGTGCTGGATCAGCTTGATTTCATTACAGCAAACTCTCACTGCACCGGTGCCCGGAGTCGGGCCAGGTATCATCACACTGCTTTCAGGTGATCTGTATCCTCACAGCAAAGCGCCTTGTCAGACTCAACAATGTATGAAATGGGTCTTTTGGTTCCCGATAATTAAAGCCGCAGTGAGTGTAGTACACGGAAGGGGCTCATACCTACGATCCCTTCTGTGGTATCACATTCCAGCTCTCCGGGATGGTAGATGCGACCGTATACCAACCAGAAGCTGATACAGTTATCAGCTCCGGAATCTATTCTGGGAACGCCTAGGGTCATGACTTCTGCAGCCTCTCAGCCCCTGAGGGTTCTCGTGACTACCGATACGGCACGGGCAGTCCCATCGCCATTACCATTGGGTGTAAGGAGTAGTCTGGCGATTCATTCTGGCTATCAGAAGCATCTTGCGGATTGTCCCCGCAAATCCGGATTTGAGGGTGGCCGTCGGTCTGGGGGACCGTTTATGATAAATACTGCCATTTAGGGTATGTTTAAACCGCCGGTGTGGGACGGATTGCCACCGAACCGCCGGGGACGGATCCATTCTGGGTTCTAGATCAAGATAGGACTCTGGAGAGCCAATGGTGGGGAACCACGCGCTGGGCTGGCGCTGGGCTGGACTCTTTGGGCTTTACGGCAGGGGGTGTTTGATAACACTTTCAGCCATTCGGTTCGGTCCCGTCGTGACCCTACCGATCACCTGATCGGCACCTAGCTATATCTCCCGTTGGAGTTGGCCACCTGATTGTCATGGCAGCTCATCGGTATCGGGCGTGAATACTTGGAATGGGTTCGGATAGGGTTTCTAGAGCTCCGTGTCAATCTGATCGTGATGGCTATTTAGAAGGGCAGATGTCTCCGAAAATCAAATGTAATCAACAGCAACTCCAGAGCAAAGTTCAATCATCAGAGTCTCAACCTCTCTAGTTATCTTAATAACAAAAACATCTCCACAATGTCTTTCTTGAGGAATTTCTTTGGTACCTCCACTACGGCGGTCAAGGAGGAGGAGAACAACACGCCTATCCGTGCTCTGCCTGCTTCCTGGTACACTTCCCAAGCCATGTACCAGCTTGAGCGACGATCCATCTTCTCCCGCAAGTGGCTCCTCACTACCCACAAGGCCCGCGTCCCCAACTCTGGCGACTGGGTCCAGTATGACGCTGCTGGTTACGAATTCGTTGTCATGAAGGACCACCAAGGAAACGTCAAGGCTTGCCTCAGCAGCGATCTCGCCCCTGTTCACACACACATTGACCGCAACGGCTTTGTCTGGGTCAACCTGGATGCCGGCGAGACCCCCGAGGTAGCCTGGAAGGACGACTTCGAGGGAGTCGATGAGCAGCCCCGATTCCAGCACTACAACTTCGACGAATACAACTTCGACCACACCTGGGACATGGAAGGCGACTTCAACTGGAAGATTCTCGCCGATAACTACAATGAGTGCTACCACTGCCAAGTCGCTCATCCCGATATCCCTACCATCGCCGATCTCAACTCCTACTATGTCAAGACCAAGGATGGCCACATCCAGCACTACGGTGCTCAGCGACAAGACCAGATTGACAAGGGCTTCCGCATTGCTACTACCTACTTCTGGCCTAATGCTTCTTTCAACATCTCGTGAGTAGATTGCTCTCATCAGACTTAGACCATTACTAATCATGATTTCAGCCCACACTTCTTCTTCATGCAGCGGTTTACTCCTATGAGCCCCACCAAGTCCGTCATGCGCTACGAAGTTTATCGGCACAAGGACGCTAGCGACGAGCAATTCAAGCTTATCAGCGACATGTACAAGCGAATCATGTCCGAGGACAAATACCTCTGCATCCACACACAAAAGAACCTGAACGCCGGCGTCTTTGTCAATGGCCAGCTCCACCCGGAGATGGAGATGGGTCCTCTCCACTTCCAGAAGACGGTACGGCAGGTCGTCACCGAGCACAACAAGAAGGAAGACGCCGCTGGCCACGAGATTTGGCCCGCTCAACGAAGTCTTCCCCAGGATTCTGTTGTCAGCCAAGACACTCTTTCTTTCCCCACACCCGTGGACAGCTACACTGAGAAGGACGACTTGAAAGACAGCCTCAGTGCCAATCTTGCCACAGCAATCGCTGTCTAGGGAGCTGGAGATGGCCAGAAAAGGGAAAGAAACTCATTCGTAATAGAATTTGCCAGGGCGCTTAATGATTATGATTAGAAATTAGCAACTTGTTTTGAGCAGTATTTAGCCATGTCAGAATGAATTATTTTACATTCCATTTTACTACTTCCGGGACCTTGTGGACGTGGATACTTAACCCTGACTACCTTTGCGATTGTTGTAGTTCTGGAAATTCTTCCCTATTCAGGATAGCCCACCCGGACATCCAGTATCTTAGCCAATCATACACTGTCTAGATATGCTATCCTGATCAAGATTAGCTGATCTTGGCATACATAAGTAAGGGTTCAGTTGAAGACTGCAGGTACTCCATAGTTTGTGTTGCTTGCCTGCAGTTGAACGAAAGGGAGCTGCAGGGCGGTGAGAGCCCGCACATTCCATTCAATTAGGCAGCGGTGGATGCCTGGGGAACAAACAAGCTTAGAGATGTCGTCGTCGCAGTTATCATATCCTTATGGAAACAACCGTCACCAGGGACCTTGACGACAAATGCCTCGATTCCTTTCAAGAGAAAGACAAACGCGCTCACAGCAGCATGCCCTGGCAGGCGCAAGTCTGTACGTTCTGCGAAAAGCAATATGTACACAAGAGAGGCCTCCGTGACCACCTGCATCGATACACCGGGGAAGTGCGAATACCCGCCGATGGAATCCATGACGTCTTGAAGATTGAAAGGATTCTCGATCCTGATGCAAGAAACCAGTGCCAGTATCGATGCCCAGTTTGCTCTAAGATCATCAACCTGCGACGGCAATTCATTGAACATGTTATTTACGCAAGGCACGACAATGTTTCAGATGGTGATTCCCAACAAGGCACCAAGAGACGACGCCGGAATCGAGAATGGCCATTTCGATTTGAAGAGGAAACGGTTAAAGTCTGGCAACGGAAAGGAACCTTTCCTTTTCTTCGACTTCCTTTCGGTCTGTAGTTCACTACTGGGAGAAGGCATTGGCGTCCCGCCGTCGTGTTGTCACGAAGAGGATGGATTTACTAATGCCTATCCCGCTTAGAACTTCGATACATGATATACAAGTTCGTTCTCTGCTTTGGTAATATCAAGTTCGGAAAATACTTGGCGTCATCGTTTGTTTATCCAGATCGACAAGGGTTCTGGCTGCAGCATAACCCGAAAAACAACCTTTTGACTCTGCTGGCTGTCAACCGTCAGGTCTATAACGAGGCACGACGGGTACTCTACGGCCTCAATTCTTTCATCTTCCAAGCGCCAGATACGATCCCGGTATTCCTGATCGGTATCGGGCAGGAGAATGCGGAGCTTCTGCAATCAGTACGATGGATGAGTGGGCCGCAGCATTGCGAGAACCAGATTGATTCTATTCAGCGATACCTGACGCAGTCAGAAGAAGAACATATCTGGAATGATGAGAAGTCATATCTGAGCTTCTTAGCAATGCTCATTAACAAATCTCCTGATTATGTGACTGCTTACCATAATCATCGTTTAGTGCGGTTAGACACAGACTGTACACCATTGCGTAGCTATCGAGTACGCTATCGCATGCATGCAATCTTTGGAGAAACTAATGGAGAGGTCAGCAAAATGATAGGTACAGAGGGGACTATATCTTTCGAATTGTACAAGTGCCCTAGGCGATATGATTGGAACACATATCAATATACCACAGATAGTGATATAGCCTTGAGACACGAGAGATACGACAATGGCCCCTAAAAGGAGTGCCAAATATGCGCGATTGTTTCGAACCCTCCATCACACATCGGTTCTACCTTCTGTTTCTAGGAAGCTTTCAAATCCACTCTCCTTGGCTCTGCATGTCTGTCTGTCGCTGCCCAATTCGAGTTTCCATAGGATGGTGTTAATTCATTTGTTACCAGGTCCATTTCCGCAGCTAATCAAACGTGGTTTGGCATCTTTGAAGATTTTACTCCATTTTCCAATCTCCAGAGGACCTCCTCAACATAGTCCCACTATATCAGGACTCAGCGCCCCTGCACTATCACTGCATTTTTAGTTCTCAAGAGAGAATTTCGCACACTGTTCTATCCAATTAAATCAATATAAATACTCAAGAGAACGCGAAATTGCTTAGTGCCTGCGCTAGCTTTTCGGTATCCTGCGCCTACACTGCACTTTTAGCCCCCCCACGGGATGCTGATATGACTTTACCATTCCACAAAAAATGTCACAGTTCGTATTCACATTGAGAGAGTACGTAGTGAGTCCACTATTTCTGTGCGAACTCTATTGACTGAACATAATATGACTATTTCATACCTACTTAGACCCTCATAAATGTAGATGACTCATGATGGGTGGCTTCAAAAGCGAATTCAAGTTGTCAGATCGGCCGATATATCAGGGATTGTAACTCGACTCACCGAGTAGCCCTGCATTTTTAGGGGTGAGAAGCGGTTACAATTATGTACTACTTTGAAGATAAGTATCCTGTGACTAAAGCATTACTCCTTGAGCTATTTGTTTCAGATTGGAATATATTTATAGATGCGACGGAAATGCGTCACAAGTAGATGTATACTTTAGAGATGAAAGGTCTCTCAACTACAGGAAAGGGACCATGAAAGTGTACCTGTAAGGAATTATAAACTTCTAGGTATAGCATTAGATTTGTTTAAAATTATAGTAATCATTCTATCTTCGCCGCTTCTCATGGATTTTCTCATGCCGTTTCTTGTCATAACTCCTCGCAAATCCCTTGCCACACTCAGAGCATCGAAATGGTTTCTCTCCGGTATGGATTCTCTGGTGATCCTGCAGGATATTCTTCCTCACAAGGCGCTTCTTGCAAACAGGACATTCATAACGGGCACCTAGTGGCCTCTTCCGCTCGTAAGGTGTGAACGTTTCGCCCAAGTCGCGCTCCTCGGGGTGAAACCTCTTCATGTGTGCCGTAAGCCGGCTTTTTTCAGCAAATCCCATTCCATTCATTGTACAGTTTTCTACTGTGCAACGGAATGGGCGGTTGTGATGATCATCATGTTTGTCACGGGCTATCGCATTTTTGAAACCCTCGTGGAAATAGAAGCACAACACCTTGGGACAGCGGAAGGGGTACTCATCATAGAGCCTGGATAGAACAACTGTATCATCTGTGCTTAGGTCTTCCAGCAGTTTTCGATTACGAGCTAGCGTTTCCTTGAGCAAAGGAATGCTCACATTGTTGCGTGATTCCAAGTCTCCCCTTTGGGCGCAGCAGATATGATTCCAGATTCTGACAAGGTTATTATAAAAGGGGTACTGTTGGAAGAATGCACAATCTATCCACACTTGCTCCAGAATGCTGCTGCCGTATACTGGGAAGCTTGCTTGATAAAATCTCACGAAATGCTCGAGTTCTCGGGATATTCTGGCAACACGGTCTTGGCCGTCCATTCCGTCTACCAGGAAATCATGCTTCTTCTCAATCAGCGTCCCTATATGTAGAAACCAGGCTGCGACCGCATAATCCTGGAAGGCAAAGTCACCACTCAGAGCATTCTCCCGGAGACTTTGGGTGGAAATATCAGGCCTAAAGATATCAAGGCTAAGGTACCGCAAGCAGCGAAGGGTGAGGTCGCACTCCGCTGCAGATATTCGTATATTGCTTTTCTGGACTATGAACCTAGTTCCGTGTCAGCTCTTAGCTTTAATCGAAGAGAGGAGGGATATTCAATACAGTCTAGCAGTGCTATGGACAAGCTCGATTCGGTTACCCTTGAGCACCTGAACAAGAGATCCGCACAATTCTTGAATATCGTCTTCTAGTCTGCGGTCCGGATTGACTTCACTCGAATGACCCCATGTCTTAATATCGGTGGATAGTGCTACTTGTATTTCTGTCCACTTCAGAGGCCTTTTCGAGCATACTAACCAACCGAGCAATAATTCTGTATATTCATATTGTTTTGAACCGAGGTCACGCTTAAGGCGCTCCATGATTCGGACATATCTACACAGCAGTTAGCCAAGGACTAGGTAACCAAATTGAAACGTTGGCAGAAGAGGGCCACGTACGCTTGGTCGATCTCACTGGGCAATATTGCAGCGGTGGTCTCAGTACGAAAGTCTTCCTTAGTTGGCTGCTCTTTCAAATTATTCATAACCAGCTTAGCAAACAGGAACATCCCTATAGAAATGTTAGAAGACACCATATATGTCAGGATACTTTTCCCCCTTTACCATCTGCCCTTGTACATATAATTTGCACAACATCCTTAAGGTACTCATTGCCAAACCCAAACTTCTGGAACTCGCGTTTTCTGCGTTCACAATACTTTTGGATGTCTTGCTTGTTGTGCTCCGGTACCAGCGCAAGCATCTCAGCCTCCGGTAAAGCGTTTTTGACTTCATTCATGGGACGACTTAGCAAGAGGACACGAAGTTTTCCTTTCGAATAGATTTCGTTTTTCCTAACCAAAATCCTAAATGTGTCAATCAAATCCTTTCTCTGCTCTTCACACTCGTCAACGCCGTCTATGACCACGTTTAATCGAGAAATTCGTTCACAGAACACCTCCAGAATACCATGCGCCGTGGACAGATCCGATAACATGAGGCTGCCCGAGCTCTTGATCTTCGCGTGGCAATAAGGGATCAATTCGCGGTGCTGGCGCGCGAGTTGCAAGAGAATACCACGGAGCACTGCAATCGCAGAGTTTCTCGACTTCACCTTTTCCTTGCAGTAAAAGTAGCATGTGAGCGAAGAGGGGTCCCCCAGGCAAGCCTCAATTATGACCGATGCTAGATATGTTTTACCTGGTGAATGCATACGTTAGCAAGTCATGTACAAGGAAGCAAGAAGTACTAATAGGTACCGGTCCCCGGACGCCCATTGATCCATAGCAAAGAGTTGGATGACTGCTCTGGCTCTGGAGATAGCCATTTCTTGACCTTGTCATTCTCCAGAATCCAGCTACCGCTACCGGGGTAAAAGCTTCGGTCACGGCAGATATTGTTGTGATCACTCTCAGTCTCGGCGCCTTTGGCGTCTGCAACATCTTCAACGCCTGAAACCCCTGCAGCGCCTGCAATCCAGCATCTGACCTCATCATACATCCTCTCTCGTATCACTTCCTGCTTCTGCATGGATAGGCACATGTTGTTGCTGGTGCTCTCGAGGTGGTTTCGGATTTCTTGCGCATCCATTGTATAGTACACCGGGTGGCTGTATAAGGCCAGAGTCTTATCTTCGATCATTATCCTATGGGAGCCAATCTCGCGCAAAATGAGAACAAATATTGCTTCGAAGTCTTTCCATAGTGGTCGAAATACGGCTCTTAGGGCTGTGGTGTACAAAATTAGTATCCTTCACCAGGTAGAAATTTTAATATCATACCTCTCCCGGAGTATAATCTAATCGCATTCTTATGGAATTCCAGGATAAGAGCAAATATTCTTGCCAATATTCGCTGCAAGCCCACATAGTTCTTGAAGAACTCACGATAGGCTCCAAGCATTGGCAGCTCATCACCAATAGTTTCGTATGCTTCCAGGAGCGTGTCGAGTAGATCCACATTACCTTTTGCTGTCTAGTGCCACATTAGATCAGAATGTGGAGAGGCCGTAAGGGACTCATACCTGGAGTAAGGTCTTCACTGGACCCCAAATAAGAGACATATCTTTGCTGGTGCCTAGGATATCCTCAAGAACGGTTCCAATCTGTTCCATCGCTTGAATAAAGCGCTCAATCCGACGAAGATTTCGCAGTGAGTTTGATTGTCCTTGCCCATCCTGAATCTTCTTTAGCTCTTTCTTCAAAGCCTGAAGGTCTGTGGTTTTGAAGGCGTCCAACTGCTCCTTCTCGAGCCCCTCTTCAAAGTGCTTGGTAACTCTATGAAACATCTCTTTGGGGAGTGAGTCAGGGACCTCTTGGAGATCTAACCGACCACGAGAGACAATGGAAGGCTGTGTAGAATATCTAGAGCCGCCTATTTTTCAGTTAGTAAAAGCCCACAAGTGGGCAAGTTGAAAAGTAGCCATAGTTGAACCTGGTTGGGGCCTCACCATTCGGCGTTCCTGGCTGTGATGGTCGGTCGTGAGATACGTACTGCGCCAAAACCTCCTTCGCAACTGAAGCAGCAACCGCAGCTGCATAGCCCTGCCATTTCTTGTTTTTATGACTGTCAGCGTAGTCACACACGCCCTTGATAATCAAGCAGTTGAATTTGTTCCAGACCCCAGCCCCCTCCATTTCGAATGCTATCACACCTTCTGACTTTGCATGCTGGTCCCTATGCTCTGCTGACTTCTGAACGGTGTCCGCACAGCCGATCGAGCCAAAATGTATTAGTGGAGTCGGAACCTCGCGGTCTGCACCTCTTTCGCGTAGCCGAGTACGCGGTTCTAATCTGCCCTCATCGCATTGAAGCTCGTCACAGGTAGCTATTAGAGATGCCTCGCATACTGAGCCTGGTACCCCGGACATATTGCATACCCAGCAGCCAAAATGGTGTCTGTGTATGTAATCGTGTTCAAAGAGCTTGTCCTCAGTTGCGCCAGGGTATCTTGTCTTGGATTCTGGGTGCTGTAGAAGAGCTTTGAGATTTTCCATTGTTTTCTCTTGTGCATTTTTTAAGTGAAAGGCAGTTTTCCAACGTTGCAGTAGTCCCAAGGCGTCTTCATCTGGCCGCCCGTGAGTGTCTAGGATGGTGTCCTTTCTTCTGAAACCGCTGGGGTACTGTCGACCATAATCCAACTCGACAAGGATCTCGCTGATAATCACGTCGCCGAGGACAATCTCTGTGCCGTCCGCCTTCCGGGGAACTGCACCGCAGATTCCGACCAGCAAGGCAAGCTTAATTGAACTAAAGCTCATCCTGAGATAGCTAGCTGCAGAGGATGCATGCACCTTTCCCATCCTCGGCAAGGTAACTACGACCACGCTGTGTTTACCACTCCTTCCATAATCGTAGTGGTTATTGTCCCCCACGGCTCTCCCATAAGTGTGATGGGCATCGCGCCAGACCTCATCTAAGGAGCACAGAACAGCGTTTGTTTCGAGCGGTAAAGCGCAAATGATTGCAATCTCGAAGTCATTTCGACGTAAGGGACGATGTTGCCCATCCATCGCGGTATGTAGTTGACAGCATCGCCGAGGAGCGAGGAGCGCACATTAAGACGTCGGCAAGGCTGAACTGTTCAGCCACTGCCATGAAACCTGAGCTCTGATTCGTCCTGCGATCGCGCGGTACTGATCTATGTATCGCCTCGTATTCAAGATCTTATTCTTCACCATTGTGGTGTATGACCAGTGGCCTTTTGGTCTTATCATTTCAATCAGTGTATCAGTATACCCTCATTTCCTCCCATTCGATCGTCGAACTCTTAAGTTGATAGGTTCAATTTATGCTTATCCCTCTTTGTGTTTTCCTAAATTAGTACGATGCCTATTAGGTAGGATACTTGAGCTTCTTCATTTACCTATGTCGCGTTGTTCGATCTTAAAACGGAAATCGAACCAACAGCACCTGTATAGGCATGCGCCTTGACCACAGGCAACCAGGGACTGGATAACAGGCACCAGGCACACTGCACCAGTACAGTTCAGTTTAACCCCAAGTACGCCGGCTTCTCTAGCGCCGAGAACTACTACTCAAGCAAACTGCCGCTGACTGCATTCCCGAGAGTGGATGTATGTCCTGTACCAATCAGCCGATGCCATATGTACGTCAACTAAGCCCCGGTGAGGCGCCTCCAGGCATTTGGGCAAATCGTAAGCTCAGCCTGCTCCAAATGATCCTACCAGCATATGGAATACTCCGTGGTAACACGCTCCCATGGCACCGCCCCTCTATTGTCCGCCACTGCCTGTCACCTGAGAATCTACACAGCCACAGTCACCCTAGCATATTCCGGTCATAGTGTTTTCTCAACTATATACAATTTCTGGTGTTGAAAATTCTGTTCCAATTAGTAGAGATCACTTTTTTTCACTTTTATTTTATTCATTTTCTTTTCCTTTTGTTCTTTTTTTTAAAAAAGAAAAACTCTGTCTGACTAATTCCAGACCCACCCAAAAGATGTGGAGAAGTCAATTAGCTGTCATCATCGACAGGGGGATTATCGATCTTCATTCTTCCTTCCAACCATAACCATACCCAAATCTAGAAATCAAGCAAACTACCCATCATGGACCGCATTCGCGAGGCAAGCACTGCCTCAACCCTCAAAATCCAGCATAAACTAACCCAACTCCCCAGAAAATGAAAACCCTCCAGACGGAGGCCGACGAAGCGCAAACCGAAGTGGAAAAGCTCACGGCAAAAATCCAAGAACTAGAGCAGGATAATCAAAGCAAGGATGAAGAGATCGCTGCACTCTCAACCCGTCACCAAGTGCTCGAAGAGCAGGTTGAAGAGACAGAGAAGCTAGTCCGCGAGGTGAAAAAACTGTATGATGTCCTCAATCCTTTGCGTATTTATGGTATTCCTCCGCTAATTAGGCTAGACTCAACGAGGATGATATCCAGGCTGGCCATTATGAGCGCCGTGCCCAGGCGCTCCAGGCCGATAGCGACAAATGGGAGGCCAAGTATAATGAGATGGCCGCAAAACATGCCGAGCTTCAGAAGAACCTGGATAGCTTGCTTGGCGAGATGGGTGAGGTATAAGCATAGAGCATTCTGTACTCCGTACTATAAAACAATAAATTACTGGTTTCAATCTCCCAGGGGCATCTTGTGGCAGATGAAATTCTCAATTCCCACACGTCCAGGTCCACCACTGAGAAGAGTTCTGACATAATAAAAACAGCGGATTACTACTAGGCTGGGTAGATCACATATGGATGCATAACTATGTTCAAAGTATTCGATTTGGCATCTCCAAGCAACTATAAGAAACATTGTGAATATATATCATCCAACTACAACTTTTGGTTGTCCACTTTGTGTTGCTAGTGTGGATCTCTTCCCACCGGCTGAGTCAATACCCTGCTAACTTGTTCAGACTACAGTTTCTAGGACATATATATATAATTTCAGTAGTCTATATAAATTTATAAGTAATAGAATATTAAGCACTTCAGTTTGATATTCTTTTCATCTATTTAGATTAAGATATACAATTATTATCTCTAACTGAAGTGTTTTCTTTTCTATAAGACTATAACGGTAATCTCTATCTACTACCTAAGTAACCAGCGGAGGCTGCACAACACTGCACTTTTAGTCCCTACGAGAGGTTGTTAACTTGAATCGCCTCGTCTACACATTTAGAACTCTGCATCATTGGCCAACCTGACGCTGACATTTGCCACTGTACTGCACTTTAAGTCCCTGCGAGGGGCTGTCTGCCCAAATGTTAGGACTACCGTACTGCAATTTTAGTCCCTGCGAGGGACTGTCTGCTCAAGCGTCGGGTCGGCCTTATCGCACTGCAATTTAGTGGCAAGAAGGAGTGCAAGTTATAGCTATACTGCGGACTCCGGGGCTTAAATCTCCGCCCGCCGGAAGCAGTTTCAAGATTGGCTGGGTTTGCTGACTCCTGCATTGCAATTTCAGTCCCATGGGGGCTTACCACCTTTGTGCTTGCTCTCTTATCTCACTGTAGGATTGTAGGCTATCGTTGTAGTGAAGCTGCGCTTCGTCGGACACATCTGAAAAGTACCCGATTTGACGTATATTCTGTAAGCAAAGCGTCGATACACTTGATTTGCTTAATGATCTCACTCAGCTGACTCACTAAACAAGAACAACCAATAAGCATCTTCAAGATTTGCCACTGTACTGCAATTTTAGTCCCCCGGAGGGGTTGTCATGAATTATCTCTACTAACATTGTATAGTCTAAGTCCATACTAGGCCTAGTTCCTGAAGAGGCCTAGGCCCAATACTGCAGTGCCGAGCGCACTTTTAGCTCCCCCCAAGACATCACCTATGGCAATCAGACAGCGGAGTCACTACGCCACGTACGTAGTGGCGGCTGCACTGCAATTCTAGTCCCCACGAGTCGTTGTTAGCCCCCCTCCCCAAGTGCCCAGTACTCTTCTACATATCGGAATAACTTTTGTACCTATCCAGGTCACCCAGATGGGTATGGTCTTCTTACACTGTACTGCAATTTTAGACCCCCGGAGACATTGTCAGCTTACTAACCCTACCTAAGCCCCGCCCTCGAAACGAATGCCAGGTCCATTGCTGGAGTGAGTGTGCAAAGGAGGTCCAGAGTGCTTGTACCAATTGTGACTCGCGTGTATAACTTCCGACTTTGAGTGAAATTGGAACAAGACTAGGAATATTATATTCGCGAAATATCATCATCCCTGCGTATATCTCCCCGCCCAGCGGTTGCATTATATCTTATCAAGAAACATATTCAGGTTGAATGGGTAGAATGGTACTCCGTACTTGGCGGGTATATTTGGATATTAGATTAACCAATTTATCATTGGTTTTTGGTGCCACTGCACTGCACTGCACTTTTTGAACTCGGGGAGGGTACGGCGCTTTTGTTCGTTTTATTTTTCGTTTTCTTTATTCCCCTTGGTTTTATTTATATTATAATATGTACTATGGTGGTGCATAATTATTGGGCTGTGGTTATTGGGCACTCGTATCATTGATTATCCGTTTGGGTGGTGATCGATAGTACTTCGTACTCCATACTACTAGTATATCATAGTTTCTATTGTTATCAACAAGGAATACTATTACTTAGTGTGACATTTCCGTAGTGTGACTGACTGGATTAGAGTCTTGAGTCAATAGATTGACAACCTTACAGCGTGGGATAGGGTTAAGATAAAGTGGAAGGTTCCGCCAACAATGAACTAACTAGTGCCCTCTACCAGCGGTCCTGAGCGCTCCTCCGTCCTGAGCTTGGGTAAAGTCTATTACTGTGTATCAGGAACCTTCCCTATTACCTAACCCTAAGCTTCTGAACGAACGGATTCTTGGCGTTTACACGGTCGAGTTGCGACAAATGGCCCCCCATAGTTTATTGGAAAGGTTAGGACGGTTCATTTCCTCGACAACGCTCCTGGAGTGAGTGCAGTACATGAGATACACTCCCATACCCAAAGCCACTGCAATCTCCCTCGCTAGCCGCGTTACCTTTCCGATTCAGACGTCTGGGTTTTTACCGCCGTTGATCGACGTCTACTGGAGGGTCGGTGGCCCATCAAATACTGGAGTAGCAGTACGCCACCCCCAGACCCTCGATGGTCGGGGTAAGGTAGCCGAGGGTCAGTGGTGACAACTCATATATCAGAAGCCCCATCAGGCAGTGGGGTTCCATTCAGATGGTTGTGGTGGGCGGCAGCTGTGCCATTTGGACTGGGATACGATTGACTGTCGCGTCGACCAGGACTCAAAACAAGCGGTGCGAAGATCATCACTGGACACCATGTGAAAAACTGGTTCGAATTCCTTATGTCTGGCGAGATCGGTCAACAAATTGTGAACATACGTCACACTCCACAAGCAGGTTATCCTGGAACATCCTCGGTTGTGATGACCTCAAGGCCCACCTGTGGGTACTGTTGCAAACGAACAAGGAACCCCGGAGTGCCAGACCGATAGCCCCAACGAAGAAAAAAAAAAGAAATATGGGTAAACACACAATTGTGCGTTTCCATCCGTTTTGACCCGGTGTTTGATAACACAGCAAATCCCGCCATCGATCCACCCGTGAATTCTCTCATGTCCAGTTCCAAGGGTGAACCGGGAACCTATATTCAGGGCGAGGCAATCCCCGGCGATCGGCATTGACCTTCTTTTCCAAAGACTGGGCATGGAAAGCAATTCGCGAGGTGCATCGGAGGACAGACGACCGCTGTCTCAGAGAAAGAATCTACTGAATCGGGAAACTTTCCTGGCTGTCCCCGGTTCAGTCCCAGTTGTCAACAGGTTAGGAACGGTGAAGCCCGGGACGATCGGATGGGGAAACCCGCGTTGCCGCCCGAAACGGAAGGCAAATAAGGAGGATCCTCACGATCCTGAAGATCATTGCGGGTTGATGACGGTATGGGGTTCACAGAGAACCAGATTTTTTCGTCAGGGCAAGGTTGCGGGGCGTGACTGATCGGGAGACCTTCCATGATGACAAGAGATGCTCTTCTGCAGTGGCACTCGAGATAGGTGATAGGCCGAGCTACTGCAGAACCCCTTCAACACTTTTTGGAGACCCCGGCGAGCGAGACGGGAAACCAAAAAAGGAAGAAGAAGAAAACCTTCCTTCTTCAACCCGAACCCACATCCGACGAGCATCCACCAGAGATCTCAGTAAAAGCCGAGAGAAAAGTCTATTCGGCCCCGGTTGGATAGGCTCATGCCAAGTTATTGGCGTGGGAAATCTAAACGGGTAGTTGACACGTGCGGATGCCGCCGGGAGTTGCTTCAGTCTTCACCCTCAGGCAACTCAGCCGAGTTCTGCGACAACAAAACCTTCCCTGTTCCCCAAAAGTCGTGTGAAGATCATGTCCAGGCTTTTTTCTAAAGGGAATCCCCACAAATAAAAAACGTCTCAAAAGGAAAACTTCAAAATTCTCGGAAGGAATTTTTATTTCCCTGTGCCAACTTCGACTTCCCAACATCTATTCTACCAAATGCCTCAACTAATCTATACAGGTTATGACTCGTTATCCAACTCTTAACCAGTGGGTTGAAAGAGACACAAAATAAAAAAAAAAGATAATAAAGACGCTCTCACGCGAGAGAAAATCACTGCCAAACTATTAAACCCCAAACGCAAAGGATATCATTATTCACTCTTGGTCTCATGCACACCCAAGATCCAAATCCAGACTAATCGGGCAAAATCACGCAAAGGTACATATACAGTGGTATCATGAAATCATCGAAACAAGCATCCAAGGCAATCACAGAAGTGAAAGATGCCTTAGCATCACCCCCAAGGGTGGACGCGGCCAGGGTGGTTCGGGGTTGTCCGGAAGGATATCATCCAGACGCACAGCCGGGTGAGGTGTTGGCGGTCAATGGCCAACATGGAGCGGCATCCCTGGTGGCATTTACGACCATCAGGTCATGATCGACGCAGGGACAGCGCAGAGCCTGTGGCAGCAACACCCAAAGTCTACTGGGACTTGACAGAGCTGAAGACGGAAAATCACGACAGTCATGGCAAGATCAAGACACGCTGACCTTGGCTTGGCCTTCCCAGCCCCACTCCCGCAACAATTGCTTTACGCGATACTCAGTGGCCCAGCCAAGATCAAACTCTATGCCGCGCAGCAGTTGCAACACCATCTCACGTTCCCGAGGCTCGGTGAGACATTGACCGCTCACGAACAATGGCTGGAGCGAGTTGATTCGGACCGAGCCTTCTGGGTGAGCCATCGAGATACCTACAATCTCACGACTATGAAATCGGATCTCACTCTCAATGGAACGATACGAATTGAGTCGATTGGTGATCGTACTCCGTCTACTGGTCGACTCATGCGGTTTGTTGATCAGAAGCAAGATACGGGCCATGTGGTAATGCTGCATAGCTGACGAGCATACGGGAATGCTGTACCAGATCTCGGACAAAGCAGATCCGTCACCATCACCGTCGCCGTCTTTCTGCAAAGGGTGCTCCAGCCGTGCGCAGGGCCGGAAGGTATCCGGGAGACCGTTGTACCAAACGTCAAGCTCGGTTTCCAAGCGATACCACCGCTCAAGTAAAACCTGCTGCGAAATACCCAGAGGCCCGGTATTAACTGGACCGCTCCCCAACTGCAGGTTGTCCCCCGAGCTGATGAAATTGATGATCTTGGAAAGAATCCATATGAGGCCATTTCCGATGAGGTCTTCTTTCATAGCGTCATCGCCTTCAGGATAACCAGCGGCGTTTGAATTACTAGGGACTACGAAGCCCATGTTGTCTATCTGAAGACCAGCTTCAGTCCAGAGTACCAGGTCATCGGTATTCAGCCTGGTGTTACACTCATTGATGACTATAGTACGCGGGTCAGAATCCAAACGTTGCCAAGATCGCTCGAAAGTCACCCAGGATACACTTACAGGCAGCCAGGTAATCTTGCCGGGCAAAGTTCCAGAAGGTGGCCCTTCGGGCCTTGGAAAGACCGGGTCTCTTCAACGGCTGTGGCAGAGCGTCGCCGGGTGAAGGGTGTTGCTCAAGGGGCATCATTCCAACCTCGGCCACATCCAACAAAGATTTAACGCCACTCAAGTGTCGATTCCATGCCGGGCCGGTGGCATCCAGAAATTCATATACGGACAAGATGGCCGTCGCCGCAAGAACTTCATCCGAGTGGACCCCATTCGAAAATCGACTCTCCGAGTAACGCCTTCGGCGCTTTCGCGGGTTGTTAGGGCCATTACCCTCCGACAATTCTGCCGCCTGCCACTGGCCAAATGCCTCCGGGGTGCTGAGTGGCGCGGGGCCTTTGTCGGGCTGCAACTCCTTCATCAGCAGCTGAATGGCTTTTTCATAATACTTCGCGCCATGCCAGATCCAGTCTACGTTCTTCGCGTCCGGTCCTCGTCGCATGAGAGACTGAGTTGAGGCAAATTCACCGGTAGGGGGCCTCGCGCCTTTGACCCGGCCCAGCTGCTTCGCGGCGTACGCACACGCAGCGTATCGCAGCAGGGGATTGGACCGTGCTTTGGCCGGCACGTATGATGCGAAATATGTCCCAAGGTCGAATAAATCCATCCTATCACCACAGATTAACGGCCTTCCACAGGATCAGGCGAGCCCACCAGAACTTACCAGAGCCCCGGCGACTCGGAGAAATGCCGCAAGAGAAACATAATTTCACGGTCGGTTTCCACCGGTCCGTCCGGCTTGGATTCAGCGGCACTCGCACCTCGCGACGCTACCGACCTCGCGGTCAGCGAAGAGCTTCTCCGTGCCGTTGCATACTGTAAATTAGGGTCCGTTTGTGGAGAAAGAGATTGAGAGGGATTAAGCAGGAAGTTGATATTATTATTCGTGCTGTTAGAGGGCGAAATCGAAACCGGCGGAGATGGTTGGCCGGGTATCGCATTACATGTCGGGTTCGGCGAAGGGCCAGTGGTCACGGCCGTGGCTGGAACCGCATTGAACGCTACGCCACTGTCGGGGGTGGGTAAAGGCTGTTGGTCCATATTTAAAGGGGTATACGGTAGTTGGTTGTGGACCGCTGCCGCCGATAGAGCTTTTAAACCCTGAGTCTCCGCGTCCAAAGGCATGGTCCGCTGAGCGTTCCAATCTCGATTCTGCGCATTCGCGGCGAGGATAGCCGCTTCGGACTCTCCCAAGGCCGCTTCAAGGTCTTCCACATACGGATCCGAGTTGTCGACAAAGATCACTACCGAGGTAAGTCCATCAGCCAGACCATCACTCGCAGACATCGCCGTGCGCGCATCACTGTAGGGCTATGCAAATCGCTTTCCCGTTGGAGGTTTGCTCGTACCATGTTTCGGAATATCCAGCCAGACACTATCTTCATCAAAGGTGTTCTTGTACGAGTAGAAACCTTTCAGCGTGCCCCGCCCACTGGTAGGGTCGCCGGGGTTCTTATTCATCGAGGCATTTTGCTGATGGCGGAACACGATCCCTTCGCTGGGGCGGCATTCTCGGCCGCCTTTGCGACACTGCGAACACTCGGGCTTTTGCTCATCACCTATCCATCACTGGGTCTTAGTCCTTCGCGTTCCACCATCGTAACCGCTAAGGGAAGAAAGCGCGAAACACGTACACTTCAGTTTTCGAGTACGACACGTTAAGCTGCATTGACACGGGGCGGACAAGTCAGTCACTGATCATCTTTTCCCTTGCTCACGACGAACGGCATAAAGATGACGAGGAAAGGACATGATTTCTTTGCGTAGACATAAGAGATTATTGTAGATCGATATTATATTGGTATAATCTATGTGCTTTTTGTCCCTTTTTTTTTTTTCCTCTTTTTTATTATAGACAAACTTGGGGGGACACGTACCAGCCTGTGCGGGATCGCATACCGGGTGGTAACGCCGACGGTGAAGGTGCAGCATCCGAGTAGCGGGTGTGGACCAACAATATAACCGGGGAAAGGATAAGTTGATAGTCGAAGGAGATTCACTAGTCCCGAACCGATCTCACTGAGCAGATACTAAATTCGGAAAGGGGTTGTCAAAAGGGCTGAAAGGGATCTATGAAAGGGGGAGTTCAGGCGAGGGAAGTCGAAGAGGAGGAACGGGAAGAATGTTCGTAGGTAATCGACAACCGGCAATGATCGATGAGGACCTAAGGTGAACCTTCGCCCAAGGAAGGGAGATTTATTCCGTAATTTTTTTATTTTTTTTTTCTTCTCCATTTGCGACTTGGCGACAAGCGAAGGGGAAAAAAAAAAAAACAAAAAATGAACAAGAACAAAACAGAAAGCGGGGAATGGAAGCGACGGAACCACTTGAGGCCTCCCAAATGGGGAATCACTAGGCTGAAAACAGTCTAAATCGGACCCTCCTGGCGATTCACATTGGCAGGATGGCCGGAGTTTGTGTTTGTCCGGTGTTGGTGGTGTGGTCGCTGCGTCCTTGCGGGGAGACAAGTTGAGGGGGAAAATGCAGGAGTTGGGGTTTTTGGGACCTGGGGAGGGAAGCTGAGCTGAGCTTTACCATACCGAGTACAGTCCCATACATGAGTCCAGACGTCCGTCTAGCCGGTCCATCCTTTCCATACAACGGCTCAGTTGGATACATCCAATATTGAAATCGATCGCCAATCTGTTGCTTTCTTTTTCCGTCAAAATTGCAATCCACGAAAAATTCCATGCAAAACCCAAAGCTCCCCACGCACCCTCTCCACCGCTGCCGCCATTGTCCTTCAATCTTGCTCCATTTTGGCATGTTCCCTTCCCAGCGATCATTCCATAGTGGATCACTCCGAGTAATTAATTTACTCCATGGTTGAACCGCGGCCGCCGTCCACTGACAAGCGCGAATGACGCCCCAAACGATGCCACGATACCCAAAACCACGGATAGCCCATTCGTGCCCGTCCGCTTAGTCGGTTCCCGTTTCTGTTAGTTCCTCGTTTTACTCGCCCAGTGTCCCCAATCCCCGCCAACAGCTCATTCGATCCCGTATGCGCCATGACCTCACGATCAGCGGGTTCACGCGATGCCAGGGTTGATCGAAACATCACAGGAAGATCACGGACCAGTGTCCTTGCGACGACACGATGGCTGTGTGTCGCTTTAACCGTGCTTCCGCCAATCTCATCCCACGCAGGACCCAACGACCCGAGCAAGGCCCCACTTTTCTACTAGTAGTATCCCCAGCTGTCTCGGAGAAAACCAGCCAATGGCCCAAGGTCAATACCGGAACCAACCATCGCGATTGCAGAAAACGAGCATGATTGTCATTACCGCGATCTCGCGCGGGGAGCTATGTACATGGCCTCCTGGTGTCCCCCCGGCGGGAACCCCAGGGAACGACTATAGTACAAACATCAACAACAAAGGTTTCATGAAAGAAATGACGCAGCCGACCAGGGATTATATAGACAAGTCCCGGGTCGGGTCCAAGGTAGATCAAACACCAGAGGGTGTCGAAGCACCTTAAGGCAAAAGAAGTGAACAGCGCACTGCCCGGGATAGGCCCGGAGAGAAAGGGAAAAAAGTCGAGATGCAAAACATAAAACGGATTAAATTACGGGTATAAGACGGTTTTCTGCCCAAGAACGCCGGTCTGAGAGGTCAAAAAGGGGTCCAATTTAGATGCAATGCAGTGGACGGCTCGGTACGCGAGGCGTTCAGATCGCCGGGGTGGCCGGGTTCGGTGACTTCAGAGTGCTGAAGAGGTACTCCGGAGGCAACCGCCGCATGCTGGAGGGCCGATCGGTCCCGTACGCCTGCGGTCCCGGCATGTAGCCCTGGCGGCGCCGCTGGATCTTATTAAAGATCACCCCGGCAATGACGATCAAGAACACAGCGCCAAGTGCACAGCAGAATGAGATTAAGACTACGATCCCGTTGGAGTGATGGTTCCCAACTGCACAAGTTAGTATCTGCACGCACATTATCGTCTAAATGGAAAGAAATAGAAAACCTACCTTCGCTGCTGTAAGGGTTATCGTTCTCGTAGAACAGTTGAGTCATGCTGCCTGGTTGGCCATCCGCATTCGAGCTGAGCATGAATGGGGTCAACTCGGTTCCGTTGTAGAGTGCTGCGGACGCATTCCCAAAGTTAGGAATCACCAGCTGGCCGGTGACCAGAAGAACCTGGTCGTTGTGTAGAACGTCAACTCCAGAATGATCCTTGCTGAGGGAGAGCACTTCAAGGTTACGAATAATGGTACCAGAGTCAAAGAGATCGCCAGGGTACTGGAATTTTGATCCGTCATAGTTCGCAAGGTAGCTGGAGCCGTTCTGGGAAACTCCTGCGAGCCAGAATGTGGACACGTCCACACTGGCAGGGGTGAAAGCAGTCACGGTTCCCGGAAGGTCAGATGCAGTGGTCCAAGACTCCCAGGTCTGCTTCTTGGGGGTGTACGTTGCGATCGCGGAAACATTTCCCTCGACGGTGAGATTGCCAATTGCCAGTAGTTTCTTATTGGACATCCACTTCAGTGCCAAAACGTCACCTGATAATACACCAGGTCTGTTCCACTGCTGGTCGGCAGCCTCCCAAAAACAGACCCCCGGGCAAGGAAGAGCTCCGGCTTTCTCGAACTGGCCTCCGAAATAGATCTCGTCCGAGTCAGGACGAGCGGCGATGGATCTGACGGTCGCTGCATCGCCTGTGAATCGTGGTGGCTGTTTCTGAGCAATGGTCCCATTCTCAAGGTCGTATACGACAAACCCATTCAAAATATAGTCTTCGAAAGTACCAGTGACATTTCCGCCAGCGTACAGCTTGTCCTTCCAGGCAGTCAAGGCCAAGAACGTAGAGTTGCTGTCAATGTCGGTTCCCAGACCCTTGATGGTGCCCGCCTTACCGTCGAGCAGGGCAAGATTCTTTACAGAAGAACCGTCGGCGCCAGTGGTTGTAAAGTGGCCACCTACAATGGTGAGATTGCGGTTAGACTTCGTGTCATAAATCCCAGTGTAAGTCTCGCCACTGAAGTTGGCATTCGCGAACAGCGGCTTGATGTTCAGCGGACCGTCATGGAGGAGGGCCGCAGCACCTGCCGCGGCAATCCCCGCGGAGGAGAGAGTCCCGGCAATAACAGTAGTGTTATCCACCTTGGTGCAAGCTGATAGCTGACCAGCGAAGGCCATCTGGGTGACATTCAGATTCTGTAGCCAATTCTTCTTTGACGGAACCCAGACTGCGAAGCCGGTGACGTTAACCAAGGTATTGTCGTCGAAGGCGAGTAACTGATCGAAATCGCCGCTCACACCGATGGTCGTCTCGTTGATCTCCGTGGAGACGTTGAGCGTAAGCGAAATGACCTTGTGGACTGGCCCATTGACACCTCCTCCCAGCGCTGTCCAACTTTTAGAATCAAAAGAATAAGCTGCGATATGTTTCAAATCGCTATTGCTACGGTCAGAAGTATCGGTGAAATTGCCACCAACATATAGGATATCATCCAATACCGCCATCGAAGACACTTCCGAGTTCAAACCACCCTGCTGCAGGGCTGTCGCGTTTGCCTCGTCCTTCAGGGACAGAATGTTCTTGATCCCCGAGCTCGAGAAGTTTCCACCAGCATACATCACGCCGTCATGGATAGCCAAGCTTCTTACGGTGGCATTCTCGTCCAACTGAAGCCCAGCTCGGTTAATCGCAGACTCGGTAAAATTGGAACTGGTGGTTTTCGCGGCGAGATCAAAGTCATACAGGCCGTTCAATTCTCCGTCTAGCCCATCCGATGCCCGAATAAGCGCAAACCTGACCCTGGAAGCGACAATGGTTACATCGCCCTGGCCTGCTACCGGAGTTAGGGTTACGCTGGGCCGGAAAGAGCCATCACTGGAATCCACAGGACCGGTGTAGAGGGTGTCATATTTGTCGTTCAAGTTTGTCTGGTGGATCGTCTTTTGGATGGGCTCTGCTGATTTACTGTTGCTCTTCAGGGTGGCGGTTACGTTGACCACACCACGCGAGCCGCAAGTGCCGTCCTGGGTGCATCCGGGAGTGTAAACCACCACGGAATAATTTCCTGACTGTTTCACGTCCGGTTCAAAGACAATAGAAGTATCAGACGCAGTAGAGTCGGTGATACTCGCCGTCGAATAGTCAGATTGGCTCTGACCCGATTGGGTCGTAGTCCAAGAACCTGTCTGTGTCGCCTTAGATGGGTATTTGAGGTCAGCACATGTAGGTTCGTTGAAATCATTGATCGCATAAGCGAAAATATCTTGATAAATTGTTAGTAATCAGAGCTTCAACTGGGCCAAGTTTGATCGACCAACGTACCGTTCTGCACAAGCTGGATTCCATTGAGGCCGGCGCCATCTCCATACCAGGACTTAATTTCTAACTGGAATCCCTTCATGCCAACACTATTCACGAATTCAAACTCCCGATACTTCTCGTCTGTGCTATTAGAGAGTGAACAATCCTGGTCGCAGTAGACGGTTTCCGCAGTATCTGGGTCGGTATAGGTCAGGTTCATAATGCCATTGTCCGGTAATCTTCTCAGCAAAAAGGTCTTGGTGCCTCTCCCCTCTAAGTGGGTGTTGTATATACGGATCTTTGTGGGGTTGTATCCGAAGCGCATGTCGGCACGCCAGAAACCGGGGGAATTGTCCTCCAACAGCCATGTTTTCCCTTCGCCATCTTCCCCGCTCGTCTGGCAGATAATGTTTCGAGGGTCGCTATAGCCACTTCTGCTGGAGACCGCGTCGGAGGAAATTGTAGCGTTCTGAAGGTTGACGATTTGCTGGTTTTTCTTGGATGATGTCGAGTTGCCAATGCCGTCGAAGGAGCCACCGAAGATAATATGATCGTCGTTCTTCAAGATCGAGGTAACGGGACCGTTGAAGCCACCGAAGACCAAGCTCTTCCAACCTTCATTGCCAACCCACGCCACGGCGTTCGATGTATTTTCGTATTTGAAATCCCCGCCAACATACACGCTATTCGTATCCTTGTCGCACAGTACCGCAGAAACCGATCCCGACAGGCCGGGTAAAGCCGTCACTTTCTTCGTCTCGGGGTCGAACAACGCTGCGCCTTGGGTTTCCACTCCTCCGAGGCTTGTAAAATTCCCGCCGACAAAAATTCCCGCGTACGTTCCATCCTTTTGCGTGAACGGGCACATTGCACGAATATAAGCATCGGAGGTTGACAGCGTCGTTAGGATGCCATTTGGGAGCGGCGTCAGGATGGATTGGGAGCCATTGTTCACTGAGGCGGTCTCCGACTGTTCCTTGTATGAGTAAAATGAGACTGCATCGAAATCTCCGGTGAGGGCGACCCGTCCTAAGGGAGTCAGTTGCAAGTCGGGTTGTGCGACCGGTGTAAATGATAGACCCGAGGCGGGGGACAGTTGCAGTAGAGAGCCCAGGCAGAGGGCTGTCGACAAGCCAGCCGTCGCCGGCCTAAACAGTGAGGGGTTCCTCATTGTCCAGGAGCGCGACGACAGGCCGCACTGTAGAGGGTCGCTAGATGGTTAGAAATTTGACTTGTCCTTGCCCAACGATGGTTGACGAAAAGAGGGGGGGAGCAGAACGATCGGACGATTGCAAATGGTCTATTTTTATGGAGTCGATGTGTCAACACGAGGCACGCGAATATTGCTGGAAAAGGAGTCGAGAAAGGAATGTAGTTGAACACCGAAAAACCAAAAACATCAAGAAAACAGACAGGGGGTGGGTAATGAACGAATGAAGCTCTCCGTTTCGTTTTTGAAAACTGGAGAGGTTCCAGGAATGGGCAGGACAAGAAAAGGAATAAGAAGAAGAATAAGGAATGACCAAGAATTAACGAATGACTGAGTGAGGGTGGAAGGAGGGTCGAAAGAGTGACATGGCAAGGGCAAATAATAGGTTGTTTGTCCTCCTTGCGTGTGGTTTTCAGGTCCAGTCCGTCAGTACAGTCAGCTTGGGCTTTGGAGCACGTCCGGTATTTTTTTTCTTTCCTCCATTCCTTACGGGTACGCCTTAAACTCTTTCGGGGTGGCGGGTGGGAAATGACACGGGAAAGTGCGTGGTGTTTGTCTGGCTGTGGACACAGACTAGTGGAGTTTTATTAATAGCTAATTTGTTCCAGATCCTTAAAAAGAGATTGAATTGATTCTGCCTGTTGCTGTCGGTCCACTTCCTTCTCTCCACCCTTAAACTTTCGTATTGTCTCATGGATCTATCCGTACTATCCGACAAAGATAACCTGTCCGCCAAAAAACGGTTCATCGGATTTTAATTTAATCTTTCCATGGCAATGGTAAAGCCAAGCTCTACTAACGATCGCTAAAGACTCCAAGGGTAAAAACTAAGGGGGAACTATCTAACCGTCTATCGTTGCAGGTGTCACCCTAAACCAGAAGGGTGAGTGGGCACGGTGGAATCTTGGCTAATGACTGCACTACCTTAAAATTAGGAAGCCCTAGTTCATCGCTCGAACTTGGATGATGAAGTACTCCCCTGACATCATGTCGGTGGCTATCCTATATTTATAGTGGTGTTGGAGGAGTAAGGAGACGGGGTCTTGTTTGTATTTTTCCTTTATCGGATAATTACCTCCTCAAACTTGGAATATCACATCACTACGACCTTGTCCTCTGTACAATATCCCCAATGAGGTCAATGAACATGTCTTCAGACGCACTGAAACCAAATAGGTTGCAAGTAACCGTAATCAACATTATTTGGGAGATGAAAGGGTCACACATGGCTTGTTCAACCCTTTTGGCTGCAGATATAGATGTACATACTAATGCTTGTATACCATGCATAATAGCTCAATTGACGCTCCATGCGTGCTTCTACCAAATGCACTCTTCAAAATACTATCTCGAGGGGGTCAGCAGCTAGCTATCCAGGATATCTACATAGTCTGTACGACGTATGTGGTGAGCAACTAGTTTGAGGTGCTAATAATAGGGAGTATGTGATGTACTCTACATACGTACTCAGTATCCACTACCAATAATCAATGGCTATGCCCTCGGCAGTCACACAAACCATCCACTTTTTGCCGACATTTATGGTGGGCTCATTGATTCTTGTACCCTATAGTGTCTCACTATCAGAAATTACTCCCAAGTTTCAATTCAGAAATCGATCTAAGAAGCGTGCGAACAATCAAATGAGAATTCGGCATTAGATACCACCCTAAAGCCCTGTCCAGACAGTCATGCACCGACGGGATACGCATTCCGTGGTCTAAAGAGAACATGACCTATTGTCAAGCCTTAACCAGAAGCAATGGCAAGAGCAATTCTAGTTTGGTACGGATCAAGCTTCTATGATATATGCCCTTCAATAAATACCAAGCATTTTTAGAAGTTTGATCGATAGCTGAGAGGCTACATGCGTTGGATGTGTTTGAAGTAGCTCCCTGTAATAACACTCTCTTCATAACTACAAATCGAGCAAGCCTCGTAGTGAGTAATAGAGGCTAGAAAAGCGATTACTTCAGGAAAACAAAGAACGTCTACTGTAACTCTTGTCGTGAAGGATCACACTTCCTATGTGCAGTGATTAGTCTGGAAGCATAATCGACATAGGTTGTCTATGTAGTTTCCACTATAGAAAGGCAACAGGCGCTCCAACTGAGATGTGCTAAAATCGTAGTTCATTATCCAAACCGGTTCAAGGGTAACAAAACCTACCTTACACATCAGGGGAACCTCGCCACACTACAACCTCTTAATGAGTAACATCCGCTCGAATCAGTATTTAATGGGCGGAATAGGCCTGTTGTGTTTCACATGTTCCACCATCCCATACTCCTCACTTTCTTTGTAGAACAAACAGTCACACCAACCGTTGTATAAAGACACACTCAGCGGAATGTGAGGATATCGAATGATTATTGAGAAGTGCAATTGACGGGTGTGATGTCCGAATTTGAAAGTACAACTCGATCCTAGTTATGCACTCGGGATCTTACTATGTTTGAGCTGTTGTTACTACAAGATGGGATTAGCAGTCGACTATTGGCCAGCAACTTCAAGTCCGGCATGAAGCACTAATCTGGGAAATATATATATCTAAGGAATACAGGGAGTGTTGATAGTTACCAGTTCATGTCAACTCCTAAATTAGACATGACATAGAGCTATAGGCCTAAATCCACCATGATGGGTCCATCATAGAGTAGACCGTTCGATAACCGACTCAATGATATTGACACTTGGTCGCGTATATATTGTACCTGAGCCCAATTGGATAATTCTGCCTGAGGTATCAACCGTAGCGGGTATCCCAGGCCAGCCGCCAATCTACTTTACCTACCTTGGACTAGTGTCTTGCCGCACCGCGTATGAACCATCGACAGCCGCGCGCAACGCGAGAGTCCAGAAAAAAGGTTATATTAGAGCTCATTAGGTGATAGCCTCCTGTTACTCTGTCGCTGGACAAACACCGACACCCGTACATTTTCCTCCATCGCCTATTTAATCTTGGTCGCTGCCTCCAGACAATCCCCATACAATAATCGAAACTCATACTGGGTACCCTTCATCTGGACGCCTTGAAAGCTTCTCCAAAATGTGAGGCTCATCCGCGGTAGTTGCCATTTGTCCATTTCTCTAATCTTCTCTCCAGGGAGAGCTTCGATAACATCTATCTCGACCTCTCCAAGCAGCCCGGAAAGTGCAAGCTCGCGGAAAGCGGCCTGGGATGGAAGCCTTCTGGTGGAGGCGAGACTTTTACCCTCGATAGCAGCAACGTCGGCGCAGCCCAATGGAGTCGAGCGGCAAAGGGATACGAACTGAAAATTCTGTCGCGCTCGTCGGGCGTCATCCAACTGGATGGCTTCGATCAAGAGGTACCCCCCCTTGTTATATGTTGATGAGTATGGTGATCTGACTTTGGCCCGTCATCTGTCAGGATTTCGAGCGATTAAGCAAGGCCTTTAAGATTTGGTACGGGATAAATGTGGAAAGCAGGGAGCACGCTCTCCGAGGCTGGAACTGGGGCAAGGCAGAATTCACCAAGGCTGAGCTATCTTTCAACGTCCAAAACCGACCGGCGTTCGAAGTCCCTTATTCCGAAATCTCAAACACGAATCTGGCAGGAAAGAATGAAGTCGCTGTCGAACTTGCTCTTAATGCTGATGGCGCCGATGCCAATGCCCAGCCAGCCGGTAGCACTAAGAACCGTGGCCGGAAGGCCGCTTCCGGACCCGATGAATTGGTGGAGATGCGCTTTTATATTCCTGGAACAGTAGTGAAGACTGAGAAGGGCATCAAGGAAGAGAATGGCGAAGAAGAAAACGGCGAAGAAGAAGAGGAAGAAGGCGAAGAACAGAATGCGGCCAACCTTTTCTACGAAATGCTCATGGAAAAAGCAGAGATTGGCGATGTGGCTGGCGATACGTTTGCTACTTTTCTGGATGTTCTTCATCTTACGCCCAGGTACGTCTACCTTAGCTCTCATCACACCAGTGCGGCGTTAACTTTTGTTTCAGAGGTCGTTTCGATATCGACATGTACGAGTCTTCGTTCCGACTACGTGGCAAAACCTACGATTACAAGATTCAATACTCTTCCATCAAGAAGTTCTTCTTGCTTCCTAAGAATGACGATACACATACGCTCATTGTTCTCGGCCTCGACCCCCCTCTGCGACAGGGCCAGACCCGGTACCCATTCCTGGTTATGCAATTGAAGCTGGACGAAGAAATTAGCCTTGAGCTCAACATGACAGAGTAAGTGATGCTGGGCGGTATTCTGTCGCTGGGGCTATCTAACACAGTACGCAGTGAATTGATGGAACTCGCTACAAGGACAAGCTGGAGCCTCGTTATGAGGAACCTATTCATCAGGTCGTAACCAAGATTTTCCGCGGTCTTTCGGGCAAGAAGGTCATCATGCCATCGAAGGACTTTGTCAGGTTTGTCATAATCTATTCGCAATCCGTATGACGGCACACAAATGCTAACATTAATGCGTAGTCATCATGGTCATAGTGGGGTTAAATGCTCTATCAAGGCCAACGAAGGTCTTCTGTACTTCTTGGACAAGAGCTTGATCTTCGTCCCGAAGCCTGCTACGTACGTTCAGATCGAGAACATTGCCATTATTACAATGTCCCGTGTCGGTGGTGCCGTGTCGGCCAGCAGAACCTTCGATATCACAGTCAGTTTGAAGGCTGGCATGGGAGAGCATCAATTTAGTAACATCAACCGGTACGTATGCGATGATTCGAGATATTGTAGTGATGCTAACGGGGCTCAGTGAGGAACAACAACCTCTCGAGGAATTCTTCAAAGCGAAGAACATCCGATTCAAGAACGAAATGTCCGACGATGCCGGGGCCCTGCTGGCTGCCGCCCTTGACAACGACGATATGGTTTCCAGCGATGATGAGGGCGTCCGTGCCGATCGTGGATCGGCTGACGAGGATGAAGAATCTATCGACGAGGACTTCCAGGCCGAGTCCGAGTCTGACGTTGCGGAAGAGTACGACTCGGCGCACGAAAGCAGTGGCAGCGGGAGCGACGCCGAAATGGACGACGCTTCTGATGGCGGCGGTGGCGACGATGATGAAGATGTGGATATGTCGGCAGAGGAACGGCCGAAGAAGAAATCGAAGGTGGGGAAATAAATACCTTGCAGTCGAATTAGCTGGCTATCTCCGGAATAATGGTTATGGTTGTATAATGAATAAGGCCAATCAATGATATCATTAAAGTTTTCTAGCATAGTTACAACTAGGCTAACAACATTCTTAATCTTTTTTTTTCTTCGTCTTTTCTTTTCTTTTCCCCTCGATAAGCCTTTCGGAATATCTTCATGGTATTTCCGTCTGCTTTCAGATTATGCGACAGAAGACAACCTCGGGCGTTCTGATGCATCATATGATGGACACGTCAGTTGAATTGACTTTGCTATTGACAGCACTATTGAGTCCCACCTGCATTTTCGTCCCTCATGCTGGCATCGTTAGTGGGCTTTGATTGACCGAATATGCATATACGGTGCTTGTACTATTGAGGTGCACAGCAATGATGGAAACTTTGTGACAAGAATGTCACCTCGACTCAACTCGTCTCATCATTGTTTATTTGATCGCATTCCCAACAGAGCTGAAACCCTCACGTCATGGACGCATTACCATCGGTACCGCGGGCAAGCATGAGGTATTGGGTGGTATTACAGCATGTCTGGACCACGGTCTAGATGCAAGTGTCAAACCAAACCAATGGGTATTGTTCTGCGTGCCTCGGTAACGGACGTTGCGTCTAACGCCCTGTGGAATGTCACTATCCTTGTCCTGAGTGGGAAGAGTGCTAACGGATGGAAGGGATGTACTATATTATATATACATTTTTCAAGGTACCTTGTCCTGGGGAGAGATATATATAGGTAAGAGTACCCGACAGCGGTTCAATCTGATACGGCATTAAGGTAAGGTATGGAACAGATAGTGAGGATAGGAGATGTATCTGTCTCCCTGCATGTTGGGAGAGATCTGTGGCTTGCTTCACCTGACTCCTGACTCATGCTGCGGTCATTACGATTGATGCTTGGAACTCATTCCCTTGATTCCCATCCATGGGACACTGTTGGTTTCCGCTTTTCATTACCAGTGGTAGCTTACGGGTAATCAGGTACTAGTGGTAAGTATTCGGTACCTCTTCTCTCTTGGTGAAGCGGGAGCACTTGCGGATAGTAGGTAATCTTATCTTCCCCCTGACTGCCCAGATGCTGCCTTACCCAGAAAAAACGTCGATAGATTACCAGAGCACACCTACCAGGTGCACATCCCACGGGTAACGGTCCTCGTAATACCCTTAGCGATGGAGAACAGTATGATTATACATACGCACCGTACTCCGTACTCCGTACAATACATACAACATACATCCTCTGAATGGATGGGGATTTCTTTCCCTCGAATATGGTCGAAGCGGTGTACTGTAAAAGGCAGCAAACATGCGATCCAGAATCGTTGACCTGGATTGAAGCTCACTAAAACACCTTGTAGTCAAGAGCCGGAGCATTCTAGTGGTGGTGTGGATGAATATCGTATTGTCAGTTGGGCAGTACTTCTTCCTTTTTTTTTTGTTTACACTTGTGTAAATGATATCTGTTTATGATACCATCACCATGGATGAGTATTGGGAGGTATTGGGTATTTGGTATACTTGGATCAGGGTGAAGCGGGATCCATGGATGGACTTTGGATCTGAGAATTGAACTGGAATGGTTCTACAAGGGGGATTGTTTTGGGGGTCTGGCCATCATCTTGTAGGTACAGCTTCATCCGTATTCGTCTATCTATGCTGGTAGTCGGGCGTAGTATATTTGCATTGGAGAATCCAGTTTATTTGATTTTATTGTATTGTATTTTTCTTTGGGCTCTCCGTCTCCCTTGAGATCGCCGCCTTATGTGTTTGACATGTCGAATTGGAATGGATGATTGTAAGAACGCAATGCTTGGCTTGTAGGGAAAAGGGTACTAGGGAAAAATAATCCTCAATCATTTGAATTGGTTCTGAATATCTTATTTTTTTATTATTTTTTTTATTATTTTTTTTTGTTTCATGAATTCCCAAGGAGATTGTCACTGAATCTCAGCGGTTGGTGGTTCAATTGGACGAGTGAAATTAAAACAAGATCAACCAAAATTGATGTTGTTCTGAGCGGACTAATCCCTAGGCAGAGTTAGCTTCCCAAGTTGAATGAAGACAAGAGCCCCCTTTCTTTTACACCACCAACGGACTGACTCTCCACCCCAAATCACTCCGCAGGTCCAATCGTTCTCGCCTTCTCCTGTCTTCTCTCTACGCTCTTCTGTTCTCTCTTTCAGCTTCCATTGGTTTTTTTTTTCTTTTCGATTCTTCTGTTTGTATTTTTTTTAAACCTTACATCTCGTGCACACTCCCGGTTTCCCCCAAGACTCGGTGATCTTTGAGAGCTTTTTGTCCCCTGATTGTTTAACCATCTGATCCTCACCCTTTTTCAGGTGTTCGGGATTCCAAAGGTACGGTGGCACTTACCTGTGCTCCTTCCCTCAATTCTTCAACCCCCCCCCCCCCCCCTCTAAAAACCACTTTCCCCTCTCCTCCCTTGGAAAGAATAGCCTGGTTCCAGATGCTTTCCTGATTCTATTACCAAACCCCTCGCCTGAATTTCCATCTCTGCAAGGGTGTCGTCTGCTAACCAAGAAGGTGCAACCTGCTCAGGGGAACTTCCTCATCAACGCTCGCTACCTCGACATTTTTTTTCAACCGTCCACGCTCGCTTCCTGAACCAATCCCTTAACATTCATAATGGGTAAGCTTATCGCTACCAGCGACATCCCACTTCACCGGTCTTGCTTTCTTCCCACTCTTTCACCTGGCAGACAGTCCTCCATTCGTGCACCTCCGAAGCTCTTGCGCGTGGTGACAACATCATGGCACATGCCAGACGCCGGAGTGCGGAGGGTCGCTCGCAAGGAGACTCTCAACGATTCAGTGCTTCTCCGTCGTTGAAACACCATAGACCCAAAAGCCATACGTCGTGTTCGCCAACTCGGGGAACTTTGTCTACCGAAACTCAATCCGATATTACGCCAGTTACTGACTTTACCTTGCCTGTTGTAGCTTCACCACCACCCCCCACCAACGGCTCCCCCACCCCGGCCGTGGAGTCTCCTGAGAGCAGCAAGCCCAGTTCCCCCTTTGTTGAGCGCAGCAACCCCATGGGATCAGGAAACGCACAAACCGTCAGCTCCAGTGACCCGAAGGCTGTGGCCCAGGCTGCCACCGATATGAAGAACGTTGTTCGCCGCAAGTTGACTGGCTACGTCGGTTTTGCCAACCTGCCCAACCAATGGCACCGTAAAAGTGTTCGCAAGGGATTCAACTTCAACGTGATGGTTGTTGGTGAGTGCCCCTGACGAAAGGAGAATGGATGGGTGTGACTGATATGTGTTCTAGGTGAATCTGGTCTCGGAAAGTCGACTCTTGTGAACACTCTCTTCAACACCTCGCTCTACCCCCCCAAGGAGCGCACAGGCCCTAGCCACGACATCATCCCCAAGACTGTGGCCATTCAGTCGATCAGCGCAGACATTGAAGAGAACGGCGTTCGTCTTCGCCTGACCGTGGTTGACACTCCCGGATTCGGTGATTTCGTGAACAACGACGATTCGTGGCGCCCTATTGTAGAGAACATTGAGCAGCGATACGATGCCTACTTGGAGGCTGAGAACAAGGTCAACCGTACCAACATTGTTGACAACCGTATCCACGCCTGTGTCTACTTTATCCAGCCCACCGGCCACTCCCTTAAGCCTTTGGACATTGAGGTCATGCGCCGGTTGCACACCAAGGTCAACCTGATCCCTGTGATCGCCAAGGCCGATACATTGACGGATGAGGAGATTGCTCAATTTAAGCAGAGAGTATGTTATCTGCCTGGAATGAGGTGGTCCCGACCCCATGCTAATTTTGGTCTAGATCCTTGCCGATATCCAACACCACTCGATCAAGATCTTCGAGGGCCCTCGCTACGAACTCGACGACGAAGAAACCATCGCCGAGAACCAGGAGATCATGTCGAAGGTCCCCTTCGCTGTGGTCGGTGCCAACGCTGAGGTTGCCACCACTGACGGGCGCAAGGTCCGGGGCCGTAGCTACCCATGGGGTACTATCGAGGTCGACAACGAGGAACACTGTGACTTCGTCAAGTTGCGCCAGATGTTGATCCGCACCCACATGGAAGAGCTCAAGGAGCACACCAACAACTTCCTGTACGAGGACTACCGCTCCGACAAGCTGACCCAGATGGGTGTCGCGCAGGACCCGAGCGTGTTCAAGGAAGTCAACCCGGCTGTCAAGCAGGAGGAGGAGCGTGCCCTGCACGAGCAGAAGCTCGCAAAGATGGAGACAGAAATGAAGATGGTCTTCCAACAGAAGGTAGCCGAGAAAGAGAGCAAGTTGAAACAGAGCGAAGACGAACTATACGCTCGACATCGCGAGATGAAGGATCAACTGGAGCGGCAACGCCAGGAGCTAGACGAGAAGAAGAGTCGCCTCGAAAGTGGTCGACCGATCGAAGAGAAGGGCAAGCGAAAGGGCTTCTCTCTTCGTTAGATAGCTGGAATTCAATGACACGGACTCCCCAGGTAATGTTATGGTCGTTGGAGGCACGTTGGCGGTTCTGTGTTGGATTCCCCACGACTGTTGATTGACCGAGCGCTCTTTTCGACTGCCCTTCTATTTCTGTGTTTATTCGATTTCATCCACGCTCTCTCAACCTCTACTTTCTCGTATCTGCTGCCAGTAATGACTCTGTTTTCTAATTGGGTGACCCGAGGCAGCGGAATGACTCGGTTGGTGTTTCATTCCGTCTGTCGGACGAACTCCAGTTGGGGCCTTTGACTAGGAGAAATGTGCTGGGACACCGGAGCAGCGCTGCCGGCCTGCTCGTGTGGTCTGGTCCATGGTTTTGCAAGATGATATGCGGTGGCCCTCACGTTCCTCTTTTCGCTTCTTGTTAATGTACTTTTGCCTACGCTATACCTTGTTCTCTCCTGTTTCTTATTCCCCAGTGTGGCCTAACCTCATTTTCCCTTCTTATCTTCGTGCACTTTTGTCCACTTCTACACATTTTAGTGAGCTCTCCCACCCTCCGACCATCATTTCAAGACGCTTTTCCTATTTTCCTATCTCTTACTTATTGCAGTTTATTGTGCGTTAGTTTGTCAATCTCAGATGTTCTTGAAAAGTCCGGCTAAGGAAACGATGGGGAGTGTCTGTTTCTGTAGAGGGTGACGTGGAGGACGTCCCTGGTAGAAAGTCAGGGAAGAATCACTATAAGCACAAAAAGAACGCAAAACGAATTAAAATCAAAGACGTAATAAATAAAACAACTTTTATTTTTTTTTTTTTAAAGAAATGAAGTAGAGCAAGACGAGAATAAAATCTATGGAGGAACGGATTCAATTCGGATCGCCAGATGAAATAACCTTACAGTGCCTAACCGGCCACTTGCATCATGCCGAGTCAATCCGTGTCACGGTGTTTGTTAACGTCACTGGGACAAGATTTGGCCTGCCTCAGGTTCCCGTTAGCTACGACGCTCCGGAACCTGTTAAAGTTACTTACTTCCTCCGCCGTGTCGTCCGCCAGCAACTCCTTCTCTCCTTCCCGATTTCCGTACTAGAGGATACCTTCCAGTTAGTGCAGCTAAAAGGGCATCGTCAAAACCCACTCACTACGACCGCCCCCGCCCAGCCTCCCCAAAATAGTGCAGGTCCGCAGGCCTCCACCGCTCAATTCGCTCCCCTTCCAGCCTTTTTCGATTCTTCTCTGTTCTTTCTCTCACGTCACGGCCACTTAGCGCATTGCTATCTCTCCGCTCTCGCTCTCTTGAGCCCTCTTTCTCACTATCTTTACGCACTTCCCTCGTTCCCGAGTAGACCAGACACCAGCTCTCATGGCTCCACCGCCCCCATCGAACTTGCCTTTGGCCGAGAGGCTGAAGAACCTGGCTCAGACTCTACAGTATGTGCTTCGCTGGACTTTCCCGAGCTCGCAATGTGGATGCTGACCGTATGACTCTCAAATAGGTTTGCTTGGTTTGCTGGGTAGGCTTCCCTTGTGATTTGTGTGCTGCCTCGGCCGGCGGTACATGGTACCCATTTGGAGCAATTTGCGACATCCGTACTCCAGATGCTGTCCCCACCGGACGGCATTCGCAAGTCAAGGATGGGAGAAAACAGACTCACTGACTGGCTTTAGGCACGTCACACTGCTGCTCTCCGTCTTCCGCTACCTCCTGTCCTACATCACCTTCAACTACTACTCGTCCTCGGCCCAGGTGTCCTACCGCTTGGCTTTCCTTTCGGCTGCTGTAACATACGGTATCGTGGTGTACAAAGGACACATTGCCCGTGGTCGTCTTCAGGGTAGTGTCCCGAACATTGTGGTGAAGCTCGCTGGTGATGAAAATGTCCAGTATCTTGGTGAGTAGAACTGCCCGGCGGTCAGATTCAAACCGGCATGGGGCTGACCAAACCACCAGGAATGGCGATTGTCTGGCTCTATTCCCGCCAGGTCCCATTGGCCCTTCTCCCCTTCAGCGTCTACTCGATCTTTCATGTTGCGACATACTCTCGGGCCCACCTGATCCCTACCCTGCAGCCCCCCGCCCAGGGCACCGCCGGGCCCGCGTCGCCCTCTTCTCCTGGTGCTGCCAAGCCTGCTTCCAGTCCTTTGGCAGATACCATTGGAAGATTCGTCAAGCAGTACTATGATACCAGCATGGATCTTGTCGCTGGGCTCGAGATGGTGCTGCTGTTCCGCCTGGCTTTGGGAGTTCTGACCTTCTCCAAGGGCAGCATCCTTCTCTTCATCATCTACGTGGCCTTCTTCCGCGCGAGATATACTCAGAGCTCGTTCGTCCAGCAGGCCGTTCGCCACTTCACCGCCCGCGTGGATGCTTCGGTGTCCCACCAGAGCACTCCCCCCGCGGTGCGCCAGGGATGGGAGACCTTCAAGGGTGTTGTTCGCCAGGCGTATGAGAGCACCGATCTGGGCCGTCTGACCTCCGGAGCTCCGGGCAAGAAGCCGCAATAAATGGTCCCTTCGGCGATGAACGATGACCGCCCGAGACGCGTGGAAAAGGGCCAATTCGATTGCGACACCGTTTAGCCGGACTTAGACCACTCGCGCAGGGCCCGGGATCGCAGATTGAAGTATGAGCTCTCGTTCGTAAAGTGATGAGCATATAACGAATAATGTGCCATTGGTCCTAACCCGGTTTGGGTTGGGAAGTGGTTCTTTTTACGATAAGCAAAATATTGTTTACATGCTGCTGTGGGAGGGGATGTGGATGGGGATGTTTAGTACTTGGGGGAGAGGAGAGTCGTATTATAATCCTTGTATTGCCATTAAGTCATGCACATGCTGGACCTCCGATGGGGATGTTTTTGCCCGGACGGATTCCATTGCATTTTGTCTTTGCGCGAAATCATTACTATGAAGGGAAATGAACACTTGTTTGTTGTTGAGGCATATTGTTGTGTCCTATAACAGGGGGAGTCTAGACCGACGACCACGTTCTTGTTCGGTAGCCTACTACTAGTAGTTTGGTGGATTGCTTGTGGCAACGGACTGAGTTATTTTTCGGTCCATTGCCATTTGTTCCTTTGGACCCGAATGAAACTAGCGAGAGCTTATTAAGGCGGCGTGGTGTGCCTGAGGTGGAGAGTCGGCCTCGGACGCGGAGAAAGCGGAAAACCGACCAAAATTTTGGGCTGAGCGCTGACCCCATCGTTTTTGTACACTACCGACTGGGAGAGGTGCCATGTTTCATTTCTTAACCTCTCGACTTTCCTTGATTTCTGTATAGTTTAGATCTCCTTCGATTCCTCTTCTCCCCCACTTCCCTCTTTCCCACCGTCATCCTTCCTTGGGGTGGCATCCATCCGGTAAACGTCGCCGCCGCATCCCAACCCCCCGTGGTCTGGCCCGCACCACGATCTGGTGGGTTGCGGTATTCTTGCCATGAGCTTGACTTCGCGCGTGTTTGGCCTGTTTTCCACGACAGAGACAACCGTTCTGGACTCTCCTCCGACCGCGTCGTATTCGAACACCACCAGCACCGGCGACCATGTCTTCCATGCGACGGGCCCGATAAGGGCAGGCTCCAGCCATGTACAAACTACACCACTCGAGGACGAGGAAGAGCCTCGTCCGCCATATCTCCATGTACGTTGCGCTATTTGCCAGACGAGAAGTACGGATGGCGATGCGAAAGCGCAGGGAGTGCGCAGAAATCTCTTATCTCAAGCTGACATGAATCCGTTCCTGTAGGCCATGCTTGCCGGAGGTACCGGTGGTACATGCGGTGATATGCTCATGCATTCACTCGATACGGTGAAGACGAGGCAGCAAGGCGACCCCCATTTCCCTCCTAAATATGCCTCGATGACCTCTTCGTATGCGACGATCTATCGACAGGAAGGTATACTACGAGGCCTGTATGGTGGAGCTGTTCCGGCATTTTTCGGCTCTTTTCCCGGCACTCTGATCTTCTTTGGTGTGTATGAGTTTACCAAGCGACGGATGATCGACGCTGGCATCAATGCCAATGTGGCATACCTGTCTGGAGGTAAGAGCGTTGTTCGGTTTCTGGCAGGATTCGGTGACGTTGACACAGCTGCGCAGGTTTCTTTGCGGACTTGGCCGCTTCTATTGTGTATGTCCCTTCGGAGGTCTTGAAAACGCGACTGCAACTCCAGGGACGCTATAACAACCCCCATTTCAATTCGGGATATAACTACCGCTCTACTCGCGATGCTCTCCGCACGATCGTCCGCCAGGAAGGATTCTCCGCGCTCTTCCATGGATACAGGGCTACCATCTACCGTGATCTGCCGTTTTCCGCCCTGCAATTCGCATTCTACGAACAGGAACAGCGTGTGGCGAAGGAATGGGTGGGATCCCGAGACATTGGACTTGGACTAGAGATCCTGACTGCGGCAACCGCCGGTGGAATGGCGGGTGTGATAACGTGCCCCATGGATGTGGTGAAGACCCGCATCCAGACCCAGCAGAACCCCGATATCCAGAGCCCTGCGTCTTCATCAAAACCTGCTGCGGAACATGCGTCGATCAAAGAGAACCCCCGACAGCATACATCATCTCAGACTCCGTCGAGTCTGCGGACGCACTCACGGCCGATCTCCACGGGGGGTGCGTCGACGTCAGTGGCCCCGCCAGGAGCGCCTCGCCTGGATACCTCTTCTTTCTTGACGGGTCTCAAGATGATCTACCAGAGGGAGGGGCTTGGCGGCTGGTTCCGCGGCGTCGGACCTCGTGGAGTGTGGACTAGCATCCAGAGTGGAACGATGCTGGTCATGTACCAATACTTGTTGAAACAGTTGGAGTCCTACGACATACTGGGGGAGATGAATCCTCTTTGATCGAACGGGCTTTGTTGCATCGCACGACGGGGATGTCGTGTTGCCACGGGGCGACACTTGTAGATAATGTTGAATCATCACCACATGGGAAACGATGTGGGTAGGGCGTTCTGGGACGAGGATGTTGCATGATCTCTCACTTCTTCTATTACCACCCATTTACTTGGATCGGTCTGGAGCATGGCAGCATTTTTCCTTTGGGGTTTGTCCTTGCCGTTTGTTCTTGTTTTAAGACACCCTGCTCCAGACGGGTGTGGCTTGCATAGATTTTTATTTCCCCTTTCCCCTTTTGTTGTTATTTAGACATGGTTAATCACGCCACGATGTATATTATTATATAAAGTATAGAGTCAAAGAAGCACTGATTTGAGGGCAAAAATGGTCTCCTCCAAATGAGGGTATTTTCGGTCAGGTGGAAATGTAAACAAACGGATGCGGTCAAGCGCCCCCCGACGAGCCAATCAGCGTGCGCCGGGGAGGACTGTGACCTCACTGGTTATTTATTGCATTCGCTTTTATTATTTATTGTGATTGTTTTTCCCTCTCTTGTTCATTTTGGTTTTAGAATCCTTTTGGTCCCCGAAATCCTGCGCGCGCACTTTATCATCATCCCACCCTCTCCCCCTTGCTCATAAAGTCACCACCTCCCCCCGTCGCATGGTTCCTTCCCCCCGCGCATCATGTCTACCGCATTGCCTTATTTACAGAAACTGCGCAAGTCCCAACTGACGGACTGGGCGGAAGCCACTGATCTTCATGAGTAAGTCTGGTGCCGTTGTTTATCGCCCCACCACGATAACAACCCCGGCTGACCGTTGACAGCTACGAGGAGTACAATAAACCCGAACTCGCCACGCTGCTGGATCAGCATCTCCAGGCCAACCAATCCATCTTCGCCAAGGATGCGCGACTAACGGATTACTACCGTCGCCTGTCGCAAACCCCGCGCAAGGGGTCGCCGGTCAAGAGAGACCCTCGGGTGGAAATCTCCCCGCTTGCGAAAGAGACCCCGCGGTCGGCGCCACGGTCGGCGCGTCGCCGGCAGACGAGAGTCCAGGAGGAAGAGGTGAAGGAAGAGGAGGCGAAGGAGGAACCCAAGGCGGAACTCAAGGCGGAGGCTGAGCAACCCCGGTATGTCCCGTAATCTTTCTGGCATCGCGCGCGCGCATGGCTAGAAGCGCCGCCGCACGCGACCGCAGTAACCATGACGACATGAACTGATCAGTTTGTTGTTGCAGAGAGGAATCCGACGCGTCTCCGCCACCGGTCTTCCAGACGCCTGGGCCATCCCCGCTCAACTTTCAATCGGCCTTGCCGGCGTCGCCGGCCCTCATCGCTGATGCGGTTGACCAGGAGTCCGTCGCGTGGTGCAAGAAGGCTAGCGATTGGTGGGCCGGCTCAGGGGTGCCGGATGGCACGCAGTCACTGCGCTCCTTGCTGAGCAGCGTGACGGCTGTCCAGATTCTGACATTGCTGCTCGAAGGGTGTTCCATCATCTATGAAGTTCTGCCGCTGCGATTCGTGTCCACCATTACGATTTGGGCGATTGAGATCTCCATCAAGGTCCCTGATGTCTTCGTCCTCGTTGACGGCGTATTCTGGGCCCCGTTCTCGCTGTGGCTGCTGACCAGCATTCTGCTGCCATTGACCGTCGCCTACTTCTTCAACATCAGCCTGAACATCGCGCAAGGCGGCAGTGCTGCATCCCACACGCGCCGCAGCCGCGCATCGCCCGCGAACTTCGATCCACTCAGCTTCAACATTGCCAAGGCGGGGCTCGCATACCTGGTGTATGCCCAGCAGTTCAACTTCTTCAACCTGTACAGCCAATTCTCGATCGCCCGGGTGAACGCCGCGGTCCCCGGTCAATGGGCTGGCTTGGTGACTGGGTCTGCGATTGGGGTGGTCGGCACTTTGTACGAGGCGATCCTGCGGAAGTAAATATGTGGTTGTAAATACGTGAATGTGTTGTGGCAGAGCCACTAGTTGGACGCAGTTTGATTGAGTAGGACCTCCTCCGTACAAAGGAAAAGCACCCGAGTGCCTGTAGGAGGGGGTTGTGAGACGGGTTTCTATCGTCTAGAGGGTCTGTTTTTGGGTAATCGTTTGATTCCATGTGCGCAGTGTGATGGTGCTTCGGTATTGTTGTTCTATTGTTGAGTTATCTTCGGTTTTCTCTCCTTTCTCCGGGGTATCTGGCGTGAGAATGGTGCGGTGCGTTAATTGATATGAATTGACCTGATCTGATCTGATACTTCGAGGGGGGCGTTAGCTTGGGTTTCCTGAATGTACTATTGTGAAACCGATATAGGATGTTCCAATACAGATCCTTTTTCATCGTACATTAGCGGTTGGTGTCTATCTAGGTATGGTATGCTTCTATAGCACTCATTCCAACCAAAACAACCATCACCCACGATATCAAAACAGAGAGAGAGACAGAGACAGAGAAGACTACCTCGTCCTCTTCAACCTCTCCGCCAACTCCACCGTAAAAAGCACCGGCACCAGACTCTCCACCGTCACCACATCACTCCGAATATGATTACTTGTACTCAACTGCCCCCCGATCTCCGTCCTCCAATCCACCACATCCCACTGAAACCCACTCGTCGTGATCCTCGCCGGCCCCGAGAGCGGTATAATCCCCACATTCTCCTCGAGCAGATCCTCCGCGTGTTCCGCAGGAGATACCCCCGGCCGATTCGTCCCGGGCGTCTGAATGGTATTGACCCCCGGCAGCAGAATAAACGTAATACTCTCCTCGGAGATGAGATAAAGATTCCCTATCCTCCCCGTCCCTTCTTGACTGGAGGTGGAAGGAGAAGAGGAGCTGTACGATTGCGTCATAGAATACAGATGGTGGATTTGCGAGAAAGCTTGGTCGACACGGCCGCCCAGTCCGCCGAGAATGAGGACGTCTAGTTCACTCCCTCCTCCCTCTTTCTGTCCTTCTCCCTCTGATTTCGCTACCGAAGAAGACGACGAAGCAGAGGAAATAAATTCCCCTACATTCGCACGCAGATAATCCAAGCACTTCGTGAAATCCGTCGAATACTGGTCTTCGTCTTCGATAATGCGAACCCCTAGATTGGCGTAGTGGGCTCTTGTGTCGGGGGTTATGGAGTCCAGATCGCCGATTATGAGATCGGGGAGCTATTTGCCTTTTCATTAGTATACCAATGCATGCATATGTATATGGATAGGGTCATTGGGGCTTTACATCTGTTGATTCTCGGTCGTGCGCTTTCATCATCGAGTAGAATCGGTTTGCGCCGCCGTCCGCGCAGAGCGTTATCTTTGCTTTTTTTTATTTTTTATTTCTTTAGTCTTTATGCTGTAATGTGTGGGGTTTGGTATATATGGTATCAGTATATGGATCTCTACCCATATATACATTATACATATACTACATGTAGAGATATAGAACTAGGGAGAACATACCATGTCTCCTCAAAACGCGAAACGCGCGCTCATTGATTGGCTGGTTGAGGATCAACAGCGCAAAGGGGTTTGGGGTGTGGTCATCACGGAAGAATCGGGTTGGATCCCACTCCATTCTGTCTCTTGGGTTGTAGTCTAGTTTTGTCCTTGGGGTTCTGGTAGGGTCAAGGGGGGGGGGGTTCAACGTTAGCGAGGGGCATTAAAATCAGTTGATTTTATCTTATCGGTGATGTGATGGTGGAGAGTGGGGATGTGGTGCTGGGCGGCCAATCGGGTGGGGCGGTGGGATTTAATGAATTTATGGATGTACTAGTAATGTATATCATTTTGGGGAATGTTGTTGTTGATTTTATGGGCTGGCTTGGGGTTTGGATCTGGGGTGTGTACTCGTTGTCGTCTTGTTGGTTAGGGTATGGGTTGGACACTGATGCTGTACTATCAAAAGCAGAGGATAAAATAGAAATATGTATGCTAATGGAGTAAACGATTGGCCCATGAAACTTGTATAGCAGTAGAAGGACGACTCGAGATGTACCTATAAGCACTCAGCGCGACAGACCTTCTCAGTTTAAAAGAAGCTTCTTGTATGGCACTGTGCACACATGGTCAAGATATGGATTAGACTGTTCCGTAGCCTCAAACCGTTCCACATCGTCAACGCAGATTCCGTCCACATACGCAAAACCTACCAACTTATAGTAGACTTGGTCACCATTATAGTCTACACCATAGCTTTGTCGCAGTACAAAGGGCATATCAAACTGACAAACGCTAACGACCACTTGGTCATTTTCTTCCACACTTTGTTCACTGAGGCCAAAGCCGACAAAGGATGTATGGTGGATAGTAAAAACCTTGATGTTATATAGTCTCGGCACCAGGTCTCTCAGGAATTCAAACCCCGTTTCGGCCAAGGTTTCCAGGATTGTGTCAGCATCTTGGTGAATCAAGTCCAATATCTCGAATACGGCACGGAGCCTGGCCAAGGAAAATCCTGGGTCGTCGATAGCACATGTGGCAACCCCATAGTTGGAAAAAAAAGAGCATGCTCGAAGGAATCTGTGGGGGATATTCTCAGGCCCCCAGACATTATCCCACACATGGCGCCCATCACCGTGCATTTTAATTTCCCCCATTATTTGGGCCAGAACGCTCTTCACGTCGGATGCGAACTGAAAGATTGGTCTGCATTTTCCAATCGGACGCCCCGATATGCGTAAGACCGAAGGATCTTCTGTGAACTCAGGATAGCACTGTGCTTGTATTGGGAGGAAACAACCGCTGAGGGCAAGCCGCTTAGAGTGACAAAGCCTATTAGTGGCCGTGGAAATCGAACCTGTCGTTGTGAGATCTGGCACCCAAGAAGGAATCGAAATGTTCTCCAGCCGATCCTCCCGCAGGCAGAACATATTTAGCATAGCGATATTCTCGAGCCCCTCTTGAAGAATGTACTTTGCTGTTTCGAAGCTAATTTGGGACAGAGACTTATTATAATCTGGCGGATATGCCTTCTGCAATGACGGGAGAAGACCATACAAGGCATATATTTTGTCTTTTGGGTTTTGGCACTTGCGCCCTCTTGTTTCATCTAGGAGGGATAGCACCGATATCTCGTCCTTGTCTGAGGTCCACGTATGTCTGACGGCGACATTTTGACTATCTTGAAGGGAAAACCACCCATTCAGATTGTCAATTTGTGTTTTAATTTCTGCGTAGTGATCTTTTAATCGCGTCCGTCTCCCGGTTATAACCCTAGACCGCATCTCTGATATAAACTTAATTGCATTTAAGTGTGTCTGGTAATGATCGAACGTAGCTGTGGCTGGGAGTTCCACATCGCCACATATACAGATTGGTGGATTCCCTTGAGACAATCGATATTCTTGAAATGTCCACATTCGCGTCCAGTACTCCGCGAAGAAAAAATGGTGATCAAAATCGAGAATGTTCCTAAGAGACACAGAAAAGCGCTTTTCATACCGCACTGATATTCGGCATATAACGCCTTTTATCCACCAGCATGCGTTGTTCCATCGCCGGTTCTCCCAGGTGGACATCTCCCGCCACTTAATGACATCTGCCGCATTTTGACAGAGGTTATCCAAGCTGATGATTGCGATCACAGATGTAGCATTGGCATATATTGCACTCATCAAGGGAACCTGGGTGTTCTTCTCTGCCACGTCACCTTGATTAATGCAGACAAAGTCTATCCATATAACGCGTCGCTTCGTGCGGTGGCGGAGTCTTTGCAAGATTCGGCGGACATTCCTTGGGACCGGAATTGCACACCTGTCCAGTAGGATATCATTCACCTCTCCAATGTCACCCCATACATATGAGATGGCTTCATATTTAGGGAAAGTGTCCAATGATGCAACCTGCAGGGAACATTTAATAGGAGCTTCAGACTTCCAAGCGGGTAAGATTGTCAATAGCCGGATGTCCCTCCTAGCGCAATCGAGAGGATAGTCGTGTAGTAGATCTGCCATTTGGACTGGCATGAGAGATCACGGTGGGAATGGGAGGATTGTTTGAAAGCCATTGGGAGTTTCTTTCGCCCTCAAAAGGAGGCTGATACATGACACATCGGAACTATTTCAAACTCCACAGCCTTGCCGGTGGCAGTGCAGTCAATTGAAGTAGAAGCCGAGGGGATTCATGTTTGCTTTTTCCTACTATTCTATGTTGAACTATCGACTGCTACGAATAGTACTTGTATCTCGATAGAGTATCGTTCGGTTTTTACATAGACTGATTCGTGACTTTCCTTCACTATGGTCTGGATGTAGTAGTACACATTCACCTTAAACAATCCATCAACGCTCATCAACCCTCTTTATCGCTTTTGAAAACCCTATAAATGCCCTCTCTAGAAACTCACACACTCTCTTCCTCCTCCGCTTCCCCGCGTACTTCCACTGCAGCGCCAGACCACCAGCCGCGACAAGCTGCGCCGCAACACGGGGCGTAAAAGCCACCCCAGCCCCAACGCGATCAACCTCTTCCCACAGTCTGGAGAAATATTTAGCTACCCATAGTTCGGGATTAGCTTGGGTATACGATCTGTCAAGTATATCTGGTCCAACAATCTCTGATTTCAGTGAATAGCTTGTATGGTTGTGCTAAAAGTATCCATACAGCTTCAATCAAGCCTTAGGCATCAGCCCTACACCGTAAGGTACGGACCAGTTGGTTGATATCTGCCAACAGAGATGCCTAGTGGCTGTGGCTCGTTCGCCTGTCTTGTGTCAATTCTACTAAAACAAATTCCTACTAAAATAGATTCCTCCGTACAAGGTTTAACCGATCCAACATTGATGTTTGAAACCTATAATTAAAAATCTCGAACATGCCTAGACGCCAACCAGCAAATGCTTCAATGCAAATGGGACACCTCATTGCAGCCACTGCTCTGCAAATATTCCTCTAGACCAAGACTCAAACTCAGCACTAAAACAGCAAGGATCGGAAACGGTGTGTTCTGAAATACTACGAGGCTAAACGAGATCCAACGCCACAACCTATGAGAAGTTAATCAGACCCTAACATAGAAGAATCCGGAAACTATTTATGGGCTTCAATTATTGGTGCAAGATCATTTTACACTTAGACCTGGATGTTGCTAGCAAGTCCTCAACGTTCCAACCAGGAATGAAATTAGCCGGCATTAGTATCAATGGCTTCCCCGCAGGAATTTATCCGTGACTTGCCCAATGGTGGAGAAACAAAACGAAGGAGGAATACGCAGGCCGCGGCGTGAAATGAGATTGAGGAAGAGTTAAAACGTGCCCGGTGCCCAGCTTTCTGTATCACGATTGACCTCTATATCTCGAATTGTGTGGCTAAGACCAGAAATATGCGGTCCCTGGTTTTACTCGGGATGAGCTCTCTTGGTACGGCGACTTCCCTGTGGTCGTCGAAAGCTGCATCCTGGGATACCACTAACGAGGCCTTTGTTCTGGGGAATGGCAAGCTGGGGGGTAGGTCTATATCTGTCATTTATAAGAATTCCCTACTAACCCTGATAGTGATGCCCTTCGGAGAGCCGGGCGCAGAAAAGCTCAATCTCAACCACGACGAGCTCTGGGACGGTGGCCCCTTTGAAATCGATGTGAGTTCTGATGAAGTATGATAGATTGTATATGTTTGTAATTGAAACGTGCCAGGGATATCGGGGTGGAAATCCGAATTCTAGTATGACCGAGATCCTATCCGAGATTCGAGACGAGATCTGGAAGAAAGGAACTGGCAGTACGTTCTACTCCAAGATCTCCGTCAATGTATATCTGACATTTTTAGATGATACACGGCTGCACGGAGACACAGACGGCTATGGATCCTTCCATTCATTAGCCAATCTTACCATTGCGATAGATGGAATTGACAACGTGAGCAACTATACTCGGTCCCTAGATCTCGGCACCGGCATCCATACGACGACCTACTCGACTAGCAAGGGAACGTATACTACAGACGTTTACTGTAGCTACCCTGCTCAAGTTTGCATCTATAAGTTAAACTCGACAGCAGCTTTGTCTAACGTTACAATCTACTTCGACCAACTCGTCGAGCAAAGCTCACTCTGGAATGCCAGTTGCGACTCGGACTTCGCTCGTCTCCGAGGCGTCACACAGGAAGGGCCTCCGCGTGGGATGACATACGATACAATTGCGCGAACCTCGATTCAGGGTAGCTGTGACAGTTCAACCGGAAAGTTGGCTATTAGCGCCAGAAACAGCTCTTCTCTGACAATTGTAATCGGCGCCGGAACAAACTTCGATGCCACTAAGGGCACTGCGACGAGTGGTTACACTTTCAAGGGGGAGGATCCAGCAGAATATGTCGATGCGATCACATCCGCAGCAATTTCGCAGTCAGAATCAAAACTCCGGAGCGCTCACATTGAGGACTACAGCCCCTTGATGGGTGCTTTTACATTGACTCTGCCGGATACCCAGGAGTCCACAGGCACAGAGCTCTCCACACTTATCACCAACTACAACGCCAACAAGACAGCTGGAGACCCTTATTTAGAAAAGCTACTTTTCGATTATGGTCGCCACATGTTCATCTCGTCATCCCGCGAGAACAGTCTTCCTCCCAACCTCCAAGGGGTCTGGAGTCCCACGAAGAACGCAGCCTGGAGCGGCGATTACCATGCAAACATTAACCTGCAAATGAATCTTTGGGGAGCCGAGGCAACAGGGCTAGGCGACTTGTCAGTGGCTGTCTTCGATTACATGGAACAGAACTGGATGCCGCGCGGTGCTGAAACCGCCGAGCTTCTTTACGGCGGTTCTGGTTGGGTAACTCACGACGAGATGAATATTTTCGGACACACTGGGTGAGTGAGGGTATTTCTTGAAGCTTCGCTTTAACGTACTAATGAACCAGGATGAAAACCTATCAAACCGCAGCGAACTATCCGGCCGCGCCGGCGTGGATGATGCAACATGTCTGGGACCGCTACGACTACTCGCGTGACAAAACATGGTTCGTTGAACAGGGTTGGCCATTATTGAAAGGCGTCGCCGAGTTCTGGGTCTCTCAGCTGCAGCTTGACAAGTTCAGCAACGACAGTTCTCTCGTTGCTAACCCGTGTACCTCTCCCGAACAAGGACCGACCACGTTCGGCTGCACCCACTGGCAACAGCTCATCCACCAAGTCTACGAGAACGCAATCCAAGGCGCAGAGATCGTTGGTGAAGGCGACTCCACCCTTGTAAAAGATATCAAGAACCAACTTCCCCGCCTCGACAAAGGCCTCCACATCGGCACCTGGGGCCAAATCAAGGAATGGAAACTGCCTGACAGCTACGACTACGAAAAAGAGGGCAACGAGCATCGCCATCTCTCTCACCTTGTCGGCTGGTTCCCGGGCTGGTCCTTGTCCTCGTACTTCAACGGCTACACCAACGCTACGATCCAGTCTGCCGTTAACACCTCCCTTATTAGCCGCGGCGTGGGCTTATACACCAACGCCGGCTGGGAGAAAGTATGGCGGTCCGCTTGCTGGGCACGCCTTAATAACACAGAGAAAGCTCACTACGAGCTCCGCTTGACCATTGATCAGAATATCGGCCAGAGTGGGCTGTCGCTTTATAGTGGTGGCGATACGCCGTCTGGTGCCTTTCAGATCGATGCTAACTTCGGGTTTCTGGGCGCTGTGCTTAGTATGTTGGTTGTTGATATGCCGCTTGATAGTGCCTATTCGGAGGACGATGTTCGGACGGTTGTTCTGGGCCCGGCTATCCCTGCTGCGTGGGCCGGTGGTAGCGTTAAGGGACTTCGTTTGCGTGGGGGTGGGAGTGTGGACTTCTCTTGGGATGATAAGGGGCTGGTGGACAAGGCGACTGCGAAGGGGATTTCGGATAATGTTCGCATTGTTAATGTTGAGGGGAGCGTGCTTGTTTGATTTTAAGATACTCACCTTTGTCAGTGTTTATGGGTAGGATATACCTTGACAGAGGAATACAGATGTATATTTGGAACACCTGCTAGCAACTGCGAAGTTGATGCTGGTCTTACATATAAAAACAATAACCTATGGGCTTCCACCAGACTTTTGTGCCAATTTGTTCAACTGAGAATACCTACAAAAGAAAGACAGGAAGGTGTTATAATCCCACACCGTGTTATAACGCAGCAAAGAAAGTCGAATTAAAGAGAATAAGACTAAGGGGAAAGCAAAACCGAAGATAAACACACAGCAGAAGCAAACGCCTCTAATCTAGACGCACGCTAACAAAGACCACACACCTCTTACTCACCAACCCTAGGGATCTCAACACGCAAAGCCCTCGGAGAAACACTCACAGCCCTCCCACGCCCATCAACCCTAAACACAAACTCATCAGCACCCACATTCCCATATATAATACTATCCACAGAAGTCCAAGTAGTGCAAGCCCGCGTAACAGGCCCAATTCCCTTATCCCCCTCAGAAACATCCTGGAAGACAGCCCGGAAGCCAACCCGCCCCTGTGCCGTCAGTCCAGAGGGATACAAACGAACGCTGAGATGCGAGGCATTTTGCAACCCCAGATTCGCAACTAGGAGCTGCATCATATCCACAGACTCATTGGTCCATTCGATAACCTTCAAGCCGGGTTGGTCGTCCGTGGTGATTTTGATGGACGCATTCCCGGAAGAGTACTCGCCTGCGAACTGTGTCTTGGCCTCCTCTCTGGCTGCGTTTTCGAGCGCTGGGATCAGTGTGTTGATGGTTAGGTCTGTTATGAGGGCGACGGCTTGGGTGGTCGATTCGCCTGCGGCGAGGATTGTGAAGCCGAGGCTGTGCTCTGGGGATAGGGCAAGCATGGAGGAGTACATGCCCAGGTCCCCTGATTTGGTATATAAGTCGATCAGTCGGGGGCTGGTCAATTTGTAGATTTCCCATGGAGCACCGACGGAGACTTCAAGGCTGGAGGTGTGAGCGCGGGGCTTCATCCATCGTCTTGTTAGGGAAGGACGGAGGAGAGTGCCGTTCAGGATTGCTCGACCGATGGTTGACATATCTCTGGCTGATGAGTAGAGGCCACCCGCGCTGTGGATGATTAGACTTTAGACTATGTAGTGGGGATATCGTTGCTTAGGCACTTACGCGGTCTCGCCGCCGGCGTCTACACCATAGAAGCTGCTTGTGGCGGGTCCTGGAATGATAGCTATATCGTCTTCTGGCTTGCCGTAGCTCGACCGCGATAGACCGAGGGGATTTATCAAGTCCCTTTGGAGGAGAGACTGGTAGGTTTGGTTTGTCATGGCTTCGAGGGCATACCCGAGGATCTGAAAGCTGGGGTTAGAGTAGATAGGTGTCGAGCTAGTGTAGAGTATCGGATGGCTTTTTAGGATGCCATCGAAGAATTCTAGACGTGGAATTAGTAGGTGATTTTCTTGTGGCAAAAGGGAGTTGAACTCACCAGACCGAGTGCATGCAGCCTTCGTACCACACGGTGGTATATCAGACTTTGGAAGCCCAGGGAATCCCTCGGGCGTTGAAGCAGAGAGGGCTGCAATATCGACAGAGGCATCTAAGAACCCAGACAAGTTAGTTGAGTTATTGTGAAACCAGAGAAAACACCAGTATCACCGTACACTCTCTGATAATCCCAGCCATATGACTTGCTAACTCCCCTATTGTGACTTCATCCCAGCGGAGATGGTCAATCTTATCACCTCGCATGGTGGCGTTATGCCTGAGCTGTTTTGCTGCATCGCGCAGCTCCGGGACATATTTGGCAACAGGCTCGCTGAAGGACGCATCGCCCTTCTCAATCAGGAGCAGCAAGACCGTCCATAGCTTAGATACGCTGCCGATTCGAAATACAGTGTCCTCGTCAACCTTTCTCACCCCTACCGTACTATTCTGAATGGAGGGTGCGGTATGGTAGTATTCAAGCAGTGGTTGATCGTTCTTTGTGTTGAAGACCTGGAGACTGAACGAAATTGAGGCCGGGTCGACACCTGATACTTCACCTGCATTTGATATATGGACTGCCTTGTCGAGAGTATTGAGCAGCAGGTTCTTTGCTTGTATGAAAGATGAGCGGCTGGCTACTTCCTTAGGGGCTGGGAAGGCAGGTCCTTGGATGAGACATAGTTTGCCCAAGGCGAGAGGGGGTGTAAAAAGGAGGAGGAAGTGTGAATAGCGCATTGTGAGTAAGTATGTTACTTGCTTTATTGTGCAATTGAGAGATTGATGGCTTATTCTTCTCAGCACCTTTGTTCTGTATTTATATTATTCATGCTACTAATGTGGATAGTTTGAGAACACCATGGATATCTGCGATATAGTAAGCCTCTTACGGGATAGCCAATAAGAGACAAATATGAAACTTAGGACATAGCAACTAACGGCCTTGTCGTTTTCTAATCCTGCTGGTAGATGTAGCAAGTTGACCCCAGAATCCATCTTGAAAGCCAGATGTATAAGGCTGCTGGGGAACCGGCCGGTGATTGGCTCCTCCGTAAGTGGTATGAACTAGCGTTTCCTTCCAGCGAATCGCGTTCTTCAGCCCCAACTGAAGGCATGAAGATCGGCCAACACAGCCCTGGCCTAAATTACGGTTAAAGATAGAACTGGGTCGGTAGTTACGAGCCTGCCTCGATCATTGGACAAAGCCAGGTCTTCGAGCCCCTAAAGCTGTCTACCCTGCGCCATGACGGCAATTTAGAGGCTGACTGTCGAGACGTACTGCTGTGCATAAAAGGCCCGTACATCAAGGACCCACTAAGTAAAGAAGTAAAGACCCAACAGAGATGACGAGACTAGGGTGACATATTCAGAGTGTTGGGTAGAATTTAATAACAGCATGCAGTAAGAGAATTACGAGTTTCCACAAGCTCTACCAGTGCACTAATTCCATGCGCTGCTGAAAATCACCGTCTACCCCATCCGGCTTGAACAACAACAGGACCTGACAAGGGTTGCTCTCCATTACTTCGGGCTGAAGACACTCGTAAACACGAGCATGCCGGTCCACATCCAATTCACTCTCTATGACTTCCAAACACGCGCTCTCCTCGACCTCCATCACTAAATTCGCTACTGCTGCATATCGCTTCGCGTCCCACATGCCCTCTATCTTCCCATAACGGATAAGAAGATCGATGGCTCTTCGTCGAATGGCAGGGCTGCGGCATTTGGTAGCTGCATAGTAGAGAGGTCCGATAACCTGGCCATCGAGACAAAACTTCGATTGGTTATTAGTGCGTTTGTCGATTTCCCCGGTGAGTTGGATCACTCTTCCCGCGTAGCTAACCACTGCATCGAAATCTGAAACGTAGAGATCGAAGACATTCTCATCCCGTGCCAGAACTGTCTTTACCCAGATCAGCGAAGTGTGATGGTAAATCTTCAGATTGAGTGAGGCGCGTTGGTCACTTTGCTGGATCCATGGCCCCATCCTCTGGATCAGCTTGTTTAGGGACACTAGCCAGGTGTCAAACTCAGAACAGAGCTTTCGCTGCTCGAGCTCTAACCTCTGCTGCCGCTGCGAGTCTCGGGGTTTCCTGTCCAAGCCGACTGATCGGATGAACGCGAGCCCTTTGTTCATTAAACTGTCGAGATAGTTCCTGGCGTGAGAGAGGCTGCTCAATGTCAGGTTGGCAGTTGGAACATCCTGGGACGGGAAGTTCAGAGGACACAAGAGACGACCCATGAACGAAGCCTCCAAATTGAATCTGGAGAGTAACTGGTGTAGTTCCCTATACAATTCTGTGTTGCGATCTGGTGTGCCCCATCTCTGTTCATGTTGGTAAAGCATCTTCAGGCCAGCGTCTATATGATCTAGTGCTTCTGCTTTTTTCCCGCGAAGGATTTCCAAACAAATAAAAAGACAGCAAGTGGCCAGTGTTAGCTCCCAGTTCTGGCTGTCTACTGTAGACATGCGGTCTATTAGATGTCGAATCGCTTTATTGTATTGCTGCAAAACAAACTGGTCTGTGAAGGCGTGATCGGCCACTGTCGGATCCGCCGCAATTTGATACCGGGCATGGATGGCACCGATGGCTACCATGGCGTGGCGAATGGTCGGCTCTCCCTCGCTAATCTGCGGAATCAAATATGACCAGAGCATGGAGTCAAAGAATCCCGAGAATGCCACTACCGTTTGAGCATGGAAGAAATCCGCCCACCGACGCTCCTCTCGGGTCTCGGGACGGAGAACAATGCGATGATCCCCACTCAGGAGAGGTCTGCGCGACATATTTTGGATCGCTTTGACTCTCCGGCGTAGTTGGGACTGAGATGCATTATCGTAGCCCTCACATTTGTGTCCTGACTCCTGGCATCGGAGACACATGGGCTTTGTCTCGTCGCACTTGACGTGTCGTAGCCTACGGGCTGGTTAACTTTCCCTATAACCTTCTCATTAGAGACAATACTCACTTGCATGTAATGCAGCCAGTCCGAGATCTTGTACCGCTAGATCTTCTCTGGGTTGCCATTATCTCGGGGTGCTCGAAAGTAGATTATGTTGGGGTTCTCAATGGTTGCATCGTAAGGCAGCCGGCTGGAAGCACAGCCTCAAAGGATTTCCCATTCGCTTAGGCAATTTTATTTCCCAGTCCCGTAGCTCCGTTTCTCAATCAGACAGTGGCCGCCTTCCAAGATTTACTCTTGTTTCTTAATATAAGCCCTTAGGTACCCTAACCTTTGTCATTGAACGCATGTAGAATAAATCTGGATTATTTGTGGTGAAACATACCTTCAAGGACGGGGATATGTTGGGCACAAAACGTCCTGCAGGCATATCATTTCAAGGGCTATGAGTACGAAGTACTATGAACCCTAACTCACCGATCGAGTCGATCTCTTTACCTGGACTTTACGAAAAACTGCTGGTCATAATAGTACTAGAGTAACTGTGCAGTATACTTTAAATGTTCTGCAACTTCTGCTTGCTGCAAGTATATGATACCATGAAGTAAATCGCTAGAACAAATACGTTATGCATGCCACTATATCCAACCTAGAAATAATACAAATCAAGCCATTGATGATATTCAAGGAGTTCATAATAATACAGGCAGAATAGAGACATGGTATGAACTAGTCATCATTATAAACCCAGCATAAACGAAGATAGAAAAATAGATGGGAATCTCCAGATTGTATAAAATCCCCGAACTAAGTAGATTCAGCGGCCTCCTAAGTACTAGATATCTCAAACTGTGCTAAAGCTGGCATTGGCGACGTTTTCTCCGTTGTCATCGCTGTGCAAGTGTGAGCGTAAGGCTCCACTTATACCAAACTGACAGGTATGGTTCATAATATATGTCACCAAAATAATCTGGATCTATAACTGGAATTCTAGTTCCGTCAATGCAACGTCAAATGGCCTGCAGTCCTGCCCCAAAACAGAATGTGTGAGAAAGAGCGAAGTCACAGAAGTCAGGCTGTATTGAAAAATATATCCATGACTATATAAAGGTCAAAGTTTATGCAAGATGTTGAAAACTGTCGGTATTTGTCTCACAAGAAAATGACTTAAGTGACCATCTAGAACTCATGGTGCGGGAGTGAGGTGAATATATACCCCGAGACTAGAATCTATGAATAGGAAGAACTCCGAGATAGGACTACTAAATTTAAATACGCCTAGCCAAGTAGTTAACTTCTAGGAGATCAGGAGACTGATACTTTGAAATTAACTTCTAGATAGGAACAGCCATGATATCATAGCTGAAAGATCTACAAGGACTATGCTTTTAGGATATCGTCAATCAAGAAGATAGGGGGATAGAAGGTCAATGGAAAAGGTATTCTGATGCAGTTATGTACTATTAATTTCTGTTTTTACGTACAAGGACATGATCACCAATTTTGGCCATATCCGGGGACGGATCTGTATTTCTGGGAGTTCAAAATGGAGGAGTCAAAAAGCAAACATAGATTTTGGCTAAATTCTTAGATCATATGCCCCAGCACCCGAACCCATATGGCTGCATTAGCCCCTTGTAGATCAAGAGATGCAACAGTGCTGCACGATCGACGGCCCATGATTGGTTATCCCTCTTTCAGTAGAATGGAATTCTCCCATGGAAAGCCCCAGTGGAATTGTTCAGTATACCTAGCCAAGGGCTGAGGTTCACCCTGACGACTAGGACCACACACTTCCGTACAACTCCTTTTGACCCGGACTCAAGGTAAGCTGAGTTGGGTTGTGGGCTGTTATCTTAGACCCAGTCCTGGCTCTGCGGCCGCAACTTGGATAACCACTGGGATGTTTCTAGGAAAACAGATCCATATCGGACTTGATATCTTCCCCTCGGAGCGTATGTGACATCTGTACTATTATACCTATGTAGACCTATGACTACTTCTTTAACAGTCCTGTTTTAGCTGCAAGTTTTAGTATTATTCTGTTTATAATCCAGGAACGCTTTGAAACCATCTGTTGATGGAATGAATACATGGAGCCATTGGGATACAACATCGTGGCTCATATAGCTAAAAGGAATCAGAGCAAGAATACAATCATCTCGCAAGATGTCCGCATCACAGTATACAAGCGCAAAGCCCATCACTCTATGGTCTTCATCGGGTCTGATGGAACCGATGTATAGAATGAAGGGCCGCCTTCCTGTTTCAGCTTAGTTCAAGTCAAAGGCCCGCATCGGGTTTCGGCCTTAACCTACTGGCAACAATTCGTATTCCCGATGCCGCAGCAACTGCCGAAGTCTGATATCTCTCCGAAAATGAGGACGACATTGGCCTGCCAGTGGTGTCGGTAAGCCTTCTTCTTTGTCGATGGGTCTCTGTATATGTGACGTTGAGCCCTAAGATAACGAACTCTCGCCTCCTGCAATGGTCCAAACGCTTACTTGATCTAGGAAGTCAAAGATCAAGTGCCACCACGATGGTACTCCGCCTTGCAAGTCATGTAGGGCCCATCCGGACAGAGAATGTAGCCTGACTACTCCTGTCCTACGTAGGAAGCGGGACACTCTGTCTCATCCCCCAGCTGCCGCGGCTCGTACGTATCGCGTATCAAAGCCTGTTATAGGGGAAGCATCGGCCTCTCGAAGAACAGAGAAGAGAGACGATGACTTGCCAGATCGACAATCACAGACGGCTTCTTCAACGCCAAATGCAGTTGCTGATGCAAACGGCAGTTGTGAAAGGCAGAGCAATACTGCGCCCCAGCAACTGAATACCATATTATTACCTGAAAATGCTCTAACAAATGTGGATCGAGAATTGGTCATTCGTGCGAGCCGGATATTTGTCCAGCAGTTCCCTGAATTCGGCTTTGTACATAAGCAACGTTCTTTGAGTACGGCGTGCCGGATAGGATTCCTGGCATAAAGCTCTGTGCTATCGTGGCTCTATGTGCACGGTATATTCCCGAACTGGTGGATCAATATGGGAGTCTGTATCTAGTGTCTGAGCATTTCGCCAATGTTGTGCGTGAGAATATCATGACCTACACAGCACAACATCCTGGGATCGACGCCGCCCATGCAATGATTTTGCTCAGTTTGTACGACTGGGGAGAGGGGAATGGGTTTCAGGCATGGATATATGCAGGTGCGTGACGCAGACTTTGCAGGTGCCGAGTGGGGCTTAATAATTTGACGTCTAGGCATGGCCACGAGAATGGCGAACGGCATTTACTCGCAGATGAGGGGAAATATAAAGGATACCTCGTATACAAACTCCACGGACCAGGAAACGACCATCAGGACTGCCTGGGCTTGCTTCGTGCTTGACTGTATCCTACGCTGTGGAAGATATGGCCCGCAATGCGCTGATATAGAGGTGCTTGATATTCCGCTACCTATGACTGAGGATGATTTCGACTTTGGCCCTGAGTCGACAATAACACCTTACTTCCTAGCACAGTTGGGGCCAGATAGGTCGCTATCGACTATGGGTAGCGATAGAAAAGTTGAGGGACCACAGCAGATTCTTTCCTTGATAATCGAGGGCTTTGGCATCTTTTCCACCTTGTCTACTTGGATCTGTAGAGGTGGTAGAAGATACCCCTCTCCCGAATCTATAGAACCTCCCTGGGAACCTACATCCTTTTGGAACCGCTCTATGACCACGGTGGAGGCCTGGAGGGGGACGCATTCGTCCAGGTTAGTCTACTCGCGAGCCGCTGGACAAATACAGGCACACATGTTACACAGCCAAGTCGAAGGATTCGCACTATTGAACTTGCTCTATTATATGAGCCTTTTGTTTCTACATCGAGAATACATCCCTTTCTTCCCACACAGGGTTTCGCGCCCATGTGGTCCGATTGACCCCCCATTTGTGGAGCAGACACCTCCTGATGGCTGGTGGCATCGCAGCTCCCAGGAACTCTTCGAGGCCGCTTCAACTATTATAGAGCTGATGCAAGATATTGAACTTCGGGGTGTGCAGTTTCAGACCCCGTTCACGGCTTTCTGTATGTTCAGTGCCGCCAGCGCAGTTTTATATGCAGACACTTGGCCGTACATGGCACCTGGGTTCGAGGGTGCGAAAGAAAAGTACACATGGAGTCTCGGTTGGCTCAAGGCTGCTAGTGAAAAGTGGAGGATTGTGAAACGCTGGTATGAAATATTGGGTGAGCTCACGGGAATCTTCACACGCCTAAAAACAGATGGACATGATTTCCCACATCTTGGACGGGAGGAGTTCCAAGATCTCCATGACAATATGCATCGCCTTGCGGAACCGGAATCCACAACTGTGAGTGCCCTGGCTGCTCTATCACAAGGCGCGCCAGGAGCACCTTGTCAACCCCACGAGACTACAAATCGTGGGAGAGACTCGGGACCAGAGTCTTTAGTTACTCGTGGCACCGTTCGACCTCAAGAACTACATAATAGTACCTCAGGACAAGGTCAAGCGGACTTTTTAGTTTTAGATCACGAAGCACCGCGTATGGATAATGATACCGGGATTGACACGGATTTCCTTATGGCAATGCTGTCTGATCCTTCCGGAGACTGGTCGCATGTAATTTGATATTCTTCCCACAGTACTCTAGAAGCTGTTCGCCGATTCTATAGCTACTAGTACTACTTCCTGTCCTTTTTTGAATCACTTAGAAAGTTCTATCTAGACTCGTCATGGAAGCGTTTCTCGATCATGCCAATGGCATGCATGCATTTCCTAGAAATCAGATCCCCGTTGTTAAATGGCCGTCATTCAAGCTTTATATAATGCGAAATGTCGCTCTATAACCTCTTCTAGGCCCTAAACCGTGTTCCAGACGATAACGTGCGGGGTACGAGAGCGGGAATCCGGCCGATCTCCAAAATCAATAAACCCGAAATGCGAGACCCGAAAGTGAGAGAGTTTCTCGGATGTGGCGTACAGGCGATGATGACTACATTTGATCCAAACATCGGGTCAGTTCAATTAGCTGCAGTAGTTACATCTTGAATGCGCTCGACAAACCAACCGCATCTAGGGAATTAATTCTATTCAATAGTCCAATCAAACAGCGACCAGTTTTCTCGATCATAATCATATATCGCCACAATGGCCGCATCCCCGAATGTCCCAAAAGGTACCCTAGAAAAGGCACAAGAGATGCTTATTAGTGCAGAGAAAGTCTTCGTCGAGCAAAACCCAAACTCCAAGGCTCAGCACGAACTGGCTAGTGAAGTGCTACCAGGTGGTAACACTCGCTCCGTGCTCCACACCAATCCCTTCCCAGTCTGCATGGAGCGAGGCGAAGGGAATAGATTGGTGGATATAGATGGACACGAGTAGGTACCTGCATTATCTTTGCCAATTTGAAGCTGACTGTTTCACCCCCTCAGATATCTGGATCTGGTTGGAGAAATGACAGCCGGCTTACATGGCCATACAAATCCGATCATCCGAGACACCATCATCTCTACGGTTACGAAAACAGGGTTGAATCTAGGCGCGACGACGACCGCAGAGTCCCTATTTGCAGAAGCGATCCGTCAGCGGATCACGTCCATAGAACAATTACGTTTCTGCAACTCTGGCACGGAGGCTAACCTGCATGCGCTGAGCATCGCTCGCGGCGTGACAGAAAAATCTAAAGTCATTGTGTTCAGCGGCGGTTATCACGGCAGTGTTCTCACCTTTCCACATGGCATCGCTGAGAACAATGTCGATAAGGAAGATTGGATTGTCGGCAAATACAACGATGTGGAAGGAACCCGCAAACTCATTTCTGAAAACAGAGATACAGCCGCAGCCGTGCTTGTCGAGGGCATGCAAGGTGCCGGGGGATGTATACCGGGCACCGCAGAATTCCTACACACAATTCAGACTGAGACCAGGGCAAACGGGATTATATTTATTCTCGATGAGGTGATGACTTCTCGACTTGCCCCGGGCGGACTTCAGTCTGTCATCCGAAGTCCCAATGATGGCACAGCATTGAAGCCTGATATGACCACTTTAGGGAAATGGATTGCCGGGGGGATGACTATCGGCGTCTTTGGTGGTCGTAAGGACCTTCTCGCGGCGTATGACCCACGACCTGCGTCGGAGACATCGAAGAAGAAGGCTCAAATTAGCCATTCTGGAACTTTCAATAATAATACCCTAGCTATGAATGTGGGATTGGTTGGCCTTGAACATGTCTATACGCCAGAGGCTTGCATAGAACTCAACAGTATGGGGGATTGGTTCCGTCGGCTTTTGCAAGAGCGCTGCCGAGGTACTAAAATGACATTCACTGGGCTAGGGGCAGTGTGTAACATCCACTTCACGTCGCAGATCGACAAAGCAGGAATCATCTCTGGGGATGATTTGGTAACAGAATCGAATGGGGTTGAATCGATCTTGAAAGACTTATTCTGGTACTATGCCGTCCGTAAGGGGTACTGGATGGCCAGACGTGGCTTGCTGAGCTTGATCTTAGGAACCAGCAAAGTGGAGCTCCAAGGTTTTCTCGATGTGGTAGAGGACTTTGTTCAGGAGCATTGGGGTCTTCTTACATGATGTTTGGAGGTCCAGTCTGTCCAGTCTGTCTGGTCTTTGTCGTGTCCAATACTGGACCCCAGAATAGCATGCCTGACGGGTCTTTTCTAGTACCAATATATCTACTGTAAGAACTGATCAGCAGGCGTTCCCCTAGAAGTTCTTTGTGTATAATTGGACACTATATATAGTAGCTGGTGTTGTTACACTGACCGTTGAAGGCTTGGGTCACACATGTTTTACCCTCATTTATGTGGTAGTGTATGTTAGCATGCTCCTCTCAGTTGATTATTTTGATCCGATTTCACTTTCCATTATCCCAAACTGCCCCTTTAGGGGCTAGTGGAGAAACACCAGCAAGAAACCGGTAAATGTCTAACATGAGTGAAACGAAAATACCAAGAACAAAGCGACCCTAGTGCTTGAGAGTCCCCATTCGGAACTCGTTGCAATATCACATCACAATCCGCCTGGGATAGGGTTTGATGTGCTCTACATCATAGCTCTAGAGACATTTAGGATATCACTTAATTTCACCAACAACATACACACCCTCATAACTATATATATACGATCATAGTAAGAAATTTTGCATATACTACCTAAAGGAAAACTCCACCTAACATATCCCAGCTACCACCATGTGCAGAAACATATACAAGAAGTACAACTGCTGCAATCATATGCTCACTGACGTGATACTCTGTACCAACCGGCCTTTCTGCGGGCGGTCCGAAGATTGGGGATATCCTTCTCAGTCGGAATGTCCTCGCTGCTACGTATTATTACCGTCAACATCGACATCAACTCCTCGGATCTCTGATATTCCCTGGAGCCATGAGGAACGGACGTTTGCTGAGATTCTGAGAGAGGCTAGGAGCTCGCGGTGGTGTGGAGTTTGATAGATGCTTTTGGTGTATGTACATTACGGGATACAATCATATCTTCTTTTCATGTTTTAGCTACAGTATAGTACTGATGCCGAGAACTGGGATATCCACTGAAGTTGTCTAACGCACTCATGATGATGCAAAGGTCTGAACAACCTTAACATGCGTATGAGCACAGTTCAGAATGCTTTTGCTATCAAAGTCAGAAGAAGGCGCCAGATAACTATGAATACAATGACCAATAACTGCTGCGAACTCATTACTGAGTTCTTCTTCCACCTCTTGCCACTTCTTGGTTGTACATAGCCTCGTGGGATTGTTTAGCCTGCTGTTGTCGAGAAAGACTTGGCGGAAAGGGTGCGATTTATGCTTCTGGCTGGATGAAAGCCCCAACAAGATGACTCCTAAGCAGACAAGAGTATGTTTTGTCTTGAAGTGCTTTTGCTTTGGGCCTCGTGTTTTGAAATAAGTACTTGCGGATGAAATATCACTTGTGTGCATTAAGCTGGCCTTGCAGTGGCAATATCTATTACACCTTATCACATATCTAGTATCTAATAGTAGGGTCTAACCCCCCGGTCCGTGGCAATTAGCCGGCAGATTATCCGTTAGCTGATTGGCGGAGTCCTACTTATGCCCCACATGTCTCTTAGGGTGCCATGTATACACAGCCTACGAGATCCATATCAACTTTGAGCCGGAAACCACAATGGTAGGGAGAAGAATGAGTGCAAGAATTTGAAATCAATGCGCGAAGCTTATAAATCGCACGTTTGATGAGAGAAATTCCTTCGGGTACAACCTCCCGCTTAATCATAGCGGTGGAGGTCATGGCAGCATGTCTATAAAGTATCCCAGCGCCGCCCAAGAATCCAATCTTCAGTGACTTTTATACTCTCAAAATCATATTACCCTATCTTTACCACCGCTATGGGTGACTACATGGATTCCAACCCGACAAAGGCCGCTCTGGCGGCCCGCTACCTAGGCAGCTCACCACCAGAAGCGACAAGCCCAAACCCCGTGCTGAACGCAATCTGGCACCACAAATCCAGCCGCCACTTCCTGCTCGACCCCTTGCCATCCGGCACGCTGGAAACCCTTATCTCTGCCGCACAAAGTGCCTCCACGTCCTCAATGCTGCAAGTCTGGAGCGTGGTAGCCGTGCAAGACCCCGTCCACAAAGCCGCGGCAGCAAAGCTCTGCGGAGACCAAGACTTCATCCAGCAGGCACCGCTGATGCTCTTCTTCTGCGCGGATCTGAACCGTCTCACAAACATCTCCGGGTGGGAGAACCAGCCAGGAAAGGCGCTGGATAACATGGATATGTTGCTTATGGCGACGATTGACACCTCCTTGGCGGCGCAGAATGCGGCTTTGGCTGCAGAGTCCATGGGGCTGGGGATTTGCTATGTCGGCGGAGCGAGGAATAACGCCGCCCAGCTTTGCGAGTTGCTACGTCTACCTAGCAAAACTATTGCCCTGTTTGGCATGGCTGTCGGCGTGCCTGACCCTGGCCGTGTAGTGGATATTAAGCCGCGGTTGCCCTTGCAGGAGGTTCTTCATCGGGAGGCGTGGGATGATAGCTGCCAGCGCGAGAATGTTGAGAGGTATAATCAGGGTCTAAGTGATTTTTATGACTGGCATCAGCTTTTCGGTCGCGTGAGCTGGGGGACTTTTGTCGCGGGTTTGATGGCGTCCGGGGGGTTGGATGGGAGGGAGAGGATGAGGCAGGTGTTGCAGGAGAAGGGGTTCGGGCTTGAGTAGCTGGTTTGAATGCACTCGGGAATAGAATGGATGATAGATTTATATCCAGTCTCGGTTGGGGATGCTGGCTTCTGTCACTGCCGCGCTGGGTGGTTGAAGTTCTGGGTTTATATCTTCGATTGCAAATTTGATGGTCCGGGCATTGTATAGATATGTACATTAAAAACCTAGGATAGAAAATATGAAGAAGCATCGGACACTCATCTCAAAGATCACGTAGACGCCATCAGCCTGTATCCTGGGCTTTTTATCCCTTCGAAGGTCTCCATCAAGTTATCGGCTTCGTCGTACAGATACTTGCTCACATTATATCCCTTGAAATGAATCCCGGCATCCCTAACCGCCCAGAACGCCCTGACAACACCCTGAATATACAGCCCATAGCCATCAGAGCAGCAGACCAATTTCGGAACCTGCAGAATCCACCGATTCCTTTCCGCACCCTCTGTAAGCTCCATACACGCCACAAGAACGGGTATCATCACGAATTTGACCGGCTTGCCTGTTACCAGCAGAGTCGATTCCAGCTGCGTCAGGATTGACATTCCAATCGTCCGAGCAGGAAGGTCCTGCGCCCCGAAGGGAAATCTGATGCGGTAAATGATGAGAAGGACAGCCATACGCATTACTTGGGCCTGGCAGAATATGTGTGCGATCTCAATGCCGGAAAATGTTTGACATAACCCTTCGGGGACACCGGGTTGCCAGGCGAGTGCTGCTTGTTCGAGCTGGTCTAGTGAATGTGTTATTCGATGAATATCACGTTCCCCGTGATCCGTCGAGGAGACCGCCCGGTTCAATTCGCATAAGTGGAAAATCAATGGAAGTAGAGAGGTAGATACACCAAGGTAGCGATCCACATAGAGGGGGTCTTCTGGTTGACGGAACTTCAGTGCCGGAACAGCGCCGTAAATCAAAGACCCTGCCATCTCCACTATCGTCATGCCGGCAAGGAAGAAAAAGCGGTTCGGATCAGGACTCGGGATGATGTCATACACCGGCCGAAGCAGGATGAGAGTCTGTCGGGATAAGGTGTAGACATTATGCGGTCTCGTGAACATGGCGAAGAGCATAATCATGGTTCCAAGAATGAGGCCGGTTGCTGCGTCCTGCGCATTTGTGATGTGCATATCGCGAAGATTGTGCAACGCTGAGGACGCGTGCCGGTAGGAGGCAAGAAGCTCGTCCTGAGGCAAGTTCACCCGGCTGCTCTTGGAATGAGCAACCGACAGAACAGAAGCCAGATAGGCGTGGTTTAGGATTGACTTCGACTGTTCAAAACTCGAGAGTAGGGCCGCGTGGTGTTGGCGCCAGAAAGCTGGCCCAATGAGGAAATTGCCATAGATGTCATAGTCAGAAAGGACAGTATATACGAGGTCGGTCTCAGTAATGGATGGAGTCACCGGGATCCTACTTGTGCTCTCTGAATTAGCCTGCAAAGACCTAGGCAAGAGAGCCCGGCGACCGACTTTCTTCGTTGGGCGAGTATTCCCGCAAGAGAAACCAAGCCGAGCGCATCGAGCACAGCTGTTAGAGTCTTGGAGCCACGAGCACCGTTCTTTGATGCTGTAGCATCGATCGCAAGATCTAGTCGGCTGGCGTGCCATTTAACCGGGCACGCAATACCGGCAGCGGTTTGATCTGGACGATACTCAATACTCCAGAGTCCTTAAACCCTTGACGTTGAGGCGGGCTCAAGGTGGATGGATGTACAAGGTATAAATTAAGTGGGACGGGCGGGACCCTAAAATTTCAATCCGGCGGACTAAATCGAGCGAACGGACCGTTGCCAAGTTTACCAATGCCAACGCCCTATGATCTTGGCCAATTATACACTCTTAGTCCTTCTTAAGGCTCTGGATTATCGACTAGGAGTCCGGTTCTGAGATAGTTACTGCGACACTGTCTGTAGAGTCCCGTAAAGGAGGCCCGCCAGTACTAGAGAGTATATCTTTCGAAGCTCTCATACGAGATCTCAAGAATCCTCTCTAGGTTTTAGCTTGTAAGTTTTTAGTGTCTTGGTGATTTGAGGGATGAATAAAGAGGACGAGTCCCCGAGAGGCCCTAGGCTCGGGCCTTAGCTCTGGGGGCAGAGACGAGGTTCGGGGGCGGTAAGACACTAAATCTCTAGAAGGGATGTTATACAATGCTAAGATTTCGATTGTCCGTTAGCTCGACCTACATTAAATGTACTTCGTCACTCGTGGCCGCCTGACGCCTTGGGATCAGGTTCGGATGTACAACTCGCTCACCTTGGAACAATTTCCTGATCCTGCCTTATTACTACCTTGTTGATACTGGACACCCCAGGTGCTGTACGGGGTATGTACAATGAATGAGGCCTACTAGACGACAGGTGGGAAAGCTGCATTATTATAATCCGATTTGGTATATTATCTTTGGAATGTAGTAATGTACACAGAAGCATATATCCCTATAACTCTGATTATAATAGAGGTCATCCAGTTCATAACAGACGACCATAGCATCGAGCGACGATGTCACCAGGGAAGTTTGGAAAGTTCGAAACGACGTAGGTGGACATATACAAGCACCAACGCGCCGCAGGAATATATCTCAGAGCAGTTCCATTTCGCGAAGATCTGGTTGAAGTGATCATCGTTTGACCCCCTCAGCAGGCATCTCCGCTAGGATATCCTCGGCTGGCATCTCGAAGCGAGGTTGATCCCTAGTTCCCATCTCATAAACCTCTGGTCCGCTGCCATACAACTCTTTCCGGGGGCTTTGATCCGGCGGTGGGATAGCCGATGCGTCGCTCTGCCATGCCAGGCGAGAGCTACTCGCAGCTTTTGCTTTTCGATGTTTTCGGGCGAGGAACCATGCAACACCAGCAATCAAGCCCACCCCGGCGACGCAACCGACCACCACTCCGGCAATGCCGCCGCCGGAGAGGCCTTTAGATGCACCGGAGCTTTGTCCAGTCGTACCGGGGGTGGCGGTCGATGAGGTGCCAGGATCTATGATGTCGTTTCGTTTCTTAAATAAATCTTCCATGCTCGTACTATTGAATCCACTCTCGGGCGAAACTACTGTTGCTCCGCCAGTTTCACTATCGATTAGTTAATATCAGTGTCTTTGCGGCAGGAAAGTCTCTCAGGACAAAGTTGACATACCTCCCACCAATAACGTCAGAGACCTTAGAAGGGATCTGATACGCGTCGTTGTAACTTGCATTATAGTTAGACAGCCACGAGAGGGAGTGGAGGTTGAAGATGCCTATCCCATTAGCAAACGTAGCGCTGTCGCAATTCTGTGGTAAGGGGTCATATTCTCGATTCGTGACTGGGGTATTGCCTCCAACCACAATCATGGTATTATTCTGAGGCCGTACACATTTGTGTTTAATACGAATGCTGTTGTCATCTGTAACCCGAATCCACCGGAAAGAGGGCACTGAGAGAACGTAGACATTGCCATCGGACAGAGCTGTTGTGTTGGCCATGCCGCCGAATACATAACTTCGGCATGTCGGTTAGTATTTCGACGGTCATTGTTGGTTGTCTAGCAGGCCCGACGGCTTACATGGAGTATGAGGATAGATCCTGGGCGGGAGCAACAACTGTACAGCCCGACATTCGCCAGCCGGGAACATCGCCCGACGTTTGTTGAGTGTACCATTTCTGCTCCGCGATGTCGTAGACACGCACCATTTCCATTGAATTCTGCCGACATTAGCGATGACATAAAACAGGGCTAGGTTTCATACCCGATGAATGGTTTCATTTTGCCTGTAGGCCAAATAGGAAAGTGTCTGGCCAACTGGATATTTATAGCCGCCAAAGGCTACGATGACGCCCTCGTCCCCCGCCGATTCAAGCAAGCTCGTATACCCGTCGCCTATAGTCCCCCATTGGTTCATATCTGCAGTCGATGCATTCGTCCATTCTAATGTTTCCATATCGAGCGTAATCAGCCCCGGGTCCATGTATACATCCGCCCCCTCGGTGCCGGCAAAGCTCGGGTTCCCGCCTGGGTTCAGGGAGCCACTGAGGTAATAGGCCTTGTTCGAAGACTGAACTGCGCCTCCCTGGCAGAGTCGTACAAGTGCGGCACCCGAAAACCCGCTATGGGTCCATTCGTTGGATGCGATGTTATACTTCCATGTTCCGAGAGGAGGAACCGAAGGGCCGTTGACTCCACTGACATAACCACCATAGAAGAAGAGGTTTTCTCCATCCGACCAGGCGGCTCCCTCATCCAGATAGATCGCAGTATGGTTAGCGAGGGGCTTTGGAATGTATGTGTACAGGTCGGAGTCCGAGTTGACCCAAGACTTGGTTAGATCGATTGTTTCAAGGTCGTCAACTGCTGGACGTTAATTCAAAGTCGTAAATAGCAACGGGAGATTCGTACTTGGCTTCGTCGTGATCGTGTCATTCGGCCACCTTGTGTGCATTTCCCCGCCATCGATGTAAATCTTTCCATTGCTGACGACGGCTGAGCAGGATGTCAGTTCGGCTGGTGCAGGAGTGGCAACTGCGACGTACCAGAATGGAATATGCGACTGCAGTTTGTCTCCGCCGCGAGGGAATACTGCGTTATTGTGTAAAAATAGAGGGTAAGAAGAAATGCCCCGACCATATTGAAGTTTCTGACGCGGATGGCTCTGGTCACCGCAGGAGTCCTGGCAATTGCAGGAGTTCACAAGACAGGGTTTTGTCGCCCCAGAGATATGAATGAGAGGGGAATCTCGCAACAACATGGGTACGAATCCTGCCGTTAAGGTGTGCCCCCAATGAAGGTCAATGCTACTACTAGTAGATCAGAAAAAGCTTTGGGGCGGTGCGTTGGACTTGCATGCAACCTTGAGTCCCTAGTCTTTACATGGAATAGTTAAGACTATGCTTACAAGGACAAAACAAAGAGTAGTAATTTGTTAGTTTCGGTTGGAAAGGCCTGGTTGATAGTAGATCTTATCAAGGCAATGCCATCCGATTTAGCACCCCATCAATTGGGGTTTGCAACTCAGTCCTCATCTCTACACCCTAACATACCGAGTGTGATTGACGACGCGCGTTGAGGAAGACAATGGCTCCGCGAAAGATGGGGAGAAGCCTGACAGGATTGGTTATTTCGTTTAACCACTTTCTAGACTATCTTTAGGGCGTAAAGTTGCCAACATGGGGGCCAAGTTGCTTCTCCCCACAGTCCTTCATCCCAGTTCGTTGGTGTATCCGTCCATGACCCATAACAAACTGCGACGCACACACAGTCTTGGCGGACCTGCTTGCCTTCAGCCGCGTGGAAATGAAATTTGTTCTGGTTTGTCCAGTGCACGAGTTGTGGGGCAGGAGAGACTCCGAGAGAGCAGCAAAGTGGCATCCGCGATCGACGGGGAAATAATAATGATCAGCTGAGTTGGCATAGGAGCTCCACGGAGGAACGTCTCCGTAAAATCCAATCAGCACAAGGGGTACTACTAGTGGTATCATAGCAGATATGAGTGGGCCGAAATTCCTGTCCAGTGTGCCTGACAGAAAGGTGCTTTCTTATCGAGGCAGAACGAAGTTTAAGATCGCTTAGCTCCATGGTACTCTTACTGGGGCATATTGATCCGTGCATACGCCCAAGGCATGGGCAACAGCATACTCCGTATGCACAGCTATGAACGGCCTCTCGATTGGTGGGTGAGGCATGGGGCTCGCCGTCAGTTTGCATGAAGTCCGCCAATAGACGAGATGCACCGGGATCAATCACCCCAATGGCACTACTCTGGAGCACTTATCTGCAGCAATTACCTCTAGTAATTCTCGTTTCCCTGGTTCAGTGTCGTTTTCTTTGATTTGCCGAATGCTTGGGAATAGTCTAAAGTGACAACCGCTATGCAGAGTGCAGACATCTGGCTTATTTTCAAATTGACAATGCTCTAATGCCTCTCCACTTTTTCAGGTTGGGAACATATTTCAATGCTTGGGCCACCGAGTCTTGCACATACAATGCTTCCAGCTCTAGGCCAAACGATTCTGACTACGCACAGACGAGGCAGCCAAATTAGCGTCACCTGAAGAGATACAGCGTAGGAGTAAAAAAGGGTGAATTGATCTCTGAGTGAGGACTTTTTGTCCAAGGAAACTACCCATCCTTGCTTGCCGAGTCGATCCGGCTCAGATTTCATTTCCCTGAAAGTCATTATGAGACCCGGAAACTTTTCTATGTGAGGTCTTAGGGACCGAGCCGGCAAAGCACATCACGAGGACACTCGAGGTGAGCTGCGGCGCCATGCTGACCGGTACAGTACATAATACATTGTATCTCTTCCTCGAGTCACGTAGGGCATCATACCAATCCCATTTGCCCACAAGGTTACTCTGTACTACATGATTCAGTATCGGTATGAATGGAAGGCTCATGGCGACATCGGACAGTGGTAGTGGCCCCAGTTGAAACACTTAAATGACCCACAATGTTCCACAACCTGGCACCCATTGGATCGCAATGTTAAGTTGGTGCCAGGTACCGGTGATCTTGACTGTTTTCAGATAGCTTCACCCAGTCTTTGCAGTTTTTTTTTTTTCTTCTTTGGCTCTATTTGTCTGTCTCTCCTTTTTTTTTGGTTTTTTCTTCTTCTTCCTAAAGTACAGAGTAGTTTGTTGTGCATCCACCTGCTATGCATTCCTTATCAGAAGATAGAAGGATGCATCTCCGCCCTACTATGCACGCAGCACTATGCTCAGGGTTTGATATCTCACCCCACGAAGTCGGAAAATAGAGTCGAACCGGACACAGAAAACTTTCTAATAAGTTGGATTTGGGTAGTTCCACGAGGCTGTCCCACCAGAGTAACATGGATAGGAAAATTAATTTCCCCAATCTGAGGAAATCTCCATGTTTCCGTGATTATTCAGCGTGGTTTATCAGACCCTAAACCAACCGGCAAACGAGCCAAAGGGTCCACTAAACCTCATCGATGAAGAACCAACCCCTTTAGCCATCGCTCTTGTTTCATAATTGGCTGCAAATGGTCGCCTCTGGGGCCCTCAGCTTAACTGCTGATTGCGACACATCCACCATGACAGTCCCTCCCCCAGACCCTGAAGGGTTTGACCTTCCACCCTCTCTATCTGTCTGAGCCTGCTCCGACAGCATCTCTGCCATGATTCCGTTGCCACAGCTGCTTAAGCGCCGGTACATCTTTCTGGTCGTCTTGGGTCTCGTGCTCCTCGCCGTCGTCAACGGCTTCTATCTCAACGTTCTCCCCGTCCCGAGCGTCATTCGCGGCTCTGCGGAGGTAGGCGTTGAACGACCCGACCTCAACGAGGCTGCACCGCACCCGATTGATGGATTAATTCGCGACGCCCAGGCGAAATGGGATCAGCTCCTGTCGAAGCGCGTCGATTCCCTCGCTGATGCAACGAAGCAGTATCGAGAGCGAAGAAGCCGTCACCCGCCGCCCGGGTTCGATCAGTGGGTTGCCTTCGCAAAACAAAAAGACGCCGTACTTATCGAAGACCTGTTTGATCAAATATACGATGACTTAAGTCCGTACTGGGGATTGGACCCCCAAGTGATTCGGCGCCATGCAACGCACTGGGATCCTCGGATTGTTATACGCAACCATACACTGTCCTCTGTCGGTCATACTGGCGTCAACTGGCTCGAGGTTTGGATGGATTTGATCTCGACTATCCAGGAATTTCTCCCTGATATGGACATTCCACTAAACGGTATGGACGAGCCGCGGATCATCGTCCCGTGGGAGACCCTCTCAGAGTATCGCGCCAAAGACCGCGATGTTCAGCGGCAACTGGATCCGAGCCAGGCCGTTAATCAGTATATGACTTTGCCAGCGGAGGAAACGCCTGCGGAATACTCGCCGCCCGCATTTCGCGGAGCTGACACGCCTTTCTGGGACATCATGCGCGGTGCATGTCCTCCCGAGAGCCCCGGCCGCTCCAGCAATATCCAGAAAGTCGATTTTGCCAACCCGCCGGCCGAATTCTTCAACTACCGCAACTCCTTCTCCGAAAATGGATATGTGAAAGACTTCGAGCGCTCCAAGGACCCCTGCTGGCGGGCGGAACTGCAGGCCTTACATGGTAGCTTTATCGAACCCACCACGACATCGACCACACACGAGCTGATCCCATTGTTCGGGGGTTCCAAGCTGACCGTTAACAACGAGATCCTGATCCCACCCGCGGTGTACTGGGAAGACAACCCTACGTATTCTGGTGGAAAAAGCAACCACGGCGGCCCGTGGGCCAAGAAGAAAGATATCGTTTTCTGGCGCGGAATTGCCAGCGGCGGTCGCAACCGTGTCGACACCTGGACGGGATACCAACGACACCGACTGGTATCGATGCTGAATGGCACAGAGGCCGCGCTGACAAACGGGACGTCGCATGGGATGAACTTCCGTCTACCCGATTTCCAGTACTATCAGGTCACGGCGGGTCTGGAGGGCACACTGCCTGAGTTTCTGAATGAGCACTGTGATCTGGGATTCTTGGATCTCTGTTGTTTTCCGCGTGAGGACGATAGTCCACATTGCTCTTATACCGACGCTCACTTCAAGATCGTCCCAGGAATGCCCATGAAGGAGCAATACGCTTTTAAATATCTGCCTGATGTAGATGGCAATTCCTTCAGTGGACGTTACCGTGCGTTCCTCCTTTCAACCTCCCTGCCGCTCAAAGCAACGGTTTATAAAGAATGGCATGATTCACGCCTGATTCCCTGGGCGCATTTCGTGCCGATGGACTCCCTCTATATGGATGTTTACGGGATTCTGCAGTATTTTATGGGATATAAGGGACGTCGTAAGCATGACAAGGAGGCGGAGAAAATCGCTATGGATGGTAAGAGCTGGGCTGAGAAGGTCCTGCGCCAGGAGGACATGCAGATCTACGTATATCGCCTGCTTCTAGAATATGCGCGACTTTGTGATGATCAACGGGACCGTCTCGCCTTTGTAGGAGACTTAATGAATAGTTAATAATAGATAATGAACTTTCTTTCTGTTTATCTCATATTGGTGGATCGTCCGCAGTCGTACAGCTTCCAAGTATTATAAAACTACATCACGGCATGCGATATGGTAAGCTGCCTGTCGATGTTTATTTTTCAGACGAAACTGAGAACATCATGTCTGAAGTCATTCAACAAGTATCCTTCTAAGTCAGTGCTCCCATAAGTCTAGGGGACTCATACAGCAATGATGCTTCAAGCCCCTCAGACAGGAAACGGTCTTCTCATCAGGTCGCTATCGAATAGGATCTTGTACTTTGATTCTATTACGCCCTCCTGTGGGTAATGACATATGCATCTGCTTCTTGAAAATATTCTGGGCTTGCTTGAGCTCCAAAATGAATCATATTCAAGCATTATCTTCACCGTGTACGTCCCTCCAAGGCTATCGCACCCTCATGTGGATAAACACATTCAACCATTCCCAAAACAACAAAAAATGCAGTCCCTTCCCTTGATCTCAGCTCCCATACATCCTTATACAACACCATTCATAGTTTAAACCTTCAGTTCAAGAGCTCCTCCGGCTTCATAATCCCTCTCCTCAACATCTCCACCACGACGGGCACACTATCGCTATAGATCTGGAAGCTCTTAATCTTAATCCCATCATGCTTCGCAGTCCAATCCTTAACAAAATTAAACCGAAACATGCACCCGACCCCCAAGTCCCAGCGCCTACCATCCAGATCCATGCCTTGCTTCCTATCACCTTCCTTCGTGAGATCAAGGAAGAGCGTCGCCTCGCCGACAAACTCCCAGCCATCCACCTTCTCAGCAACGCAGACCCACTTCGGCTCGTGGTAATATTCCTTGAACGCGCTGTAATCAGCCTTGGTCGCGTCCCAGGCGGTTTCCCCGCCCGTGAACCGATCACCGTTTGGCTTGATGTACGTGTAATCGTCCGTGACCCAGTCCGACCAGGGCGTGGACCAGCTTTCGCGTGTGTCCCAGGCATTCGTGCATTTTTCCATCCAGGCGAGGGCTGGGTGGATGCGCGCCTGCGCCCAGCCTTTGGTCGCGCTTAGGAATACGGGGGTGGTGGGGAAGGACATCTTCTGTAGATTATTGTTGTACGGGTTTTAAGTGATCGAGGGCAGTGTTGTTGTTGTTAAAAAAAAAAAAAAAAAAAACAAAAAACCGGGTGAGAGTACCGCACCGGCGTCCAGAGAAAAAGTCATGTTTTATATATAGTACGCCTTCATGTCGCAAACGAAGGTTATAAAAATGTGTTGATCAATCAATTAAGCGGATCATAGCTACAGAGAGACGCCTAGCCTAGACCTAGCTGTCGCATAAAGTTCGATCCGAGTTTTGGGGGTGGCGAGACGCAACCCATCAAAAGTCCGCTAAATCGAGCCGGCTAGAATCTGATGAAGGTTCAAGCCACGGACAGATCTGTAAAGCTTGACCTCATTCCAATTCCCAACGGCAGGTCATATGCTCTGTGAAATGACGAAGGACCGTGGTCGTGGTCGTACTTCTCGTACTATGGCCTAGATGATCACCCCGAAACATGGTGGTCTATATATAGGCTAAGGCTGACCGATTAGTTAGTATGGAGAAGGAAGTAGTGTTTGCAGTAGGCCAAACAGCATGGACCGATATCGTCAACAAGTCAAATGAACGCTGATCCTTAAGCTACTTCTACCGCATCTCTCGATAGCTGAACGTCTCCAATGGTGATGCGTCGGATGACATTTCCAACCATAGTTCAAGTAGCATATGTCTCCCACCATCCATCTGAGCCATCTCTGCTGGATATCTTCGCCGAAGTTGAATATCTGGAGCCAGGTGATAGGCTTCCTTAGGACATCTGAGGTGTGGTCGGAGAGCCGTAGTCTGGAACATTGAACTCTGAGGTCGAAGGCCTCCAGATTAAATGGACAGATATCGTATGACAACGGCTAGCACAATATCATGCCTCCTACAACCACGTATTCGTCACCAAGATATAGATAACTATAAACTGATGTTTGTACAAATGGACAGGTTCTAGAACAAAGCTATGAAATTTTCTATGCCTTGTAATGTATAGAAATCCCACGAATCTACAGTCTTTTTTTTGCTATAACATAACAAGTTCGTAACCTTTCACCTCGAACAGAAATATCCACTACAAAAAAAGAACGACTACTGACGCCTCTTGATACCCCCCAAGTTCAGAAGTATCTTCATGAGAACTATGGCTTTTTTGACTCGTCTCCCATTGTTCTTCTGCTTCGTATTTGCCAACTTTGCCATCGAGTTCACTTGCCCCGAGATTGCAGATATCGAAATCTCTTATACTCTTGTGAGCAAACACGATGCTGCTGGAGCAGACGGGACCAGTAAGCATAGTTTGACACCTCTGGAAGCGCAGCTGAAAAAGATCCGCTCAGAGAAGACACGGCACGAAGATACTCATCTCTGACAGAGCTAGTAAACGCAATCAACCAACACTGCTGTTGGAGCAGCGGCCGGATCTGCTACTGGCTCGCACCCCTTCAAGTACGAGTCCCTTGCTGCATTGGACGGATTGTGCGCTGGAGCGGTTGTTGGGGAGTCGATCTTCTTCGCTCCAACAGCAGCACATCCTTAGCTATGTCCACAGTTTTATCACATTTTGCCTACTGCGTTTGTTTCAAAGACACTGGCTTTATACTTCCTTCCTTTCGGTGTGCCTGGCGATCAATAAGCGGTGCCCATTATATATACGGAAACAGGCGTGCATTGTCAAGTCAGTTACTCTTTCATTAATACCAATATTGTAACCATGTGTGCTACTGCTGCGCAGTCTAGCTCAGAGGTCTTTTGGTCACTATGTACTTGGCGAGTACTAGGAGTTAGGGTGAGACGAAAGTAGCTGCAGTTCTATTCCGCAAGAGGAGCAGGGTCTTGATAGATTAAGCGTATTGTTCGAAGAAGACAGTGCATACTATACACAATTGCTCGCTTGACTAGTCATGATATGGTAGTGGTATTTGCTACTAAGTAAACATGTCTAATTCCACGCCAGCTGCAGTCTTACCAGTTCTGAGCATGCATCGGATACCAGTCGATTGTTGTCCAATCTGACTGGTTCACCTCAGCATCCATTATCACCTGTCCAGGTATACCAGGATAGCCTCCGAGCTCCGGGTTTGGAAACCCCTGGCCTTCCATACTGTACAGCAAGTCATGGCTACCAAAGTCAGTTGGCATAGTCATTGACAGATGGTCAGTATTCGTATTCAGTCCGCCCTTTGGCTGTCTTGGGTCGCTTCCTTGTCTACCTCCCAGCGTCTGCGCCACCTCTTTGATCCTTGAGACAAACCCAGGCGGTTGTAGTGGCTTGTTTACTTGCGTGGATACCGCCTCACGCGCCTCCCAGGCCTCGAGCACAAACTTACCGAAGAAGTCAAAGAATCGATTGATCTTTTGCATATCCTTGGAGCGAGCTTCGCAGTTATCGCTCATAGTCCGCCAGATCCTGTCAGCATGCTCCACAGTAGGTCTCTTTTGCAAATCTTTCAGGATATATATATATGCGGGGAATGGGAATTGGAACTCTGTAAACCAAAGGTACCCCTTTGTTAGAGGAGAGGTCATAAGCTTTGTATCGCACTCGATGACGCGTAAAGCGTATGAAATAGCGATATCGCGCTGTTCATCTGTCTGTGGCACGGACGCATATCTCGAATAATATTCCAGGAGGCGGTTCTTGGCGAGTTGGCCTCGCGTCCTCCATATAGTCATGAAGTGAAGCGGGTTCTCTGGATTGCATAATCTGAGGTACCTATCCTCTATCATCTGCGCAAAGGCCAGCTGCCTGTCTCCTTCTGAACCACCGCCGTGGGGGGTATCTTTAACGATAGCCTTCAAGGAAGGGTTGGTAAAGTCGAGATGGAAAGCGCTGTGACGTATGAAGTCGCCCACCTGGTTACGTACGACAGTGAAAAGAGCCTCGGTGGGTCCATCGTGACTTTGTGGCAATACTTTCATTTCGGGTCGGATGTCGAAGTCATTCACGTTCAGGGGAGCCCTGCAGTCCCAAGTGGGAATAAGCATCGTGGTCTTGTAATCTGTAACCTCGGAGATACGATGGTCGAAAATAGTTAGCGACCACCATAGCCTTCGGCGCATTTCGCCCTCGAGAGCCGTGCATCTGGCATTGATTGCCTCGTTTTCCAGGCCCATGCGTTGTGCGATGCGGATAGCAACACCAAGCATTGAGGAGACAGACCGAGGGTCTGTACTAGATCTGACTGAGACCTGTGAGAATTAGAAGAGTATAAGCAAAATCGCCACCTGGTGCGCTTACCAGGTATAGATACAACGCTGTCAGGCACTCAACACTACTGGTACGTAGAACCCCACATTTTAGTAGAGCCTGTTGGCATGCGAACTGGTACCTTTTCAGAAGATCCTCTCTTGGTGTCCTAAAAATGGCACAGCATTGGTCTTCGCCAAGGCTCAATATGGATACGCAATATATACTGAACATTAGTGCTTCCAATGTCGGACTGATATTGGTCACGTCGCCGGCAGCATCGATGATGCGTGCTTGCAGAGTGGGGGTGTGGGTGACTTTAAGCAAAGGGTTCACATTGTCCAAGTAAACCTGCCACAGCCGGAAAATCTGGACCTGATCTGGGTGCAGAGTAGAGATATCGACATTTGTATTACATGAACCAAAGAGAAGGTTTTGCTCATTGCTCTGATATATCTGATCCCACGCCTTTTTAACCCCAGTCTCACGCAGATCGGCCTGGGGGTGGTTGCTATCGTTTTCATCGGTGTCCTCCCCATCACTAGGGCTTAAAGACTGTTTCTACAATGTCAGTGGAACATCAACCCACTGGTGTTGACATGCATACCATCTGATTCATGAGATACCAGAAATTCCTGAAGGGTGTCAGTCATCTGAGGGTATCTATTTCTAGGGAAAGCCTCACTTGGCCTCGTTTGAATATTCACACTTTACTGTTTTCTTCTCGCTTGACAGCTGATCCGTCCCCACAGTAGATTCTGTTGTTTTTTCCGGAGTGCTAGATCCTCTGGGGCACTCGCTTTGGCACGGACTTTCTGCTGTAGGTGTGTGCAGCGGGTCGAATGGGATATTGTTCTGGCGGAGCAGGGCCTCGTAGCGCCGCAGACGCTCCAGCAGCTCTCGCTCGGGGAATCTACGACGCCGCGGGCGCGCACCAGCGGCAGGAATGCACTGGACGCCAGCTCTGGTGCAGTTGAAACACGGAAATTCACGATTACACCTGACCTTGCGCTGCTGACACAGTACGCAAGAAAGGACCCGTGGCGGCCTCGTAGCGGATCGCGGGGACACCGCCGCCTGAGAGTAGATAGTCGTGGGCTCCTGCGTCGACATTATTTCCGGTGTGTTTACCGGATGATTGAGGATCCCACTCTAGCCAGGTCCGATCACACTGTTAGGGGAGACACAAACCTCAGACTATGAGAGTGAGCCACCTCGGGCTTTTACAGCCGTTCGAGAACGTCCGTTCGGGTGTTTCCATCTCCCGATCATCCCTCTCGGTCTTTACTAATGCCCGTTCCTTGGATCCTGGCCATCATGTGACCTGGTCGGCCTGTCACTTTTATCTTATGGCAAATCTACTAGGCATGGCTCTTGAATCAGAAGATATCCTTTCAGCTAAACTGTGCGTAAGGCAAGCGTCATCTACGGACTGCAATTTTCGTGTATTCTTCTCCACAAGATGTTCTACTTGTTCATCCGGAGGGCCCACTTAATTGCCCAGAGCAACCCTAATATTACATATCGATCACATGCCAGGTTTCACTGCAAAGATCCTATAAGTTAAGGAAAATTCATATAGTACTTAGGTCCAGGGTAAATCCCGTCTGCTCTATGGGAATATTGCGCACTAGAAATGGAGTCGGTGATTGTGTGTCAATCAACGCTCTGTACCGTTACTACAGTGGGAGCTCAAGGGATGTGCCGCTCGGGAAGGCCCATAGCCCACCTGATGACTTTGGTAAGTTTCGCTTGGATATGAAGACAGGCGGGAGATTCAGCCTAAGTTGGGTAGTGCCTACGAGGATACATCCCATATCACCTTTCTAACTACATATGGGGAAGGCACGAGTGCGCTGAGCATATTAAGCTTGGGGAGCTTTCCAATGATGTGCCTATAACCAGAGACAGCGACAAGGAAACTTCCTTTTAGGACTGTCTCCTGTTCAACGTTATAAATGAGTCATTTGAAGTCCCTTGACACCATGCGGATAATTCCCAGGCCACATACATCAGCTTGTATATATAAAGCCCTTGGTCTACCCCATCATTCTACGCTAGAACTGGCACTTACAGTTCAAGGACCAACTGAGTAACAGATTAAAATATACCTTTACATTGTGGTGCAGTTTCGATCTGTTACGTAGCTTATTAGAGCGACAAGAGAGAAAGATTCACCCCATTGTCAGCTACGGTCAGCTTCAGATCACCCTGTTCCTGATGAAGGGTATATGACCTGATTTTACCACATCCCACAACCTTGACAACCAACCTGAGTGGTCTAGTATAACTAATCATAGCGTTTACAATGTGTTTTGAAATAGAATACAGGTTTCCAGTTTGCGGCCATACTGAACTGAAAGCAGATATCTGCCCATATGTCCCGTTTTGCCTATTCCAAAAGATAAAGAGAGATGCAAACAAGCCTAAGTGCAAAGCCTGCGCAGCACAAGTCACACAGCACCAGAATGCTGGGGGAGCTTCATAGGATGGCCAGCCACTGGAGAAGAAGGAAGCTACTATGTCATTTGTGGACTCCTAACCTATTTCTTACTCCAATCATGATTAGTTGAAGGTCCAGTTTAGTGCTTGAAGGCCTGAGTGTGCATTCAATAATCTTTCAATACTTAATAATATCCATGGACAACCATTTTCGGAATTCTTCCCTAGTGCTCCTTCTGTTTGCTACTATCTCTTTTGCACTTTAATGGCGTATCATTTCTGTCTAGGTTTCTAATTACAATATCTCGTATCATTTCACATTTAGTTCACTGTTTGTAAAAGCCTTGAGTCTCTGTGGGGGAAATATTGGGCTTGCTTTGTCTTTCTATGCATCAAGCCATAAAGGATATCTTCTTGATACAAATTCTTTGTGTTACATTTGGATCATTCTCGGTATAAATGCCTCGTCATCATTGGCGGTTTGCTCTTCGCTATCAATGAAAAAGATGTAGCCAGTATATGTGAGGTGTATAAGAACGTTTCAGAGATGAGACTCAGAATTCGCACGCAGACGAACCCAATAACGCCGCTGGAAAGTATTACACTTGGCTAAGTGACCATTTAAAGCATGTTTTCATGCTGTGTGTGAGATATACAATTCAAGGAATATATCTGTGCTACACAGGAACTCAATAAATCCTCAGCTTTCAGTTGTGAGAGCGCCTCTGACAAACTGAGAGTTAATATACTAGTTTCGCCTAATAGAATGAAGGGTGGCTATTTATACTGTAGTTGAACAAATTCAATCTTCGGACACACCTCAACGGCCGAGGGTATATCTTTTACGGAAGGCCAATTTACTATTCAAATACTAATCTATATTTTATTATAATAAGGCTCTTCTAAACTATTGATTTATTGATATATTGAAGTACACAGTCTATCCAAAAGTCTTGGGAAGTCGATAGCAATAGCATTGATTATAATATCATTCTGTGTTTACAAGCTGTGCTGGGGAGCTTCGCTAGGGATCTCCCAGGTTTACTGCGTTATTCCGTCTTCAGGCATGTCGCTTAGGCATAAGATGCTATCAAGGTATCAGTGTGAGCGAATATTTTCTTTTACTCCCCTCTGTGTTGTCGCATATTGTTTTGGTGGCTTTTACGAGCCAGAGCGTAGATATTAGCTTAACCTATTTGGCATTCTAGACCCTCAATGTCGAGCACGAAGACTGGGCATATATCGGTTCTCGGTTTATTGTTTCTCGGAAATCATCTAAGCATGTGTGCTATCAATCTGTATTACATCTATGTAGTAAGAATACCTAAATAGGCCAAATTGCTCGTGCTGACTAAGAATCACGACGGAATTAACTGAAGTCAACCATTGATTGGCTTCTTGCCTCGTATTTATCTCGTCAACAGCGTCCGACATGAGTCTCACAGATTCCTATCTCAAGACTCTTGGAAATGGGCGTGCCTCGAAGTACTGGCTGCTTACTCTGTGTGCAGCGTCGTGTGAAGGTCGGTCTCTCCATACTGTGAAGCTGTGGCTGCATTGATGACTGATATTGGAATTACAGTGTGACGAGGGGCTCCCTGGATGCACAAAATGTGCGAAATACGGAAGACCCTGCCCCGGATATGACCGAGGCTTCAAGTTTGTCGCGGGGAAGCCGCATCGCTCCAGACGGCGTCCGGGGTCGAAAACAGCGGTGGATGACACGCATCATCTCGTAGACATCAGTTCAGGAAAAGCCAGTCAGGCCATGCAGCAAACCCTAGTCCGGAGGGCCAGTTCGTTGTGGTTGAGGTCTGCAGACACCAATGTAATGCAGGGTCTTGATATCTTAATTGGTGATGTCTGTCAACCATTTCCTGCCTCCTCAACCTATACAACCTCTCGCTGGTTTACCTTCCTTCCCACTATATATGGAAAGAATAGAACCCTGGATTCCTCCATCCGATGTTTTGTTGCACATCATATTGGCAGGATAACGGGGAATAAACAGGCTATCGTGTATGCCAAGTCCACATATGTAGAAGCTCTGAGCAGACTCCAGCGATCTCTATACAACCTAACGGAAAGTCTCTCATCGGAGGTCCTATGTGCCGTTCTGCTTCAATGCTTCTACGAGGTGAGTTACCCATAGCCATGCCCTGCAGCCGATCTAACACTCTTAAGCTCTTTACCAACGCACACGACTCCACTTCCTGGATGAAACACGCCGACGGGTTAGGTCGACTTGTTAGGGTCAGGGGCTGCGATAGCTACCACACCGAGTTCGACCATACATTACTCAAGGCCTCCCGTGGGTTAATTGTATGATCCATGCACATTTTCACTACTATCGTCATATATAAAACCTGTTAACTGACCAATGAAAGATCATGCACTCGTTATTTTCAAAGGAGAGATGCTTTCTCGCATCTAGCAATTGGCAATCCATGATGAAGCAACAGCTCGACTCTACCTTCCCCACCGCTTTCTACACGCAAGTAGAAGAGCTCTTTGCTCTCTACACAACCATACCATGCTTCATCCACAAGTTTTTCGAGCTCAGACATGCCGATCCAGCGCACGAAACAACGCAGTTGAAGGCATCTGAGCTTCTAAACGAGGCCCTCGATATGCAAACCAAATTAACCACCTGGTATGACAAGTTCCGTCACACAGCACCTCTTCCAACTGAAGTTCTCTCATCGATGGACGACACCTTGTACCCCATAGTGTACTCATTCACCGATGTGGACACCGCAGCCATCTTCGCCGCGTATTATTCATACATGGTGACTATTCATGCCATTCTGGGAGCGTGTCGTTACCCCGGCGAACATGCAGCTATGGTTGTGTACTACCGGGACCAGATCTGCATGTCAGTTGAATTCAACGCTCAGGGGATTTTGGGTCCGTCTCGACTGGGATTTCCCTTACTTGTGGTCAATGAGTTTGCGGACCCTCCGACGAAGCTGTGGGTTCACGGCTGGTTGCAACGGCTTTCGAAAACTTATAAAGTCATGCTGCCGCAGAATTACGAACGGTGAATATCCGCTGCTCTTAATATCGTAACTGTTCTCAGAGCACCATACATTATGTTTCACATTCTCGTGGCTTAAAAGTAAATAAGGTGAATAAGGACATCATTGCGATTTTTTGCCGGTGATCAACAATCTATGCGCGAGCCTCTTCAACATCACTCTCAAGTTTTCCTCGAATCGGCTCTGCCACTGCACGCGCCGACAACAAAATGATCATAATCAGAATCTCCATCAGTAACCCCATCCCAACCATAACACGTTCATCGCCATGAGCAGGGTCGAACCGTTGCGGTCCATACTGCGCCAGCAACATATAAGCGATCCGAACAACAAAGAAAGGAAGCGCCGCCAGGACCAGTAGGACGCAGCGGTGACCAGCCCTGGGAAGGACGGAACGATAAGCCACAGCCATCCAGCCAAACAGTCCACATCCGAGCGCAAAGATGAGAACGAGCAAAACAGACCCAACCACTTTGCACGCATAGACAGCAGCACTATCTCCCACCACGATCAGGACTATACCGAAGAACACGGGGAATCGGAAGAGATGGAGTAGGAAGCGGATGGTCTTGGGATATCTTGAGTTTCCAGGGCCGGTTCTACCTGTTTGTCCACTATTACAGACACAGTTATTAGACTGTAAATCGAGACAAAGGGGAAGGGGGGCAACTAACCTTCTTAACATTACGAGGCTCACCTCAAACAATAATGGCGAAAGGCCAATGCCTTGCAGGATTGCTTCTGTCATAATCACTTTCTTGTCCTTGGAGTCCGAGAGCACCATTCCGGACCCAGCAATTCGAACTAGCGTTGGTCAGCGCAGTGCAACAGGATCGTCAGCAGGATGTCACTTACGCTGTGCCACTAATCCGACCAAGCCATACCAAGAGTAGAAAGTACAGCGAGGCACAGATTTTCGCTTGTTATGATGCCAGTATTTCCACTCCTGCAGGAACCGGGTGGTACATTGGATGATTTGGATGAGCGAGAAGATGACCACCTCAGCGATGGCAATGTGGCGCCTGTCTGTGGAGAAGGCCTGGAATGACATATTCTGATAGTCTTTCCTTTCTATATTCTAGATAGAAGAGGTATGGCGCTTGTTGAGTATGTATATAGAGGGGTGTAAGTATAGAAAGAGAAGGCGAGATTATTTATACAGAGATGGATTCCGTATTGGAAATTGGGGCACTGAGCTGAATGATGAGGGTCAGCCTAGACATGCTTCCAGACACTCTTTTATATCCACGACTGTCCCTTCTCTCAACCCCTGCTGAACCTAAGAAAAGAATAAGAATATAGATGTGAGGCGCAGGTGGAGACCTCGCGACAGCTGACCCATTTAGGCTTAGCGCATATTCCGTTCGGGCGCCAATCAACGCCCGTGGACTATACGAGGCCTTCAAGTTGTCAACTTGGAATTCTCTGCATGGGGTAGAACACGAACCTTCAAGACGCTGGACAATCTGAGCCAGTGTGATGCCCTGGGTTAATGTAAGAATGAGATATCATGACACACAAACCCTATCCCGATTGTTTGCTGGGCCGAGCTGCGTGTACATGGCAACTCCACAGTTACATGGCAACTAGCATTTAAAGACTAGATCTTGCTGAGAACTGCTCAAAAAATAAAAAACCTATAGCCTCATAGCCAAGGATCACTATTCGAAATTCAGATTCCGAGATCAGATATCAAGGGCTGGTGGACGGTTTTGACCCCAGCAGTCACCTGATCAGGGCTGGATCCTGCGTGTCCCTGCGTGTCTTCTTCAGCCTTATTCCTTAAAATCACCGACACGATGACATCCAAAGCGGTGGCCAACCGAAGAAGTAAACACCTTGTCTATTATGGACATCACCAGTGCCTGCCAAACCATTTGAGGTACTCCGCCCATAGTTCATTGCATCGTGATTGGCTGTCAGTGGTGGCTGAGCATGTAGATCTTCGATTAAATTCGAGTCGCCTACGAGGCTGAACGGTTTATAAATTGGGTTCACCGCTTTCTTCAAACGCCATACTTACCATTAGAAGCTCATCATCCACGTCAGTTTGTCCTGCGTAAGTTATGCCTTGTAGACAGTTGTTCCGCAGGTATCATGAACGCCCGTTTGTTCTGAAACTCCGAAGTCGGATGGGCAGAAGCTGCAAGATTTGTCAAAGGAATTTCGTGAGTGAAAGAGCCGTCAAACAATCAGCGAAGCTCACTGGGTGTGTCCTGTGCAGAATCCTTCAACAAGTCTTCTATTTTGCCCGCGCCTCAAAAGGATGCTCTTGCAGCGGCTGCGATCTTCTTGACGTTGTATGGGTTCAACTTCAACAAGTCAACTCCATCGGGTGGCTCTGCAAAAACTGTGGTGCAAGGCTCGAACTACAGCTATACACCTTAGATGGTATTGTCCCCTCTATCCCAGTAGTTCTCTGTGGCCAACCAATGTTCAGGAAATTACCATCCCGAGTTGGACAACTTCCGTGAGTTGGGACGGGTTGGTGTTAGACGACATGCAGTGGAAAGTACACCAACCGACGCTGCAATGTCCGAGGTCTCTCAATGGTTGAACACATGCACCAAGCGACACCCCAAATGCCTTCTTTCGGACAACACCCCGTTACCATCACGAGTGCTTGAGCTCGACGCGAGTCCTGACCACCCCCAGAAGCTGAGGCTTTACAGAACTGCACCCAACGAAATGGGGCGGTACATTTGCCTCAGTTATTGTTGGGGACCAAAGGGAAGTCCAATTCAACTAACGAAAGCAACACTGTTGCAATTCCAACAGGGTATCGCTTGGGAAACACTTCCCCTCACTTTTCAGCATGCTGTTCTTCTTACCAGACAGTTTGGCGCTCGGTACTTATGGATTGACTCACTGTGTATCGTACAGGACGACAGTGAAGACTGGAGTGAGAATTGTCCACGAATGGCTGAAATATATCATAACGCCTACATCACCTTGGCAGCCAGTGCTGCGCCAGACCCTCAAGCGGGTCTGTACTCAATATCCGATGGTGAGTGGGCCCGTGGAAAGGAAATCTTCAGTACGAGCGGCGGCCACCCAATTCATGTCTTTGCTCGTGCCCCTATGCTCGACATGAACACGAGACGGGATCGCGAGCCTCTTTTTATGCGAGCATGGGCTTATCAGGAGCGCATGTTATCGCATCGCATCCTCTATTTCACTCAACGGGAGATCTTGTGGGAATGCAACGAACAGGTTGCATGCCAATGTCTTCACCTGCAAGAGCAAATGAGTCTCAAACTCAAATTTTCTGAATCTGCTAATCCAAGGGACTTGAACTTCTGTTGGAATGAGATTGTGAGCGAGTACAGCAGTCGCCAGCTATCCTATACAGCCGATAGAATACCCGCGTTGGCAGGAATCGCCAAAAGAATGCACTCATTGAGGGCCAATGACGTTTACATAGCGGGCTTGTGGCGAAGCACCCTTTGCCAGGACCTATTATGGTACGACCCAAGGCTAAACGTTCATGCTAGACCGACTTGGCAGGCGCCCTCTTGGTCTTGGGCATCCGTCAATTATGCAGTCACTTTCGAAATGAACGGGGAAAACATAAAAGACTATTGCCTGAGGCTCTCGTATGTAACTCACAGTTGCACGCCCCTTCATCCAACTGATGAGGGCTGTTTTGGTGGGCTCCAGTCAGCGTCTCTGACAGTCAAAGGAAAACTGATTCCAATTATTGGAAACCCCCTTCGGAATTCGATGTACATGGGCGAAAATCGCCTGCAGGGCTATTTCATGATAGGCTATGACTTCTGGTCAAGTGCAGGATCGACATTGGAAGAGATCCCCCTCTACATTCTTCACGTCTGCGATAAGCATACTGGTATTTATAAGGCCGAAAGCTACTATCTTTGCCTACGGCAATTCGATGTAGAAGCACACACCTATGAGCGAGTGGGAGTGTTTCACGAATGGGGGAGATCCAGGGCGTACGAAAAGCTATGGCGAACCATTAGCGCAACAACGGTCACTATGGTTTAAGGCTACGGATTTTGTGGGCGTATTTGACGTACCCTGGATGATATAATCATACAGCTAAACACAAGATAGAAAATACTGTCGGCCTCAAGAGGACAATATACAATTTGTCTTGAAGACTGTCCAAACAATGGCATCATTGCTTTGGTGATTCTCGAGGGCCCAAGGCTGAAGCACTCTCCAGAAAAATGGTTAATTGAACTATACTCAGAAGAAGGAGCAAAAGGGCATTGTTGTTGACAAAGGCCTAAGACAAAGATTGAGAGTACAAGGAGAAAATTATGGAATATCTCCCCAGGCAGGGGAGAGTACAGGTAGAAGAGACGCAAGGAGCACCCACGCATTAAGGACTCGTTCAGTCTGTAGGACTCGACCGAATAAACCCAGCTGGAGACTACTGTACTTTCCATTCCTCAGTCTTCTCTTCTAGAATCGCGTGCTCATAGCACTATTCGCTCGATCTACCTACATCCCCATAGTTCGATGGAACCATATCCCATGACCACTCTCGCGCGTATTCCACGAGAACTTCTCTATTGTATAATAGAGTATCTTGACCCTCTGCATCTAATATCATTAATAGTTGACTATCCTAATATTGCAGGCCAGTTGACATATAAACACTTATCTGTGACTGGAGGAATGGTTTTAGACTTACTCGCTCATTCAAAGATCGGACCCGACCCGGCGCTCAGGGACACGACAGTAGAACGTCTCATACAGAACAGTACCACCCCCATCAATAGTTGTGGTAGAGAAGGTCGCACTCCGTTGTGAATAGCCGCGAATCGGGGATACGGAAAGGTGGTGAAACTACTTCTAGGGCGAAAAGACTGGTGACCAGATATGCCGAACATATAACAGGCAACCCCACTTGGACAAGTTGTTGTTACTGGAAATGAAGCCATGATAAAACAACTGTTGGCACATGGTGGCATCGACCCCATTTGCCAATATAGCCATGGCAGGAAGAAGCCAGTACTATTGTATCCGCTTTCAATGGCAGCCACGATGGGGCGTGCAACTATTCTAAAGCTGCTGATAGAGCACAGTCCGAAAGAGCAATTGGAGCCTGCCGCTGCCCGGGCTTTCAAATGTGCCGCATGCAACGGGCGTAAGGATGTTATGGAAATTCTAATTAACGGGGTTGAGAATGTTAATTTTCAAATCGAAAACGGACAGAGCGTGTTATTGTCCACATCCCCTAAAGGCTACAGGGGTATTGCAAAACAGCTGTTGACCAAGGATGGTATTGATGCAGGCTGGGAAGACGATGATGGTCGAACCATGCTGAATATTACCGTGGATCGAGAAGATCCTCATAACCCGAGAGGATGTGAGGTTGTATTCGAGAGTTGCAACGGTTAGAGAGACCTGGCCTGGTGTGCTAGAATGTATCGAATCGCACCGGTAAGGTCATATGAACAATTAATGAGGGTAGGAGAAAGACGGGAAAGCTTGAGTGAATTGCCTAAGATCAACCTAGTGGGAGGACCTCGGAAGCTCCCAGAATCTCGGTGGCGTAGTCAGACAGGTATGTCCTTCCTTGTCTGTTAACTACTGTATAACCCCTTCTGCGGCCTTCGGACCTTGAATCACCCATTTACTCTTCTCACGCTCCACCGCTTCAATATCACCTACATGCAAGCCACGCCTCTGGACTGACTTGTCACGTACTTCCCACACACCTCTCCTCACATTTTTGCTGTTCTTCAATGTGTACTTTCGAGCGAGTTCCGGTTGAGATTCTCCTCCTCTTGATGGAATACCTCCCGCCAAAAGACCAATTGTCATACTTACAGGTCTTTCCTAATATCATCAAACTACTAACGCCTCGACATGTTGCTAATACAGACGAAGATGAACAGACAATGCTTCACCTGCTCGCTTGGGAATCGAGCGAGCTGCTCACAAGACTCGTCCTACAGAACGCGTGCTTGCCACTGGAGCAAGAGGACCGGTACGGCTACACACCACTAGTGAGCGCAGCAGAGAGTGGGCATGGGCTCATGGTTAAATTGCTACTGGCAAGGGCTGTCAAGCCAAGTCTGCCCAATTGTCTTGCAGCTTTGCTTACAGCTGTTATGTCAGAACATCCGCCCATCGTCGAACTATTACTAGGTTGACATGAAACCAGTGGTGGATGTTTGATCTAGCACGGAGAGCAAGGGAAGCATACGAATATTTGGAGCAACGCCACCATTTCTCCAAGGCATTCATTCAGTTGCATAGATCTGAGGCCGATACCGTGGATCTGAGACAAATAATGACATTGTTTGCTATGGTGTATCATATTCATGCTTCGTAGATTTGGAAAAAAGTAACAATCGCGTCTGATGATGGACACTCTAAAGTCGCCGACTTAAATCGTGTTTCAATTCTATGTAGTTACAATAATCAAGATATCCTTATATTGGCCCCGTACTCAGCCCGAATAATTTTAATTCATGGGTATCGCGGAGAGGCACAGGGATGGACATATCCATTAATCTTGAATTTTTGATAGCAAACTTCACCATCGACATCAGCCTAAATATGATTGGCCCGCTGCAACCCGTGACCGACCAACCCCAATGTAGCAGGTTTTCGCCTGAGGCCACCAACATCGCGAACTCCTCCACATCGACTTTCTCCGCCGGTTCTGGCCGGTCTGTTCTAGTCGCCTTCGCATTTCCCTTTCATGTTGTTGTTGTGACTTCCAACCCCGGTCCTACCTCTCTTACCTCCACTCCTCTCTTACACTCTTTTCTCCCGCCATGTTCCGTCCCGCCTCTAGAGCCCTCCTCCGCGCGCCGGCCGTCGCCCGTGGCCCGGCAAGCAGACGATTGATAAGCACCGCTCCCGCCGAGTCCAAATCGAGGAGCTGGAAGAACACCGCTGTACGACTGGGATTGGCCGCCGGCGCGATCTACTACTATAACACGAGCAATGTGTTCGCGGAGAACCCATCCTGTACGTCGAACCTACTGGAAAATTTCCCCGGAGCTAAAACTGCCTCCTCCGAGTTCCTATACACAACAATTTTTTCTCAATTAATCAGCATCGCAACTAACAACAACCCCCAGTCTCCCTCAACTCCCAGCTTAAGAAAACCTCCGCCGAAGAACCCCTTCCCACCCTCGACTCCATCAAGCCCCGGATCCGCGAAGAACGGGAATCCGCTGCCCCCAAGCCCCATGCCGAACAAGCCCCAGCACAAGAGCTCTCTCTCGGCGAGGGCGCCTTGAAGTCGCCCCAGGAGCTCGAAGAGGAGGCCGGCCAGGAAGCTGCCTTCAACCCCGAGACGGGCGAGATCAACTGGGACTGTCCCTGCCTGGGTGGAATGGCTCATGGCCCTTGCGGAGAGGAGTTCAAGGCTGCGTTCAGCTGCTTCGTGTACTCTGAGGAGGAGCCTAAGGGCATGGACTGCATTGAGAAGTTTAAGTGCGTTTGAACCTGGTCCTGGTTCCTATTTTGGTGTAATCTTTTTCCATTGAGAGGTATTGTGGAGCTAACGTTGGATATTATCACAGGGGCATGCAAGATTGTTTCCGCCAGTATCCCGAGGTCTACGGCGCTGAGCTTGAGGACGATGAGGAGGGTGCTCCTGCTCCCGCTCCCGAGGGCGAGGCCCAGAACGCTGCGCCCCTAGCCACCGAGGTTGATGCGGCTTCGCATCCCGAGGAGAAGCATGCCCGCGCGAAGGAGACTACCGCCCAGGTGAAGTCAGAGCTCTCCGAGAAGGGCGAGCTCCCTGAGAGTGACGACTTGCTTCCCAAGGCTTCGCACGACTCGGAAAACAAGAACGAGACCCAGTCCGAGAAATAAAGCAATTCGCAACTCACATGTGTGTGTTGAAAACGCGTGACATGGACCAACGGAACAGAGTCGGATCTTTTGGATTATCTCGGTGGATAAAATTTTGAATGTTTTATGAGGCTAGATCTGAACTGCTCTGGGTCCCGGAGGAATAATTTGGGATTGGTTGGGGCTGTGTGTATTCTTTTGTACTATATACCCTTCCACCCTTCCCAGTTTGTTTCTCTGTCGTGTCTACCTATAAAGCTATCTCACGTCATCTCTCTTCTATTGTTCTTCCCTATGTTGTCTTCCTTTTTCTTTTTGCGTGTGAAGTCTCAGCATCCATTCCCACTTTTGCCTTGTGTTTTTCCCCCTTCACCATGTAACTTATTGTACTTGTACGCTGTGGCCTTTCGGAAAGAGTCCTGATAGAAATAGAGTCTGCTTTCTACTCCGCAGTATGCTTGGTTACACTGTTTGTTGAGCGTCTCGGCTGTGATGAAGTTTACAGGATAGTTGCAGTTCACGTGGTACGGATCTTAGGGTTAGAAGAAACAACATGGCATTATCATCATTAGCAATTTTCCATGCAAATTGTTGGATCTCTGTGGCAATTTTAAATCGATCCATATAATGTTCAGCGAAGGTTCAGTCACTTATCCACATTGCTGAGCTCATGCAGCGTCGCAACAGGGAAGTCGTGCAGATGATCATAACACGTCTCGTCACTGTCCCATGGTGTTGTTCTTTCTGTTGTCCGAGGGCTGTATAACAGTGAGTTGAATCCTGCATCATTTCTTCCCGGGCAAGTGTTCAGAGCAAGTGCAAGACTGGGTTGACATGCACGAGACATATTTAGGCCCATAAGAATAAACTTGTATTCTTGTTGATATGGGTTCCAGATGAGCTTCGACGCTGTGTCTTTCACCAGACATGAAAACGCGGTGACTTGTCTGGAGGTCCTGCGGGAGGTCTGCGGCTGGTGCAAAAAAAAAAGCGCATCAAGGTACCTGGTACTGATGAGGTCGGTGGCTCGGTACCCTATTGTATGGTGGATTAGAATCCCTTTGGCTAGTTTACCAGTTCACGTCGCTCAGCTGCAACTTGCGAGAACGGAATGCCGTCCGGTTGCCACCAGACCTATCAGCTCTGGCGTCGCGAGGGGACCGTTTCTCGAGTGCTAGGTGTAGGTTAGCAATGATCAGCGGTTATACATTACAAGGTTGTCTCACCCTCGGCAGTTTCGGCCTCATTGGACATCTCGTAATTAAGCACCAGGTTCTTGATCCGTTGTTGTTCTTCTCGATCAGCTTGCTGCTGACTTCTCATGGCAACTGCAAAACTGGAATCGGAGGGCAGGTCGATGGTACGAGTCTAGTCTCAGTCAGCAGACGGTTCTTTAGGTATACGAACAAGAATAGGCAGACCTGTTGCTTGTTTCCTTTTTTCGTCATCAAGGAGAAAGCCATCGTACTGGGCTGCGGCTGCGGCTCTGGCTGCGGCTGCGGCTGGCTAGGCTCGGGAGCACTTTCACCTGCTGCATCCCGAGGGGCTCGTTTCATGGGAAGAGGTATGTCAAACACACCCTTACGCTCGAACTTTCTGGAATCCATGCTCTCCGCCATCATCTTTTCAAACTCACGATCGAACTCGGCTTCGGCTTCAGGGTCTCGTTCCTCCTCTTGACGTGTAACGAAGATTTGTTCGTCTTCAGAGTCACTATCACCATTTTGCTCGGCATTGGGGCCGGATGCCTACGAGACATTTGTCAGCACAACTCATCTGAGTTTATACGCAACGTAACTAAAACTCACTTCAGCTTCGTCGCTAGACTCTCCGTCCTCGTCCACCTCAGGCATAACATCATCTTCGAGGCCGTCATCAGATGAGCTACTTTCTGCATCGTCGTCATCTGGCTCTGCAGGCCTCTCGGCGTCTTGTGTTTTGTAGTTCTGAGCTACAGCCTCGCCGAAGATACGGGTGGCCTCTTCCAGGTCGGTGACTAACTTCCACTGAGGACGAGTCATAGAGAATGTATCTTGGACAAGAAAATCAATATCCATGGGTAGTGGATCTTTTGTCGTCATGTAGTACTACATGGTCAATTAATAACATATCCAATGGAGTAGCGCTTGGGAACGGTTATTACCTGGAAGAACGTCAAGAAGAAGTCCAACTTCTTTTTGGCAGAGCCACGGTCAAAGCAGTGACCACAGGTATCCAAGAGAGTGCAAACCAGGCGAACTCGGAAAAAGTCATCTGGCAAATCTAATGGGTTCAGCTTCCCCGGGACCGGTGTACCGCCCTCTGTATCATCATTAGTATTGGGATACTACTTGGTGCTCGGTTTGGCTTACCATGGCCAAATGTAACAATCCTGTACAAGGTATCAAAAATAACAGGAGAGTCGATCATTTTGTAGTTGTATAACTCTCCGAGGTACTTGACTTCGGCGACACGCTTCTGGTTGAACTTAAAGTCGTTCTGCTCAAGGCCCAATGTGATTTGCTCGAGGACATTGTCGACGATACCAATAACAAAATCCTGGTGATATCTGTACAGAGCGCTGACCAGGATTGCTAGAAGGTGGATATTGCCATATTTCACCTTCACCGGCTTGCTGAACACGCGCTCTATGATATCAACAACCTAGCAGCGGTATTAGTAACTTTTACTTAAAAAAATAAAAAGCTCCAACTCCAACGGAGGAATTTCCTACTTCTTGTTCTTCCCAATGTAGCTTCCGGATTGACTTCAATATCCTGGTATAATTGCGCTTGTTCATATCCAAATAGATAAGCCTCCGGATGTAAGACTCCATAGGAGTACGCTCTTTCTGCTGAATGGCAGGCCGCGGTGGAGGATCAACGTAGTAAACCGCATTCTCAATGATCATTCGTTCTTGCTGACCCAGGTGCTGAACAGTTTTCTTTCTCCCAAGAGTTTCCAAAAATGAGGCCATTCGAGGGGAAGTCTCGGGGTTGCGAAGCAGGTACCGTCCACAGTTTTCTAAGAGATAACCAATGATTTCGATATTCATGCGTGAGAAGTCGTCAAGTGAGACTTTGAAACAGTGGAAAATAATATGCTCCGGGACCGCTCCGAACTTGGTCAACTCTGCGAGATAGCGCACATTGCTCATACGAACCTGCCCGAGAAACTCTTTGGACTTGCGGCGTTGAAGACTCCGGAACTCTTCATCCAGGTAAGTAATCAATCCCTGCGGTATGTCTGGTAAATACTGCCCAAGAGTGGCGACCAGGCGCGAGTACAAGGGTAAAAGATCAATGCGTCCCTTCGGCACATCCGACACAGCCTTAATGAGCCTGTTTCTGGATGCTTTGGAGTTGAGAAAGCAGAAGTCTAGAGCCAACTGATCAACGTGGTCCTTCGTCTGTAGTTCGGGCAGTTTAGCCAACAGCGCATCGACTTGGGCTCCAACAGTTTTGCTTGCAATGGCCATGGACTGATCGTCTGCATCCGCAGTAGCCCTGTCTTCTGATTGCTGGGCTGGGGCTGGTTCAGATTTCTCCGAATCCTCACCATCTTTCTTTTTCCCTGCTTCATCGGAGTCTGTCTTCTTCTTCTTACCGTCCTCCAGGAGAACGGCTGGAACCTTGCCTTTGAGGTCAACCAGGTTCTCATAAAAGCGCCTCTCTTCTTCGTCTTCCCAGATACCGGCACCTTCACCCTGGCCGCGTAGGTACTCGGACGTTTTCACAAGCCCAATTCCTCCACTTGACGCAGGGTCGGCAGATTCTTGCTCAGCTAAGGCGGGCATTTCCACGCCTAATGCCTCACACAAGACCTGCGTGTTAGCAACCAACTTTTCCAAAGATTTGCTTTGTTTCTCAAAGTTGGCCTGGCGGTCCTCAAAGATTTCACCACTCTTGACATAAGCCTCGGCGTTACGGCGACTCTGGGCTGCCAGTGCTCTTTGATCACGAACACATGCGCCTTGACGTCTTCCAGGTACCGATTCAGGATGCTCTTGAAGCGAGCCTGTGTCTTCTCTGGGGTGAGAGGAGGGTCATTTTCAGCTACCGTCACATCTCCCGCACCCTCCTCACCATTTGTGGCCTCTGCTGGGGTCGTCGCTCCATCAGTCTCTACAGTTTTCCTTCCTTCATCGACAGTCTTCGCTCCGAGAATATCCCAACTGAAGCTCTTGACAAACAAAACAGCGAGTGGCAGATTGGTGTGGTCACGGTCATGGCCCAAGAGGTCCTTCAACACTTCCAGGGGGAACGGCTCTGCTTCCTTATCATTGTCTCGAACGGCCGACGGTGCCTTGACTTTGACTGGGTTTTCCGACGCCTTTCCACCTATCCCAACAACACCCTCTTTGCCCTTGGCGCCTAAATCCTCCGGTCGTTCGATATCATCCAGCGTCCTGAGTACACCAACCAACCAAAGTTCTGTAACCACTCTCAGCAAAACTCGATGTCGTGATAGCCGTTCCTTTTCTTCGCGTTCGCGCACCTCCGGGCTGAGCGCTTTCAACTGTCCCTTGTCCGGTGTGCTAAGTCCTCGACCCAGTAGCCATCCAATTTGTCTCGTGAACTCGGCCGGTCCGAACCTTTGATGCAGTGCGCTCGTGATTTCCACGCCTGTGGCGATTTCCCCAGGCGATTTCAGTTTACATAGTCCTTCATAGCAAGCGGATATAATTTCCGAGAGATATTTGTGGAGCGACAGGGTGCGGATATCGGCCAGGAAGGTCTGCTGGGCGGAAGCATTAACTCCGGTGCGTAGACGCTTAATGAAAGCGGTGTTTTTCTTCAACGCTGAATCAAGGGATCGGCCAACTGGGAAGATATCTGTTTGATGAGGTTGGGCGGTTAGCTTGGAACCTGTTGTGCGGGACATTGTAATGGGACGTCATTACCACTCTCACCAGCCCAAGCTCTCTCATTGAGATCGCGAAGCTCCCCTAGAACAAAAACCTGGGTTAGAAACAAAACATGCACCTGGCAGATGAGAGTTGAAGACGGGATGCGGGGTACACACGCTTCCTTTGACGATCC